TTCTTACTGTAATAAAATTGTTATTTAAAGAATGTAATATGATGAAGAATTGTAGCAAATTTAGTTTGTGACAATTATAAAGTATCACTAGTATTATGTTTGCCATAATTAATTAATGATTGTAGCAATTAAAATTTGCCACTAAACATGAGCTATTGCCACAAAGTATAACTTGTGGCAACTTAAATTTGCTACTAAACATTAGGTTTTGTGGCAAAATATAATTTGTGGCAACTGAAATTTGCCACTAAATACGAGCTTTTGCCACTAAATTCGAGCTTTTGTGGCAAAATTTTATTAGTGGCAAACCATAATTTGCCACAAAAATTATGTCTTTTGTGGCAAATTTAAATTTGCCACAAATACCTTTTGTAACGGGGTATCTGTGGCAACCTTGTGGCAAATTCCAAAATTGCTACAAATAGGTATTGTGGATAATTTTTTATTTTTTGTGGCAAAATTTGGTGCCACAAAATGTCAAGTTTCTTGTAGTGCCATGAGCTCACATATACCAGCTGGATCTTCTTATTTTTACAAAGTCCATCGCATAAAAGTATTTTATGTGTGAAAGTCTACAAGCAATGTTCGAAGGTTTTACAGTGTCTCATTCATAAAATTGACGATTTCTATCCCAGCCTCCTAATCCCCAAGTAAACCTTCCTACCCCGCCTTGACCCTAACATACCCCCACTCCCTCCAATAATTGCACCCTCCAAGTTTATTTGATTTTGGCGTAAAAAATTGACTCCTAAGTTAAATAAATTTGGAGGGTGAGGGTGCAGTTGAAGGGTGGAGGTGGGTTCGGGTTGGGGCGTGGTGGAGGATTTTTGGATAGTTAAAGTATACTCCAGAGTATTTAGATATCCATTAAAAATGAGATTTAGTCAAATTGGAAAGAATGTTTTATGAGAGAGAGAGAAAGTAATAATTTATAAATTAAAATAAATAATTTTTACCCGGTTATAAACACAGGAAAATACCCATTAAATCCATGAAACTATCTAGCTAGCCATATCATGAAAAATGTGAATAAGTGATGCATTAACATGACCGCCAAAATGAAATACAGCCCAGCTTTAGGGGGTGCCAAAGAGAGCCCCCTAATTGTGCAGGACATCATTTTTTGTGTTTTCATGGTTACCATTATAAGATTATTGAAGATACTACCAAGGCTCCCATTTGATATGCGAAATTCAAACTATAAAATTAAAATTTGGGACAACAATTTCAACTCTACTATTTAATAACACAAAAATATGTGAATTTAGAACTGGTAGTGTCAAAATGAATTTGAAATTGAAGATTTCAATTCAATTTTAATTCTGTCATATTCGTGTAACAAACAGACCCTAACTCCGGGTATACAGTACCCCGGAATATATATTAACCAAAGCATATCAACAATTAAACTTGATTCTAATTTTGAGACATAAAAAGTAGTGCTATGTCTTAGTTGTAATCAAGGAGGATCTAGTTCATATTTTGTGCATGGTCGGATTAATTAGTCAAATAGTCTTTTTTTTAAAGCCAATTAGTCTATTTACTTATGAAGAGTACAATGATAAAACGAAGAGTATATCCCTTCATCTCAATTTAAATTGAGAATCACAATATCACTAACACCAAAGCCATAGTGGATATTAGATTTCTTCAGCTCCATTAAAGTGTTATGCATTCATAGTATGCATAAAAAAAGGGTACATTGACACAAAAGGGAATCAAAAGCTTGAAATTGCAAATTGCAGGAAGCCTCTAGGGGAGGCACAATGACACATAACCCAGTGTAAACGAAACACCAGAACACAGTAATATTCATGGCAATCACAAAAGCCACACAACTAAATTTCAACACAAGAAAACATTAAAATCTCGCCATCATAATGGCAGGCAAAACACATACAAAGTTCACAACAACATATAAAAACAACACACAGACATAAACAACAAGCAGTTCAATGATAGCACAACACAACATTTTGCCATGGCCCATCAAGCAGATCGATTCAGAAACCACCACGAAGACGGAGGACAAGGTGAAGGGTGGACTCCTTTTGGATATTGTAATCAGCCAAGGTCCTCCCATCCTCCAATTGCTTCCCTGCAAAGATCAACCGTTGCTGGTCTGGTGGGATCCCCTCCTTATCTTGGATCTTTGCCTTGACATTGTCAATCGTATCAGAGCTCTCAACCTCCAGGGTGATGGTTTTACCCGTCAATGTCTTCACAAAAATCTGCATTCCACCACGAAGCCGGAGAACCAAGTGCAGTGTAGATTCCTTCTGGATGTTGTAATCCGCAAGGGTACGTCCGTCCTCCAGCTGCTTTCCAGCAAAGATCAATCGCTGCTGGTCTGGGGGAATCCCTTCCTTGTCCTGGATTTTGGCCTTAACATTGTCAATGGTGTCCGAGCTTTCAACCTCAAGCGTGATTGTCTTACCAGTAAGGGTCTTGACAAATATCTGCATGCCTCCTCTCAAACGGAGCACCAAATGGAGGGTGGATTCCTTTTGGATGTTGTAATCTGCAAGGGTCCGGCCATCTTCAAGCTGCTTCCCAGCAAAAATCAATCGCTGCTGGTCTGGGGGAATGCCTTCCTTGTCCTGTATCTTTGCCTTCACATTATCAATGGTGTCCGAGCTTTCAACCTCGAGGGTGATGGTCTTTCCAGTCAGAGTCTTAACAAAGATCTGCATACCTCCCCTCAGTCGGAGAACCAGATGGAGGGTGGATTCCTTCTGAATGTTGTAATCAGCAAGAGTGCGGCCATCTTCAAGCTGCTTTCCAGCAAAGATAAGACGCTGCTGGTCTGGGGGGATGCCTTCCTTGTCCTGGATCTTAGCCTTCACGTTGTCAATTGTGTCTGAGCTCTCCACCTCGAGGGTAATCGTCTTGCCAGTCAGTGTCTTCACAAATATCTGCATACCTCCTCTCAAACGGAGGACCAAATGAAGGGTGGATTCCTTCTGGATGTTGTAGTCGGCAAGGGTGCGGCCATCCTCAAGCTGCTTTCCAGCAAAGATCAGCCTTTGCTGGTCTGGGGGGATGCCCTCCTTGTCCTGGATCTTTGCCTTAACATTGTCAATTGTATCAGAGCTCTCCACCTCAAGGGTGATAGTCTTTCCGGTTAGGGTTTTGACAAAGATCTGCATACCACCCCTCAAACGGAGCACCAAGTGGAGGGTGGATTCCTTCTGGATGTTGTAGTCGGCAAGGGTGCGGCCATCCTCAAGCTGTTTGCCGGCAAAGATCAGCCTCTGCTGATCTGGGGGAATCCCCTCCTTGTCCTGGATCTTAGCTTTGACATTATCGATGGTATCGGAACTCTCAACCTCGAGGGTGATGGTCTTTCCGGTTAAGGTTTTGATGAAGATCTGCATCTGTTGAGATCCAAAATATTAATTAGAAACAAAATTAAACAAATCAAATATGCAGTGAAGAACAAACTTCATAAATCAGGCAACAGAGATCAAACTTGATCAATCAAGCAAAAATATCAGGAAATTATAAATCAGGAAACAAATTCAAAGCTTTATGAATCAGGCAACAAATCCAAAACTAGATAGAAAAAAATCAAAACTAAATAAATCGGGAAACAGATTCGAAACTTCATGAATCGGGCAACGGATTCAAAATTCATAAATCAGGCAATAAATCCAAAACTTCCGTCTATATATCGCCAGATCTAATCGTTTCTTCCAGAAAGGTATAATTATAATCTCAATACTCAGTATAATAGATGAAATCAAGAAAACCAACGATCTATGCCTCATAAACATGAAAACCAGAAGAAAGATTTAACAAGAAATTGATACCTTGATTGAATAGATGAATCTGATTCTTAAGGGGGGGGGCGAAGGATTTCAGAGAGGGAGAAAATAGAAAGTAGATCTGAATCGTAACGCGATGATGTTGAAAGCGGTGGAGAATGGCTGGGCTTTTATAGTCCACGAATCCGAGTTAGGAGGCAATTGCCATCCGAGCTCCACCAATGGACAAACGACACGTGTAGGCAAGGAACCCTCGAGGCTTCTTTGTTAGGTGGGAGAATAATTGGTCACGCGGCCCATTGACAAAAAAATGATAAATCTAGAAGCACTAAAAAATCAAAAAACATCAAAAAAAATACTTTCAAAAAAAAAATCAAAAAAAATAAATATCCTCCGTTTTAATTAATCAACCCATCATTTCCCCCAAATTTATTACCTAGTATTCCTTAGGGAGAAAGACCAATGTATGACAAAAACATTGAAAATATATCAAAATAGGACTTTCATGTTTTTATTCCTGAAATAGGACTTAAATTACCATACATGGTCATATACATTACCAAACAAGTATAGTAATTTGCACATGTACATTGCCACATTACAACAGGACGACGTCACATTACCACATTGCAAAGTCCTATTTCGGGAAAAAATACGAAAGTCCTATTTTGGTACTTTTTTCTATGTTTTAGTCTTATTTAAGGTGATTTCTATATTCTCTTATATTTTTTTAATACTCCCTCTGTCCAGAAAGAATGTCACGGTTACTATTCTGGCCTCACGATAACTTTTGTTTGTTTACTCGTTTTGGTTGACCATTTGATAAAATAAAATATTCTTGTCGCATCTTGTTTTGTAGAACTTTTTATATACTTTTGAATGGTGTAATTTTTACTTTTTATTACTCTACCAATTTGAAATTAAAGTGATTTTAAAAGAGATGATATTTTACACATCGTTCGAAGTATTGCAAATAAATTGGGACGGAGAGAGTAAAAAAAGTGGTTCTAATTTTTTTAAAGATTTATATTTTTAATTACTCTTGGAATGTTTGGTTAGGAGGGAGGGGAGGAGAAGGAAAGGATAGAGGATTCCTATCACCGTAGTTTATTAGTTATTTTTTAGTTTATTTTTATTATTATATTATCATTATTTGTGTATTTTTATTTGTATATATTTTTATTCATTTATTTTATTTATTTACTTATTTATTTTTATTTTTATTTATTTTTGTAACTTTATTATTTTTTCACAACATTATTTATTTGTGACAATAATAAGAAACACTTGATGAGAAGAAAAGAAGAAGAGAGGGACGGAGAATTCCTTCGATTTGGATGCATTGGTTTGGAGGAGAAGAGAGGGAATTGATCTTAAAATTTTGGAAGCATTCTCCTATATATTTTTGAACTAAACAAAGGAAGTGACGCATCAGTTTACAGAACACAGAACTTACCCAATATCCTTCACGTCAATCTCAGCGAATGATTTTTCCACAGGAGACTTTTTTCTGATGAGTCAGTAATATCTTTCACGTCAATCTCAGCGAAAGATTTTTTCTTTGATAAGCCGACCTCAGGATTGCTGAGTTATTGATCTTATTTTCACTCAATTGATCTTTAATGTTGTTGTTATTATTGTTATTGATGGGTATATCCCTATACCCGACCCGGACAACCGAAAGGGACAGGTCAAAGTATGACCGGTCACTTTTATCAATCACCAAATGAGGTTAACTATTCGATTGGGATGAGTCAAAAATTTAACCGGTCACTTCCACTAAAAAAGTGACCGGTCACATTTTGGGCGATAGCCATTTCGCCACTTAATGTTGCGAAGGATATTTCAGAGGATCAAAGAGATGGGTTGAACTCAAGAAATGACCGGGTAACCTTTGAGGAAAGGTGACCGGTCATGTTGCGCTACTTGAGAAGGGCAATCAACATCAGAGGCTAGAGGACACCCCGCCGCTCATCCATCACGAGGCAAACAGTGAAGGGAATGATTGGCGTTTTGCAGGATTGATTGGATTGAAAATATCCATGTTAGTCTTTGATTGAACAGTGCATGTCTTGGCTTGTAGTTGCTATATTCATTGATTGAATAGTAAATTGATTATGTACAGTGACCTTCCTCCGGGTTTCCCATTTTGTCCATGGATGAACAGGGGAATGTCACAAATCATCCTCTATAAATATGATGATATTCGATAGAGGAGGGGATGAATTCTTTCTCTCACTAAAAACTAGTACACTCTTGAGACAGAGTAAGAAATATATTTCGGACTGAGGAGATTTACCCGGTCTAGGTCATACTTTGTGTTCTTGTTGTGTGTTTTATATTACGGGTCAAGTGTCCAGGTCAAACCCGGTCAACCCACCCATCTATATTTACACCATCAGTTATTATTATTCAACGGCATTATAGCTGCTTGGAGGTGGACCCCCAACATTTTCTGTCTGTTAAACCTTTGACGCATGCAACTTGACACCTTGCTAACGTCTCGGGAGTGGTGTTTAACGCCCTAACGACGTTAAACGGGCGAAAATGACTCACCGACGTCATCCAATTTCTAGTGCTATAAATCAATAGTCATATTTAGAAGTTGTATGTTGTCTATTTATTTCAATTGTTTCGGATAACCGATAGTTTTAGATTCTTTAACATGTTGGATGTATTGGTTGAATGATTCTTTGACAAGTTGGATGTATTGGTTGAATGAAAACAATTTTTAATAAAAATTTATTGTTGATACGAGACCATGATATTTCGAGATAGAAATCTTGCCCGCCTTAAATGCGGAAAGTATCAAAATATTGGATTGATATCTTCCAAATTAGAAATATATCAAAAGTTCAAAACTATAGGTCTATAGTAGAGACTATTTAATTGACTTTGGATTGGTCAGGTCGATAATGAGCAAACGGGCTCTTAATTGAATTCGGATATTCCCCAAACGGGCTCTTATTTGAGTTTGGACCGGTCAAGTCTATAACAAGCAACATCCAAATTCGACTCAATCCGATTCATATTTTAATTTTGATCTCTAGTCGGATTCGAGTATCGTAAGATTGGGATCAGTGGGCTAAGTTCGGTTTGGGTTTTGGGTTTTGTTAAATTTGTGTTTTCAATGAGAGGCAGAAGAGAAGGGAAAGTGCAGAGTGATCGGAGGCCGGAATGGCTAAAACGCCGATAGGTTGTGAACCGGTGGTGGGGTCGCTTACACCGTCGAAGAAGAAAGAGTACAGGGTTACCAACAGGCTCCAAGAAGGCAAACGCCCCTTGTACGCCGTCGTTTTCAACTTCATCGACTCTCGTTACTTCAACGTCTTCGCTACCGTCGGCGGCAACCGAGTAACTCCTCCTCCCTTCCCTTTGCATCTCCCTCTTCTCACGCTTTCAGAAATTTCGATTCTTTCATTCAAACAAAAACGCCGTTCTGTTTAACCTGAAATTAGGATGGAAATGTAACCATACACAAAACCATGAGGTAAAATTGGTAGGTTTTATATATTGGTATTCATCTTCTATATGAATTAATTAAAAATGTGGGTGAAATTTCACTACACAAGGAGCATTGGGAATTCGAGGTCTCTTTTTAGTGTTTCTTTAATTAATTTTTTTTTAATTTTTTAGTGCCACCTTTGGCTTTCCAAGGTCTAGGACTACAGGATTTTTGTACAGAAGTGTTTTCATGAAAGGTATGCATAGAGTATTTTGTTCTTGTTGTTGCATTGTTTTAGGGGCAAGTTCCAATGGAGCAAAAAGAGTCATTTTTTTGAAGTTTTGGGAAGTATGTGCAACACTTTTGAAAAGATTTATTGTGTGTGTGTGTATCATAAGTAATAGAGGAATTGATAGAGTAAGCTATATGAACAGAAACAAAAACACAACAAAGAAGAGCCTAATATAGAGGACATTATTGTAAGCTATATGTGTCATTTCTTTTGAACCACACCATCTTCTCCATTTTCCTTCGCTCTCTTAATCCAAGGATGCTGTGTAAAACAAGTAAACAACAGTTCAAATTGAATACACCCACATGTTCTGTAAAACAAGTAAAAACACACACACACAGTTACCTAAGATGCCAACTGTTGTGCGGCAAAGATCACGCCTTTCTTGGATCATTTGCTTCATCAAATCAATGGCTTCATCTGATACATCGGGCCACGGGGCCCTATTGTAATCTGGAGCTCCCTTGCCGATCTTTACTTTAATATCCCGTGCCTTAGCTGCATCGAAAGGAAGCGTGCCGTAAAGAAGTTCATACAATATAACCCCTGCGCTCCACATATCAGCTTCCGGTCCATAATTCTCTCTCAACACCTCAGGTGCTGTATACACCAAACTCCCTATGGGGTAATGAAAACATTCACCTGAAATTTAATAAAATTTAGTATTTTAAATGACCCACACATAAACATTATAGAACAAATATATTTAGTCATTTTTATTTACCAGGCTCAAACGTGACTGCAAATCCAAAGTCTATTATCTTTACACTTGCGTAATCATTATCAATTTATCACTTGCAAACATAATGTTAGCGGGCTTAATGTCCTGATGGAATAAGCCGTTTTCGTGGCAGATTTGGCACAAGAAATAAACGATGCCATCAGATTATGTTCCATAATCTCATGTAATGACAAAAAACACAATATAATTCTTCATTAAGCTCGATCGGGGTTGAAGAATTGTATTGTGTTTTTCGTCATTACATAAGATTATGGAACATCATTTGATGGCATGTTTATTTCTTGTGCCAGATCTGTCATGAAAATGACATGTTCCATCGGGACATTAAGCCCGCTAATATTATGTTTGCAAGTGATAATGATTGCACAAGTATGGAGATAGTAGACTTTGGATTTGAGGTCACGTTTGAGCCTGGTAACAAAAATGACCAAATATATTTCTTCTATAATGTTTATGTGTGGGTCATTTAAAATACTAAATTTTTATCAAATTTCAGGTGAATGTTTTAATTATCCCATAGGGAGTTTGGTGTTTACAACACCTGAGGTGTTGAGAGAGAATTATGGACCGGAAGCTGATGTGTGGAGCACAGGGGTTATATTGCATGAACTTCTTTACGGCACGCTTCCTTTCGATGCAGCTAAGGCACAAGATATTAAAGTAAAGATCGGCAAGGGAGCTCCAGATTACAATAGGCCCCCGTGGCCCGATGTATCAGATGAAGCCATTGATTTGATGAAGCAAATGATCAAAACAAGGTGTGATCTTCGCCTCATAGCAGTTGGCATCTTAAGTAACTCTGTGTGTGTGTGTGTGTGTGTGTTACTTGTTTTACAGAACATGTGGGTGTATTCAATTTGAACGGTTGTTTACTTGTTTTACAGAGCATCCTTAGATTAAGAGAACGAAAGAAAATGAAGAAGATGGTAAGGTTCAGGATAAATGACAGATATAGCTTACAATAATGTTCTCTCTATTAGGCTCTTCTATCTAGAGCTGGAGTTTTCATTGTACTTGGTGCTTTGTCCGTGTTATACTGTGCTCCCTATCATATTTTTTGTGCAGGTTGAGCCGGGGGTCTCTTGGAAACAGCCTCCCTACTTCCGAGTAAGGGCAAGGTCTGCGTACACACCCCCCTACTGTAGTGGGATTCAACTGGGTTGTTGTTGTTGTTTTCTAGAGCTGGAGTGTTCTTCCTTGCTGCAGTTGACCTACCTTATCGCATAATCAAAAAAAATTGTATAAGATAATCATGGATGGATTAGAGCTTACTTGTATATATGAAAGTAACTCATGGTTGCATTTTCAGGTGACTGTGTACCAATGCTTGGAAGGGGGAGTCATTGCTGTGCTACAATCTTACATTGATGAAGATGTATGCAACTTGAGCCTTCTAAGTCTTATCTGTTAATATGGATTGTATTTAACATTTTCCTTTTGCATGTTCTCCGTGGATTACCAGAAAGATGAATCATTTTATACTGTCAGTTGGGCATGCAATATTGATGGGACCCCCTTCTTGGTTTCCGGGGGATCGAATGGAATTATCCGTGTTATTGATTCTGGCAATGAGAAGATACACAAGGTGTTCTATGGAACTCTTAGCTCTATGCTGTCATAGTTTAGAAAGGTTAATGCTGTTCTTGTTTACTTAAGTGCAAAACATTCATCTGGGCATATGTAAGTGCCAGTGCTGTTATGTAGGATCTAGGATCCGCATGTTAGTTAATAACATTGATAGCATTAAGATGTTCCAAAAATCATGCCATGAGCCCATTAATGTGGTCCGTTTACTCAGGCAGCATTCGGAACTATGAGAATAGCGAGGAAAAGAAAAAGCGCTTTTTAAAAATGTTTATTGTTTGGTTTTAGCTTAGAAAATGTGTAAGAAAGTCAAATTTGATTAAAACTTCAAAAAATTAACAAATACTCAGCAAGCAGCTGAGTAATTAAAAATCGATTTATTTAAATCTAAGCAAAAAAAAAAGTTCCACCACATCTCCTTTGTATTTTTTTCCCTCTGCAATCAGCATTATCCAGATTCCAAAATATACATCTGGCGATATGTTTCTTTTGTAACTATGCAGAGCTTTGTTGGACACGGAGACTCAATTAATGAAATTAGGACGCAACCACTAAAACCATCACTTGTTGTCTCTGCAAGCAAAGTATGATTTCTTTGTCTTTGCTCCTCTTGAATGTAATGTGAAGTAAATTTGTTACTCTTTTGTCTATATGGAGAAAGTGAATGTCCTCAATATATTTTTCATGTTTTGATTACATGCGCACATGTATGCATGGTCTTCGATTTGAAAAATATGTGTGGGCCAGGATGAGTCTGTTCGGCTGTGGAATGTTCACACTGGAATATGCATATTGATATTTGCTGGTGCTGGTGGCCATCGCAATGAAGTCCTCAGTGTGGTAAATTACTATTCCAGCACCCGATATGCATTTTTAACTTCCTATATTATGTCACAAGAACTTTGATCATGTGATGCATGCAGGACTTTCATCCTTCTGATATATATCGCATTGCTAGTTGTGGGATGGATAATTCTGTTAAGATCTGGTCTATGAAAGGTGATGTATTCAATGGTTGTGTCAGGAAATAATTCACTTGTTTTAATAGTCCAAGTGCTGAACATGATGAATGACCCTTGCAGAATTCTGGCCTTATGTGGAGAAATCATTTACTTGGACTGATCTTCCATCAAAGTTCCCCACAAAATATGTGCAGTTTCCTGTAAGAAGTTACCATTATATGTTCTTTCCATCTTTTCTTAGCGCTTATTCCTAAACAAGATTATACGGAGACACAGAGTATATAATTTTGCTGTTGCTAAACATACCTTTTATTGATTCAGATGCTCATAGCTTCCATCCATACAAACTATGTTGATTGCACCAGGTGGCTTGGAGATTTTATCCTGTCAAAGGTAAATTAACTGGCTTGTTTTTCTCATTCTGCAAATCAGCATAACAAGAAATAGATGTTACTTGTTACCAAACATTCTCCTTTCATAATATTCATCAAATTTGGCTGTTTTTGTCAATTTACTGAGTGGGTGCTTGAACTCAGATTTTGTTTAGAATTAAAACTGGACTGAACCTATTCTTTTTGGGTTTATGAATTTGCAAGTTGCAGCCGTGTTTATCTGAGAGAGAATCATGCAGTTTCATTGTTAAACTGCTATTATCATGATTTTAATCAATTTCCTTTAATTTAACATGCTAGGTGTGTGTGCTTGTGTGTGTATACTGAAATTATTAAGTTTTACTTTTATCATCTCTTTTGTGCATATATCCATCTACACTGTGGCATTTGTTTCCAGAGTGTTGACAACGAGATTGCATTATGGGAACCAAAGATGAAAGATTCCCCAGGCGAGGTTAGTGTTTTATTTTTTAAAGTTGGTTTTCTTTTTCTGTTTGAGTGTTTGGGAGATTCTTTCTGTCTGGAAAATTCTTTTTAATTACTGGAAATCCTTTCTGTGGAATGATCGTTTTGTAGGGTACAGTTGACATCCTTCAGAAGTATCCTGTCCCAGAGTGTGACATATGGTTCATCAAGTTCTCATGTGATTTCAAATATAAATCGGCTGCTATAGGTATGTATTATGGAAGTATAATTTACCAATTCGATGTTCATCGGAGACAGTACCGTGGTGATCCCACAGTGTATCAGGTTGCCCTGCGGCTGACCTCTTCGTTCTGTATAGCACTACATCCCATTGATGATCCTCAGAGATTGTCTTTGGGCTTGAGTCAAACTTTAAAGAAAAAAGTCTCTTACTTTTTTCTAAAGCGAACCTCTACGAGGGACAAAACCCTCCTTAGTGATCATTGTTGTGCCGAAGATGCTTGGCTAGACATCTTTTATAGGTTGGAGTAAGATTTGCATGCGCACATCCTCCCCAAACCCTACTTTTTTTTTTGTGGGTTCTTGTTGTTGGTTATATTTGAGGCCGTAGGTAAAAAGTTGTCTTGGATACTTCAATACTTGTGTTTCTGCACAAGTTTTTATTTATCAATTGATTTTTTTCTATCTATAAAAGGGAATAGAGAAGGAAAGATCTACCTTTGGGATCTGCAGACAAGCCCTCCAACTCTCATTGCCAGGTCTGCCCCCCCACCCACCCATCAATGCCCTTCATGTTTTACATGTAAGGTGAGCTTTGTTTTCTCCATGTTCTACAGGCTATGTCACGGTCAATCAAAATCTACAATCAGACAGACCGCAGTGTCTTTTGACGGGAGGTAACAGACTCTAATTGTCTTTTTTTAGCATTTAAGAAGCGGCGTAATGGGATGAAGGGGAAATGTGATTATGTTTGTGTTTCTTGGTTCAGCACCATTTTGAGCTGCTGTGAGGACGGAACTATATGGCGCTGGGACGTAGTGGCAAGCTCTTGATATGTCTGTCTGAACACTTTTGCTGCTTTGGTTCATTATTATTATGACTGTATCTTTGAATGGGAAATTAGAGTGAAGTTTATATGATTTAAGTCCCTTATCATCTGCCTTCGTTTTTGTGATCACTATGTAATATCGCCATTTTGTCAATAATAAACATGTTATATCGTGGAATCCACGCGAGTTTAGTGGGACCCACAAGTCAATGTTGGTTTTATAGAGCCCGCAAACCTATATATTTTCGTGTGGATTTCACCAGACACCAATGCGTGTGTTTTTTTTGTAGACTTTGGCACTGTTTGGCGGGTCGACCCGTTTTGGCTTGCTCCAAAACGGAGCAGCAGTAGCCTAGCTTGCATCAAAGAATTGTGTAAAGAAGTGAATGAGTGAGTTGTACACAAATAGAAAATGACTTTTGTCCCTAAAATGAATTTCCCAACAACCTGTAGATGCAGAAAGAAGAGAGCCAGTCCTTTTCCATTCTGAACATTGCTCTTTCAAAGCATGGAAACCACATTTTTTCAAAATAAAAAATGGTGTTAAAATAGGATTAAATCAATTCAATAACCAGCCAAGGTCAGGTTCAAACAAATTTCTTTTTTCTTGCAAATATTTAGGTTAGATTGTGTTCCCTAACTCAAATAAACCTGCATGCTAAGCAAGGTTGGTTATTAGGTGAGTGACAGTAACTCCATAGCTAGAGGAGACAAACAAGCACCATATATCTACAATCCATCTATCCCTGAGAGAATTGAAGAAGAAAACACAAAGAAAGATCAAAACAATAATCATAATAACAACAAGAATGCAGCTTCACATGATCTCGCCGAGCTGCCTGAAGCAGGCACGGCTTCTTCCTCCGGCTCCTAATAAAGGGGTGAAGGAGTTCATGGGAGCGAAGGTCGTCGGGTCTGTGGGGCCCACGCGAGTGTCGTACCGCGTCCTCGCCACCCTCTGCCTCCTCGCCGCTTTCGTGCTCTTCAGGTCTGCGTTTCTGCTCAGCGCCGCCATTCATGAGGAGGAAGCCCAGAGCAATTATAGTAATAATAAGAATAACCATAGGAAAAATGGTGTAGCAGGTTGCTTGGGGAGGAAAATAGGGAGGATACTACACCACCCTATTCATGATGAATCAAACCCAAAGGTATTCTGCCTCATTTCATAAGAATATTTTAGTAAACTTTCACTTTTTTTTTCTTTAAATATTATGGTTCAATTTCATGGTAGCAGGTCCCACAAGTGATATACCAAGTATTGGAAGAGCCAATGGACCAAATACTTGGTACACAAATGAGGCTTCAAAGTCCTCTAACACTTGAAGACTTCATTGCTGATCAATACAAAGGTGGTGATGATGATGCCAAGACCTTTGCACTCAAGCTCAAAGCCATGGTGAGTCACCTCGAGGAGACGGCACGAGCCGCGAAAATCCAGGAGTACCTGTACCGCCACGTGGCGTCGAACAGCATACCCAAGGAGCTGAGCTGCGTCCTCCTGGCCCTGGCGGACGAGCACTCGACGAACTCCGGGGCCCGCCGCCAGCTCCCGCCGCCGGAGCTCGTCCCCGCCCTCGTCGACACCGCCTCCGACTTGTTCCACTTCGTGGTGGCGTCCGACAACGTGGTGGCGGCAGCTGTGGTGGCGGCGTCGCTGGTGGGGAACTCGCTCCGCCCCCACAGGGTTGTGCTCCACGTCATCACCGACCGGAAGACGTACTCCGCCATGCATGCATGGTTCTCCTTGCACCCCCTCCGCCCCGCCATCATCGAGGTTTGGTTGATGACACACAGACACTCATTTCTCTGTTTATACTTTGGTTACAAACGTTTACGATTTGATAACACTAAACTCTAACGCACGCTTGGTATATAGGTGAAAGGGCTACACCACTTCGATTGGTTGACGAAGGGGAAAGTGCCCATATTAGAAGCCATGGAGAAAGACGAGAAAGCAAGATCCGGTTTCAGGGGCGGTTCTTCCGCTATAATGGCTGACCACAACAACAACGATAATAAGAACAACAAGGCGGAGCGGCCTAAGGTTGTCGCCGCCAAACTGCAAGCCCTCAGTCCCAAGTACCACTCCCCCATGAATCACATTCGAATCTATTTGCCACAGGTTGGTTGGGACTAGGGGAGCATTAAAAAAAGAGTCAGATGTATTAGGGCATAGATCTTTTGACACGGACTTGGAGTTTGTGTCTATTTGTCTAGTTTGACTTTTTTGAGTAAGACTCGATGAACTTTGAGTTTCAATTAAATGAAAACCATAATGTATATTTGTATAAAAATGATTTTATTAGATTTATCTTGTTGAGAATTTTTAAAATTTTATTTCATTTTTGTAATACAAGTTGAGAGTAATTGAAGATCAAAGTTTGTTCAATTTTACTTGAAAAAATCAAACTAGACAAATACACTGGGACGAAGACAGTGTATTCTAAAACACATGATCATGTATGACGTGCAGTTGTTCCCGAGCCTAAGCAAAGTCGTGTTCTTGGACGACGACGTTGTCGTCCAAACCGACATGTCGCCTCTGTGGGAGATCGACATGGGCGGGAAGGTGAACGGAGCAGTGGAAACTTGCAGAGGGGATGACAAGTTTGTGATGTCCAAACGCTTCAAGAACTACTTGAACTTTTCTCAACCACTCATAGAAAAGAGCTTTGATCCTGATGAATGTGCATGGGCTTATGGCATGAACATCTTTGATCTTGAGGCTTGGAGAAGAACAAATATAACCCAAACTTATCACTACTGGTTGGAAGAGGTATGTTATACTCCCTCCGTCCCTAAATAAACTTTCTTTTTTGACTTTTTGAGGATTTAAGGGAGAGATATTTTTGTGTTGACTTTCCAAAAATACCCTTGATGTGATGTGTAAAAGTAAGATGTGATAAGTAGATTATTAGTAAAAATGTATGATGTGATAGGTATGGTATGAAAAAGTAAGGGGTAAAAGAGGTTTTTTAAGGGAAAAGAGAAGTTTATTTGGGGACAAAGAAAAAACGAAAGAGGAAGTTTATTTAGGGACGGAAGGAGTATAACTTATATATGCAATATATTTTTCCCCTTATAAAACTATATTTTCGGCGTAACAATTTTTTGAATCATGTATTGAACTCAGAACTTGAAATCGGAGTTGAGTTTATGGCAACTAGGTACACTACCCCCGGGTCTAATCGCGTTCCGGGGACATGTGCACGCCATTGACCCCTTCTGGCACATGCTCGGGCTCGGCTACCAGCAAAACACAAGCATTGCACAAGCTGAAAGGGCCGGCGTCATCCACTTCAATGGCAGAGCCAAACCATGGCTAGACATTGCATTCCCACAGCTCAGACCATTGTGGACAAAGTACCTTGACTTCTCTGATACCATCATCCAAAGATGTCATTTTAGAAGAACTCCATGAAACCTGAAACCTTTTTTTTTTGCAGCACATTTCTCTATTGGGTATATAGAATTATTATCTTAGAATGTCTCCTATTTCCCTCCAGAATACAGAATTTTGTTTAAACACTATCTTCTTTGTTGAGTCTTGCAAAAAATCATATTATAACATAAACTGAAAAACAGCATGAGCATGAACAATCATAACGTCAAAGTATTGAAGTCCTAAAAAATGATTGGAAAATCTTTCTGGGCTGGCCTCTAAGGTGGGGGTGGGGATTCTTTGATACAAAAGCCAGTATCTGCTTGCACTATACAAAATACAGGGGAAGCTGTTAGGAGGGTGGGGGAGGGAGGGGGGGAAGATTTTCTGGCATAGAAATTTCGTTTCGGTTAAAAATCAAATCGCGCATTACACATCTAAGAGACACACAACAAGGGGTAATGGAAGTTGGAGAGTACAAAAAGAATCTCAGCCAAAGCTCAGGCGAGAATCCAAAAGTCGCAAGCTGGTTTGGCGCCGCGGGACCCCAATCTCACAAGCATTTACACGTGCCGCGAACCGGAGAGAGCATAGCGATTCACCAGCTGAGGCTGGATCAGGTGAGACATTCACAAACATCATGGTTTTCGAGTCCCCACCCAGACATGGCTGGTCATCATCATCATCATCATATAAACAGCATGCAACAACATAAATAATGAGTAAGCATACGAAAAGCATTGGGAAATATATAAAGGAAAAAGTGACATGTAATATACTAGTAACTGATGGACTAAGTAATATCCAGTATGCCAACAGAATTGAGGGATCAAAAATGTCATTTTTCCTAAAATATTTTTAAAAATGCTTTATAGTACCTGGAGAAGATATGTGAGTTTAGAATTCCTGAAAGGAACATGCTCCTCTTTCTTTGCCAATGCAAAAATGACATCACTTAGGGATGATAAACTTTTATTGATTGCCTGCAAACAAACAAGGTATGTTTAAATTAGAAGAGATCACCAGCAATGCTATATTTTCCAATCTGTTGCAATTATTGTTCACATGGGTATATAAATACCTGAGTTTCTTTGAGTCTGTCCCCCGTAGCCCCACTTCTAGATAGGCGTTCACTACCCGCAAGGTCAATAAGATTCAGAACACCTTGTACTTGTTGCTCCGTGCTCTGCAACAAGAGGTCACAAGAAGGATTCGTCACCAAAGAAAACAGTCTCTTTACTCCTCAGATTGAAAGTAAGAAGATATGTGTACGCATGCCCCTCAAACTAAGAGCAGTGGGATATATTTATTGGTTTACTCCTCAGTTTGGTTTGAAGTCATCAACAACAACATAATTTTTAAATGCTCAATAACAGCTATATACTGAGTATACAGAAACATTCCTACTTACTTCATTTACACCAGATATTCGAAGAGTGAACACAAAATGGCTTCTCGAAGATTGCTCATTCATTTGAGTCCTCCCAACAGACCTACAAATTTCAAAAATGATGATTACAGAAAACAATTGATTATTTTAGACCCACATTATAGCAAAAGTGTATTCTTCTAATAATACCTGCTTTGTGCTGCTCGCTCTAAAAGGTATGAAACCTCCTTGCTGCTCCGAACATCCACAATGGTCAAGTCAGACACATGTGTATTACCATGTACATCGTGTTTTATGCCATATTGTTTTCCTCCATTGTCAAAGCTTGATCGGGTTGGAGACAAAAGGTCTCGTATTGTCTCGTTGTATATTTCAAGCATCGATACCTACACAACAAAAAAGTATAATCAATAAATAGTGAAGTGAGACCTTTTTTTATTGAAAATCAACTAACAGAATGAGGTATTCAGTATCCACTGTCCGACCTGCATGTCATATTTCCATCCTTGGTCTTGATAGTTTTGCCTTGTCTGAAATACTTGTTCCAACGTGCGCGGAATCAAACCTTGCTGATCCAGGGGCCGTGGATTTCCCATCATTGTGTAAGTCTTACCAGAACCAGTTTGGCCATAAGCAAATATACAGACCTGGAGAAACCCAGAACTTAAAACCATTTTCAGCAAGCAAACAATGATCATGCTTCTATGAAATTGTGACACCATAGCAGCATTAAAAATTGAGCAAAAGGACAAGCTAGTTTGTTAGCTTAATACATAATTGTGTTAAGTGATTAATAGTATACAGAGTATACTACTGCACGAATTCAGTCATAGAAAAATTTAATCACGGTGGTTAATTTGCATGTTCATGTTTATGGAACACGACTATAGGTCTACAACTACCTTAACCAAGAATTTTCTATGCATGTGGAAAAAATCAATTGAAAACACACACAAAAAATTTATTGTCATCTCATTGTTCCTTTTAAAGACGATTGTGACAGGCCTTTTTAAGAAAATTGTGACAGGGAGGACATTGAGCGTAAAATTTTGCCTCTGTTTTTCTTGCATTGATTTATAGTTTAACTAAACCAAAAGACACTGCATTCTATACCACCAACCTCAATTAGTTTGAATAAAGGAGATGATGGTATACTAGTCAAGACAAATGAATCAAACCTCACAAAAGCAGTGCTTGAAAAAAAAACAACACATGGCACATGTCATATATTTACATGTCCATGTTCAACTCTAGAAGGAAATAGAATAAATAACTACGTTTAGATTTTGTTCCGCTGATTTTATACATGTAAGTGGGTAACAAGTAACATGCATAAATTGCAGTCCATTGCCAGTGGGTTCAAAATACATGCTGAAGAGAAAATATCACCTTGTAACCATCAAGAGCACTCTGTACAAGCTGTGATATCTCGTCAAAAACATCCTTCTGTGAGGCTTCAGGCACGAAGACTTTATCAAATGTGAAAGAGTGCTTTTGCCCTTAAATAGAACAGGGGAAAACAAGAGTCAAAAAGAGGATGTTACAAGCACAAAATATTCTTCTTCTGGTCGTAACTGAATACCAACCATTATGTGTCAAATCAATTCCCCGTCCAAGGGCTTCCGTAGATGTTGGAAAAGATACGACCTTTTCGGCACTAACAACATCATCAGATAATGTAGGTCGCACTCTGCAGAACACTCTTATATTGCCTTTAAGTTCCTACATCATCAGAGAAAACTTATTGAATTATTATTTATTCATGTCCAAAAAGAAAAGTTTGCAGCACATTCATCTATATTTTTACCAGAATCGTATTGTGCAGTTTTTTACGAAGCATTTCACCATCCGCAATTTTGATTTCTGCATCTGAAAGGCGCTGACTTAACTCACTATTAACTTTCTTTAGCTTTTCGAATTCTGATTTTGCTTCCATGGAAGACATGTCAGACACCTAAAAAAGGAACATAGCTAGTAAAAAAGACACGTTGAAGAGTTTTAGTGGAGATAAATATATGTATTAATCCCATCCGTGTGTACCTGCAACTTTGTTTCAGACAAAGCAAGCTGTTCCTGCAATCTCCTTATTTGCTCACATTGAGAGGAACATCTCGCCTGGAAAAAATAATACAATATGTAGTTGTTGTTGACACAATGTTTTTAATCTAAAGCATGCCAAAGAAACCACCACTATGACTCCAAATTCCAAAAGGCATACCTCCAGTGCGTCAGATTTCATTGTAAGGTTGCTCAACTCCGCAACTGATTTTCCAGTGCATTCCTTGTATTTTGCCACCTCATCTTTTAAACTTTTGACTAGTGATAGCTGATTGTCACGGTCAACCGTGACGTTTTGCAGATCCTTACGAAGGCATCCCACCTCAGAAGCTAAAGCTTCTTTCTGTCTTACAGCCTCATCTTGAGCAGCCTGAAATGGAAGGAAACAGCCCCAAAATTTAGTGAAATGAAATTAAAGAGAAGTCTATGAAAGCTGAAAAATGGCTTAGTGGCCTTAGCCTAATAATAAAGTCCTCTGTTCTAACCTTAGAAGATGAGAGCTGTTCCGTCAAAGAAGTATAGCGACCCCTCAAAGTGCTGAGATTTTCCACCAGAGCAGCCTTCTCATCCTCCACACGATTGAGTTTCTCATTAGTATTAGCATTCTCTGACTGAAGCCTGCTGCTGAATTGCTGTAAACTCGTGTTATACTCTTGTAGAACTTGAATCTGAGTACCAAAACCATTACATTATAAGTTATACCACCCAGATTAAGTGATAAGAATGTCTAACCATAAAAATCCAGAGATTGTATCAAAATTACCTTTTGATTAGCAGTTTCATTGTCTTGCTGAGCTCTTCTAAGCTCCTCTGAGAGAGATGCTTGCTGTTTCTCAGATGCCACTCTTAAATCTTTTTCCCTGCTAAGCGAACTCAGGGCTTCCTGGCCACGATTAAGCAATTTAATAGCATATTAATAATACTGTTTGCTCCAATAATAAAATAAATCCATGATGCAGAACCAAGTTTGCTAATGAACTATGCTTGCATCACTTTACCATTTTTTCTGATTCCTCCTTCTTCAAATTTTCCTGTAACACTCCAATTTGTTTCCTCAAATCAATACTGATTGCATTCAATTCTTCTTCTTTTGATTTTAATAGCATATCTAAGAGGAACACAAAACCAAAACTGAAATAAGTGAACACCTCTAATGGTCTCCTCAAGACTAACTCAGCTCATAACAGAAAGGTCATACCCAGCTCATTGCACTTAAGCTCTGCTGATTGTAGGAGACTCTTGAGTGACTCCTGCTCCACAACAAATGCTCCTTCTAGCTGTTGGAACCACTTAATACACTGTCTAAGCCTTTTACAGTTTTCAACCGTTTGGTCCCATCTTACCTAAAATATTGCACAATGTCAGCATAACATTTTACCTATACCAATTGCTCATAAGCACGGGAGAAGAATCAGATCCATTTTTAACAGCCAAATATATCCCCATCAATTATACAAAATACAATAAGCTAGAAAGATACTGGATCTGCTATACCTTTGTATTAAATTTGTTCTTCTGTTCTGGCCTTTGAGCAAGAATTGCTTCAACATCTTCTTTGCTGAACTCTACAACTACACAGTCAGATCCTGCACTACTAGGCGGCCCACTGGTTGAAGGCGGATCTGCATTCCCATTCACCACAGAAAAAGCACGTCGACCCCGTCCAACCCCAGTTGTTGAAGTAGGCATCTTTGAAATCCCAATCTTCCTCTTCTTGTCTATGGACACCTCGTCAGCGTTACTCTTTCCCTGCAAAAAACACATGAAACCCCACCTCAAATCACACCTTAAAATTCTAAATTTCACCAAAAACTCCACAATCAAGAGGACGAAACTGAAATTAGCTCGATCATGATGTGAACAAAGTCCCTGAACACAATCAAATCTCTAACTTAACCATCTAAACATTCACCACACACCAAAATCAATGGATTGGGGGGAGGGCATACTTAGATGCTGAATACTACCAATTCCCTGAAACCAATCGTTTTTTCCTAATGAGTGACAGAAACCGAGAGAAAGTAAATCAAATTGCAGGCTTTTGTCATTGAAAAAGAAAGAAACGAATAAAGGAAGCCTTACGTTGGAAGGGCTAGAAGGAGTGCGATGTACAGGCGGCTTGTTCTGGTTCTTAGGAGCCATATTTTTTGAAATATAGAGAGTGAGAAAGAGCAGTTATGGAATGAGATTTAGAGAGAGAAGGGGGGGGATGAATTTCGAAAGCTTTTCACGAGACGGATCTAGGGCTCAGATTGGGTTTGAAGCTACCAGATCCTATCACAGCCGTTGCTTTGAATTGCAGTAAACTGGTCGACACTCTGAATTCAATTCTCCCTCTCCCCCACTATTCTCAGACAATAAACCCTAAAAGAGAAATTCAAATGGCGGATTATTAAGAAACTGAATCACTTTCTCTCTCTACCAGATTTGAGTGCGTCCTCTTCAAGCCCCGATCGGTCATTTTACATCGGAGACGCCGATGGGGGGGGTTGGGGGTACGGTGTCGCCGTGCGGGGGTGCGGAGGAGTCGGGTCGGGTGCTAAAGGCGGAGCGTATGTAACTTTTTTTGAATGATTTTGAAAAATGGAAGTCTGGCGGTATGAACCTATAGATTCGTTGAATTGGGTGTTTGACGATTTTGCCCCCCAACGGTTACCTTTATCTCTGCTATTTTTTCAAAAAAGTCGATAGGTGTTAATGTCACCAATTTGCCAAAAATCAAACATGCTAGAGGCGGAGCGTATCAAATCAAGGTTAGATCGATGGCTCAATTTCCATTCCTAAAATTCAAAACATGTCTAAAACTCTAACATTTTCTTTTACTTAATTTTATTATTTATTTGATAAAATAATATATTTATGCCACTTCTTTATACGTACAATTTTTATATAGTTTTTAATTAAATGATTTTTAATTTTTAAATTTAGTATCAAGGTTCTGATTAATTGAATTGAAAATAACATCGGTCAAATATCTTAAACAATACTCCCTTCGTCCTATAATGTTCTTCATGTTTGTGTTTACAAGATTTTTTCAATCCAATTCATTTAATTGTAGGTATAAAATTAAAAAATAAAATTTATATATTTAAAGACTACATCAAAAGTTTTACAAAATAAGTGGTGACAAGACTATATTATTTTATCAAATACCAAATGAAAATAATTAAAGAATGTGATTAAAGTTTGACAGTGTGAAAAGTAACTGAGAATTCATTTTGAGTATTTGTTACTCCCTCCGTCCTATAATGATCTTCCCAGAGCACTATTCCAACTTCACGGGAATTTATATTTATTTGTGTTTTTTCATGGCCTATATGATAAAATAAAATATTCTTATCACCACTTGTTTTGTTGAACTTTTGGTGTAGTTTTTAAATATGTATGTTTTATTTTTTATTTCTATACCAATATTTAAATAAAATAGATTGAAAAAACTTGGGATTTTTCTTCGTTTTGCGAACCGGGAAGATCATTATAGGACGGAGGGAGTATATTTGAAGATATTTTTATATCTCTTTAAGTTTCACCAACTATAAAAAAGATTTCTTATATCTAAAAATATCAAAGATCATATCTCTTTGATCAATGAAGAAACTAATTTTATATTAATATTATGCACTAACACATATGCTCCTTCTGATTATTTTCTATATAATTTTCTGGCAAAGATGAGAGCATTAGTACTCATTTTCCAAATTAGATGGTGCACTAGAGCCTTTCCCCATTATAGTTCATTGTTTTCTCTTTTTTGTTTCTCATTTTTCTTTGTTTTTGTTCCACTTTTTCATAAACTTTTTTCAATGTTTTTTTAAATTTCTTTTTTAATTTGATTTTTATAATGTTTTAAAAATTTAAAATTGTCCAAATCCTATTTTCGTAGGACTCGATTGGGTTGTTGTTGTCGTATTTAAAAATTCAAGACTACTTTGGAACAAAGAAATAAATGAAGTAAAAAATGTAACATACACTTCATCTGTCACAAACTAAACATTTTTTTCTTTTGAAAAACAAAAATGCTTTTTTTAGACGTTCAAGAAAAATGAGGAAAACATAATAAAATAAAAAAATCGAAAAAGAGAATGAAGGGGAAAAATACAAGTAAAATTTACTCTTACTAAGGATACCGGATCCGTAGTCTTTGGATTGATTGTGCTGATCACCATGTTAATTTTGTGGACATTGTAAAATTCAAAATTTTTTGTTAATGGGAGGATATCGATTTTCATTTATGCCCTCCGACTGGCGGATCGGGATCGGGAAGAAGAAGAAGACACTTGCAGGAGCTTGGACGTGGCTTTAATGAATTCGAAGCGTCCTCGGAAAGTTTCAAAGTACCAGCGCGACCCTCCCCGGACAAACACGTAGTTTATCATCGGAGACACCGCCACCAGACCAAAAATATCTCCGACCATTCTAAACCATCACCTCCTTGGGGTTACATCTACGACACTATTGAGCACACGGGTTGCTTTCTATATCTTCCACAAAATTATATAGATTCTAGCCCTAAAATATGTCACTCCCTCTATATGGTCACGGGGTCCGAGTTCCGATGTTTATGCCAGAAGAGGGTGATCTGAAATGGTTTGACCATACGACAACAGGATGGAAGAAATTGGATATCGAACCAGTGTTGCACGCCTACAACATTAACAGTTGGAGTTCTCTTGGCATCATTTACCTCCCGCAATTCGCTCATTTGGTTGTCAATCAACTTTGGGCTCTTATAGTTTCCGTAGCCGATTTTGAGCTTTGCCTCTTGTGGTACGGGGGACACCATGCTGGCCCTGACACCAAGGAATTGAGTCCCTTGTATTATGCCATGGTTTCAATCTGCCTTGATCCTATGGCACCCACAGCCACTCTTTTGAAGGAAGCCGTATTGGGCATCAATGCAGTTGAGGTTTTCAACTGCCTGCCATATGATTCTGTTTCAGATGACGACGATCATTCGCACTTGATGGAAGAAGGGAGTCTATGGTGCCTCTAGCAGCAGCAAGTGGAATGCGCAGGTTAAAGAATACGCAGTTCTGTTTCAGAATGTGGACGGTTCGGCAATGGTGCTGGGTTCTTTGTTGCAGACCAGAAATACCTTTACGGCTTTACCCAGATCCCCTCAGATGCTGAACTGCCTCCAAAGAAGAAAATGAAGGAATCTGCCATTTGATTACTCAGTCTCAAGTTTCCTCACTTGAGCTTTAGATTGAATGAAGCGCTTTAGATTACTCATTCTCTCAAGTTTACTCACAGAAACACTTAAAATACTACTGCTTTATAAAACACTTCAAATTATTTCACTACTAAACACAGCTCAGTAATTTCACTTAAAGTCTAAATCCAATTCTTCAAGGTTCAATTTTGTTAAAAAATCAGGGAAGTTCAAATGGCTGGTGTTCTTGCAAGATAATCAAATCTGGAGATTTGTTTCAAAGAATTGAAAGACATTGTAATGATTTGATTCAAACTCTTAAAATAACAGAAGCTAAATCACCAACTTTATGGAGAGGAAGATAAGACCGTTCAATTGATTCTTTAGATTATACACACAATCTAAGAGGGAAGCAGAGACAACAATGAAAAAGTAACAAATCAAAGTCGTTAAACAGGAGACCTAATCTCTCTATCTACTGAAGCAACAAGAACAGGTACTATTCTGAGACAAGCAAGAAGACCTTCAATTCCAAATTCCATATTCTCTCCTCTTCATCTAATCTTCATCGGCTGCCTTGGATCCACCGGCCTTCTTTGGGAGGAGAAGGGTGTGGATGTTGGGCATGACACCGCCATTGGCAATGGTCACATCCCCAAGCAGCTTGCTCAGCTCCTCGTCATTCCTCACAGCCAATTGGATGTGCCTCGGCACAATCCTTGTCTTTTTGTTGTCCCTGGCCGCATTTCCGGCCAATTCCAGAACCTAATCGTCAAAATCACGATTCAGAAAGAGAGGAGTTTGTTAGAACCCTAGCAAACCCTAGAAACAGAAATTGGGGGAAACAACAGAAAAAAAAAGAGAAATTGAAATTGAAATCGAGGAATACCTCAGCAGCGAGGTACTCGAGGACGGCGGCGAGGTATACCGGGGCTCCGGCACCGACGCGCTCCGCGTACTTCCCGGCCTTAAGGAACCGAGCGATACGGCCGACTGGGAACTGGAGACCGGCCTTACTGCTTCGTGAGACCGCCTTCTTCGAGGCAGAGGAACCACCGAGAGTCTTTCCACGTCCGGCCATCGCTGCAACCGCCGCCGATGTGAAGAGAAACTTGCTTTTCTGGGTAGGGTAGAAGATCCGCGATTCGGAGATGGAGAAAAGATGGCGGTGGTTCGGATGAGGAATGAGGGCAGTGTTTATATAGGCAAGGCAATTTAAACGATGGCCAATCGGATAAGAGTACGCGGATCGTAAATCTTAGCCGCTGATTAGAAATAAATCTACCCTACTCAGTTTACTTTCTGTGTGTGCTTTCGCTAGATTCAAAAAGCGTTTTTGTGAATTTGGGATGGCGGGTAAACTCCAAATGCATCAAAAAGTAAATACGATCCACTTTTAGAGATAAAATTTAAATTTGTTAGTCACTCTGATGTGTTTTTTTAAATTTAATGTTTGATTTCATTTTTGAATTATTCAATTACTGAGTATCATTTTAATAAGTCTGATGTTATACTCATATTAAAATTCCAGAATTTCAGTATAAAATTAGATTTGAACTTTTAACATTTTTAATTTGCATACCCTCCATATCATTTAAACAAAAGATTATACTTAAACATACAAATGCACAAAGTCTACTTTTACTTTTGTTTATCTTGCAAATGTAGAATTTTATTTTTTTTTGTGAAAACACCCCTATCAAAATGTGTCTAATTAATGTTACGGCTAACGAAATTTTCTCCCTCTCGAGTAGTTGATAAATAAATTATATTTGGTCGGCATTTATATATTTAAAAATTATAAAAACTTTACCGAGCAAGTATTATGTGATTGTAATTGAGCTTGTCACGAAGTTCCTATGTCGAATGTTGGATCTGTGCGATATTTTTTTGATACCACAATTTTTTCCTCAGTTTGATTTTGGGTCCAATGGGAGTGAATTTTCTCTCCATACAAACAATTTCACGCCGCAGCTTGTGGACACATAGAGTGCTCATTGGATCCTCTCTTGGCGAAGGCACTGGCTTGTAGATAGAGGATTTTGTAATTGCTTACCTATGGGGTTCAGATACAAACTTTTCAACGAGGTTTTTCATTTTCTTGCTCGTCACACATTCCTGCAGTTATTGAGAATTGTTTCTCTTACAATTACATTTGGTTTCATCACTCTCTCCTAAACATATTGAAACCACACATTTCTCATTTTTCACCGTTTTCTTAAACTCGGTGAAGTCATTAAAAAGTTTTTTTAATGCACATTTATTATCTTTCACTCCATTCGGTCCATAAAAAGTGTGTATTTCACAAATATACAATTTTTTTAGATATCAATGAGGTGCAACTAGAAATAGTAATATATGATCATACTCTAAGATTTATTTGTTAGAGTAACATAAGAGTAATTATTTCCCAAAACCATCATTTATAATACCCCGGAGTATAACTCATATTATATTTGTGAGCCTGTATATTTGAGTATTCGATAGGAAAATCAGAGATATAACATTTTCCCGAAGTAAATGGAAACATCATGTTTATGTTCCATAAAAAGAGACCTTTTTGTCTACACCTATCTGTCTCAAACAAACATCTACTACAAGCACTTCAAAGCAAGAAACTCAACATTGTTTTGTGACACCACTCCTGGAATATGCTGCAGCCGCCATTGGATGGAAGTGAAGGAAGCTCAAGAAGACCCCACACAGTGTTCTACGAAGAAGAAGAAGAAGAAGCGGGGGCAGCTTCTTCTTCTTCTTCTTCTTCTTTTTCTTCTTTTGATTTCTCCTTCTCTTTCTGTAGTCTCTTCCAGTTCTCGGCACTGTCTATGATCTCACCAGTTTTCACAAGGTAGCGAACCCGTTTCCCATTGTCTAGCGTTTTATGCCCCACCCTGCTTGCTACTTGCTTCTCCACGGAGTAGAGCATCACATTTGAGCTGTGAATGGGCGCTTCCACCTGCAAATTATTACTTGTTTTAGAGAGCTTTTTTTATTTTGCTCTCTGATAACTACTGCTTTGGAATTCCAAGAAAGCATTAATTAATCTTCACCCACGACTTCAATTCTCAAATCATACTATACTACTGTTATCTTGATATTAGAAAAATATATTGCTTTGATATTATATGTGTGAAGGGAATGTTCACGAGAAAGATTGATTATACTGCAGTACTGTACTACTGTACCTAGAAATTAAAAAAAATACACTTATTTTGCAAATCTATAAAACTCCAGAAATGTAATTATCGGAACTGGATGGAGTACTGATTTTTTTTTTTTGAAGGGCCATGTTTGCTAAAGTAACAACTTTTTAATTTTGGTTATTACAACTCTAAAATGTAAGACTCTGCATAACTACATTTGGTTGTTTGTTACTTTGTTTAGCTTAACTATCACATTTAACTCATTCGTATATTGGGGAATCACATTTTAAAAGATCAGTTATATTGATTGAATGAGACTTCTTTTTTGGGGAGGTAAAACCTTTTTGAAATATCACCCTTTTTTTGGGGAGGGAGAAGTAAACTAACCTTAACTATCTGTCCGGATTCACCTTCTTGCTTGCTCTTAACATGCTTGGTCTTCAAGTTAATGTCCTTCACTATGACTTTGCTGTTATGCCTGATAACCTCAGTAACATCTCCAATTTTACCTTTATCATGCCCAGTTATTACTTTCACTGTATCTCCAACTTTAACATGCAGTTTGTGTAGCAGAGGAAGGCTGTTTGGCTTGCACTCTTTGCGCTCCCATCTCTTAAGCTGCTCGTGTAGCAATAGGAACAATACTCAATTCATCAACAATTACCATCATGTGTTTTAATGCATTAATCCAGAAATACTTCATGCAGTGTTTCTTCTGAACATTCACAGAGAATGTATATAATGAGAAATCGTGGGGAAATATTCAACAATCAAAGGGCATGTTTGGTAGCCATATCAGCTTATTAGAGTTGCTTTTGATTTACTTCTTTGGATGCAATGTGTGTTACCAAACACAATTCCTTTCAAAACCAAAAAAAAAAAAAAATCAACCTTATCACCTAAGATTTGGCCATTTCAGCTGAAAACCATACTCCGTATTTAATGGTATCCAACAATTTCACATTGATTTTTTAAGTTCAACCTGCCTTGTCAAAATCCAATACATGAAATAATACAATAGAGTGAAATTTAATGGATGAAGGGGAGCCTTGACACAACGCTTGAAGTGTTTCTGTGTGACCTTGAGGTCACGGGTTCAAGTCCCCATTACATCCTTATCTTAGGACCCTTCTTCATATCATCACTCAGAGGGGACCCTTTACACACTAGGCTGCACTTGAAAATTTAAGAAGTCTCTGCCTTTCAAAACAACTTTCAAAAAAAATCAAGTAAACGTATGTTTCCTCTACATCCAACTATCTAAGTATCAAAATTCAGAAGCAAGTCATTTCACTGTTTCATTTCTTTTTCTGTTTCACCTTGAACACAAACAAAAACTTGGTGAACTTGCATTGACACAGAGAGGAAAAACATGACCACTGCATTATCTCAAGGACTATCCATAAGAATGCAAAAGTTAAAACAACAGAGACAGTAAAGAATGCAAACACATACCTTTGCTGCAATAGGAAAAGGTTTCTCAATTGATTTAACCTGCAAATTACCACCGAAAGGCAGTTATTACCTATCACTCAGTGTAGATCTGTAATGAAAAAGTTTGAATTAAAAAAAAATGCATTATTGCATATGACTATAACCGTGGACTAAGGAGAGCACTTAAATAACCTTTTTTTCTTTTTCGCTAGAATTTGTTATTGCAACGAAACATGCGAGTGTGTGAGCTAATTATTCACTCTAACAACCAGGGAAAGCCACTGGTTTGGAAAACCAGAGAAGACAATGTAGCATTCGATTAAGTATAAATAATAAGCAAGCATTCGGAAACCTAACATCTAGTACTTCAGCAGCCTATACTTCAGAATGAACTAATCTGTGGAACATAAGCAATTTCACATATGATAGCATGTTTGGGATCTTTGGTTGTTCTTCTCCACGGCCTAAGACTAATCTTGAAAAACGTGGAAACATTTTTGTGCACTAAAACTGATTGTTTAACTTAAATTTCCAGTGCACTTTCAAAATGGTAAAAAACACAATGTGGCTCTTCTCATAGGACTAACTCACGAATTAACTCGAGAACTCCAATTACAATTTCCATATATTCAATTGCAACTAGGGCAAAGGATCGAAGGAAAATGTTTCAAGTAGGTGAAGTTTATATAGATGTTTACTACTCATTCAACTATTCAAGAACTCCATCATGGCTTCATCTACATTTTTAACTGTTCACTAAAGACTGCACCTTTTTTAGGATAATACATTGATCAACGGAAATAACTATTCATAAAGCGAGAAACCCTAAATGCATAGCCTCTATTGTCAACGAATCAGCTATATTTCTATCTTCCAAAGTCAATTGTTGCAAGATAGGTTACCAGAAGTCTTAAATGCAGAGGCGATTAGAGCCTCCATATCCAGGTGAATGGAAATAATTTCAAGGAAAATAAAAGGAGCGTACATACAGGAGGCAAGCACACGGAGGAGGAGAGACGTTGGCATATGAAGGAGCTGGACGAGAAATAAAGAGAAGTAAACGAGCTCTGCAGAGCTACCATTCCCGCCATTGTTATGCCGCCGGTAGAAGGTTTAGCAGCTGAGAAGAATAGATAGATAAATGGATAGATTCGCGCACGAGGGTGAAGGAGATGACCAAATTTGAATGGTTCACATATGGTCTCATTCCATTCTAATAAAAAAGTAATTCCTCCGTCTTAAAACTTTCTTCTCTTCTCAGTTACTTGTACTATTCATACGGTCAAATTTAAATTACTTTCTTTACCTATTTTTACTACTTATTTGATAAAATAATATAGTCTTGTCACCTCCTATTTTATAGAACTTTTAAATGTAGTTTTTAAATATGTAAATTTTATTTTTTAATTTTACACCTACAATCAAATAAATTGAATTGAAAATAAAGTTGGTCAAACCTCGTAAACACAAACGGGAAGATGGTTTTAGGACGGAGGGAGTAATAAATAATAAGAATTAGTGAAACAGAATATGATTGAAGTTGTCCCCCAATTCTTTAGGTGGTACTTCTACTTGTGCACCAAAATAAGGTTGCTTTGATATGATATTAATGAATCCAATATAATTTTATATTTTTGGAATGCAATTTAAAGTTGTTATTCATATGATTATGATAAACATGAGTAGTAGGCATACAAAATTTGTTTGAAGGAAATGGAGTCTTAGAACTTATTCTTTTCGTTTAATTATATCTGATTTGATTTTATTAAAGTTTGATTTAATTTGATTATATCTATTGATGAGATTTAGTTCAACAATTATGGCGTATGAAGTACAAGGTAAACAATAACGAAAATATTCTGTTCTATATTGCTCTTTTGTTAGGTGCTTTTTGCTTGATTTACAATGTAAGGCCAACCTCCTATTTATAGCTAAAGTCTATCCTATACATAGCAAGTATTGTCGTGTGCTACATCATCGGCCATTTCACCAATCGTGTGATAATCATGGCAGGGAATCGGTTATTGATTCCCATCAATCTCACGATTCAGGGAATTACATTTATTTGGATATTGGATGTCTTCCCGGGCCACTTCTCGGGCTTCGCTTCCAAGTTTACAACCGGAATCTAATAGCTATTGGGTCAACCTAACTTCAATTGGGCCATTTTTATTTGGGCCACTGACTCAGATATCCATCAGCCATGTTTAAAAAATAATTTTTGATCTCATTTACTTTTAATAAGAATAAATAATAACATTAAGTTGGAGAGAACAAATTTGGGCCACTAAACTAAAAGCAAATAATAATCCAAACCAGAAATCACTACCAACTAACTCTAAACGCTAAACCTTAAAAAATCATTAAATTGATCAATATCATAATAAAACATTAATAATTAGTCTAAAAAGAAGAGGCATGCATAAACATGCCCCGTAAAATAATGTTCCTTTCTCATGATTCTTATCTTGTTGATGAATTTTCCAAAAATAAGGGAACAAAAAACACTACTGTAGAACGGATGAAGCAATTATTAAGAACCACAATAATGTCTCTTTGGTCAACTGTCCCATACTTTCCCTTCTTTCGTCCACGACCATTCTCCTTATTTAGGGGTCAAAAGTTATTCGGGGTACTCCATATTTTATCACTTAGGGCCTCTTCTTTAGATTTGAAAAGAAAAAATTTGAATGTTGGGAAAAAATTGAAAAAACTAGAATAAATTTGAAAGAATTGGAAAAAACTGGAATGAACTGAAAAAAACTAGAAGGAACTGAAATAAATTAGATGGAACCGAAAAAACTGGGAAAAATTAGAAATCTTAAAAAAACTATAAAAAATTTATTGAAGTTTATTGTTTATATTATTCTCATTCTAATTGTTTTTGTTATAATTTATTATTATTATTATTATTATTACTCTATATAATTTTATTCATAATCACATTATCTTAATCAATGTGTTTATGATAAAGAAGTATTATCATTTTTCACACACAAAAATCTACTTTAACAAAAATATTTAGAAAATAAAGTTAGCATAAATATGAAAATGTTAAATTTTAAAAAGTTATTGTGGTTACGTTGGACCTCAATTTATTTATGTAGTATTTATTATAAAAAATATGTTTGTAATTACACTTTATATATTACAAGATTTTATTTTAAATATCAGATATGTCATATAATGTGATCAAATCTTTTTTTTCTTTCACGATTTGTAATTTTTATTTTGAGAATAAAAATATAGAACTCATACTTGGTACATTTTTATGTTTTACTCATCATAGTTAAGTATTTTTCTCTAAAATATTTCTACATTCAAAATTTTTTATAAAATTTTGAAAATTTTTCCTTCATATCAATTTAGAAGAGTGTGAATCATAAAAATAGTAACATGGTGAAAAAATGAAATAGCTTATGAATTATAGTTATAATTATAATAGTTGTAATATTAATGAAGATGATGATGATGATGATGATAATAATAATAATAATCACTATTATAATGATAATAATAATAATAATAATAATAATCACATTAAAAATACATTGTTTTAGAGTATTTGTTTGGAAAGTAGAAAGAGTTTGAAGAAAATGAGAATAATTGAAAAAAACTGGAAAAAATTAAAAGAAACTGAAAAAACTGAAAGGAGCAGGAAGAAACTGGAATGAACTCGAAAATAAAAGTTTAAGTTCTAAAGAACATGCTTTAGTCTTTTTTTCAAAGAGTTGCTATTTGCCAATTTGAAACAAGGGTAGGCTAAGCATAGAGCCTCTACAAATGGTGGACAGGCTTTATTGCTTACCATCAATTTTACAATTAAAAATTAATTTATCTCTTTTTAGTGAATGTCCGGTCGGGTTTGAGAGGGTCTTCGGAGACGAGGCTCATCCTCTTTAAAGAGTTACTAGTATAGTATTTTCTCACATATCTTAATGAACTCATAATTGATTGTCTTTTTTACAAGGCTCACTACAGATAATCATTTTATGCATTAAAATCTATATAATGAGCATTGACCTAAATATCACGAAAGAATACGTGTATTTCAAAGTAAGAGGTTGACAAAAAACAAAACTGGCATGGTACTATAGCATTTCGTAATGGTATCGAATCATTTATCGTGTTTTAAATGAGATTTGTTCTTCATCATGAACCCGAACAAATTTTAAATGAGAGAGACGTGATACAAAAACATAAACCGATAAACATGAATCAACATGTTTAATTTGAGGTAACTACAGAGTATCTCAAATATTTACTCTGTGTTTGTCTACTTTATCTTGTCCTATAAAGAGTATTATGTATTGTATTTTTATATTTTTTTTATATTTTTTACTATTTTAATTCTTATTGTATTTATCTCCGAGTATTATTTTAATGATTATTTTGTATTATTGTATAGTTATTCATAGTCCAATATTATAATGTTTGAAAAAAGTTATTATTTTTAAAATGTAGGATCCTTATCTTTTGTTACAATTATGGTCCTTTAAATTTGACAATTTGTCCCCATTTTTTTAAAAAGAAAAGTGCTTTACAATTATGGTCCTTTAAATTATATATATTATTTCTGTATGTTTTTGGTTTTTTACAAAATTATTTTAACTTACTTTCATTTTTTTAAAAAATAATTATTATTAGTTACTACTATGTTTTTTATTTTCATTGGATGAAATTGAGTTACGTTGAACCTCTCAAAGAATACATTGAGAATGGGACCCTTAAAAAAAGAAAAGGACAAATATCGAAAGGGACGAGTAGGTGGAGCTGTTTTTTTGGATACAGATTACACTAATTGTCTCTATTTTTATTTTATAATGAAGAACTTTTAGTCATTAGTCATTATTCAAATAAATATATATCATCATTAGACATTTAATCCTCCAACTAGATATTATTAAATCTTATTTAAAAAATAAAAAAAAATTAAAATCTTACGTTGAAAAATGACTTATATTTTAATTTTATTTAGTGCAAATGTTTCTACATATTAATGGAAATTGAGAAAAAATCCCAATTTCCACAATCAGAATAACAATCCATAGTATAAACCTATAAATCATCCTACGATCTTTGAGGCTTAATATTCTTCTGCAGACAATACAAGATTACAGGTACTACTTTACCTTTCTGTTATATGACTTTTCTTTTTCTTAATTTACCAATGAATAATGCTTGATTCACAAACAAAATGGTCACAAACTTCACAAACCTACTAATTGTGAACTTCAATAAATAAAATTAAATAGTCTAAAATAACTTTAAAATAAAAAGTTAAACCATAAATAGTAAGTTTGTGAGTATCCTATTTGTGAATGTAGCATTGCTCTTTACCAATTAAAGATTGAAATTTATTAAAAAAAAACAATAAAGTGAAGAAAAATCCAAAGTTTTTGTTGCTGTCATTATCTTTTCCCAATATTACGAAGATTCAGGAAATTAGGTTAGACTTCGCTTGCTACATAAGCGCAGGTAGAGGAGTCTTAGAGCTCTGATGGGATGAATTTTGATTAATCATTCTTTCTTTCTTTCTTTCTTTCTTGAAGAAGAACAAATTAAAAAAAAACCTCCTGGATTTTCATTTAATTTTGGAATTTTTTTACTTTTTGCCCCAGAGCTGAGCTTCCATCTGCATAGGTAACCAAATGATTTCCTCTCATTTTCCTGTTGTATTGGGACTGCATTTACTGAATCTTTATCTTAGATTTTGGGTTTTAATTTTTTTTACTTAGTTTTTTCTTTAGATTTACCCTCAGTAGAGACAGAAATTGTGATTCTAAAACCTACAAATGCAAACCAAGTTCGTGTCTTTATTGCTGCCTGGTTGTTCTCATTGGTTGAAATCGAAATCTTTATCGATTCTTTGTTGGATTCTAATTTTGTTCGTGCTACCGTGTTCTGAGCGAGGTTTCTTGGAAACTGTCTCTCTAATTCAAATCTTGTCTCCCATAGCCTACATTTTTTGTGGGATTTTGCTGGGTTTGTTGTTATTGTTTTTGCATTCTTGTCACACTTTTATCTTATAGACTCCTCGCCTGATGGGGAAAGACAGTGAAAGTCAAAATCAAAATGTGGATTTGAGATGATCGATAGCAACAATATAATGTAGTAATTGCTAAGATATGCTGTTGGAACTGAAATGGAAACTTATGTTTGAGAATGTCTTGTGCAGAACTTCAAAAGGAATGGACTCAAATCAGTATTTCGGATACGGTGCCACTGGATTGGGATTCGGGCACTCTTTGTACCCATATATGGAGTCCTTAAATTTCGACTCGGGAAATTCTCCGAATTCACCCTTTGTGGCTCACTTTGATCCTCAAACCCCAACCTCATTATGTGACAGCCAAGAACCACAAAGCTCTACCGACACTGCCATTTCTTTACCGGATTGCTGCTTCCAACCGTGTAGTTCCCCGTTTGGTTGCCCTCCACAAACTCTACTAATCCCTTCTGTTGAAACCCCTTTTCACCATCTTAATCAGACCAACAAACGGTCGTTATGTGACGAAGCATCGGATCCTTCTTTGAGCATTCAGGCTGCCAAGCGCTGCAGAACCGTGCACGGTTTCCCCCTGCTGGGCTGTGATATAAAACAGATTCTTATTGCCTGTGCCAGAGCACTTGTCATTGGGAACAAGGACTTGTTTGGAAGGCTGGTTGAAGAGGCGCGCGTCTTGGTTTCCATTAACGGCGACCCGAATCAGCGACTCGGAGCTTACGTGATCGAAGGGTTGGTGGCGAGGAAACAAGCGTCCGGGGCCAACATTTGTAGGGCTTTGAGGGGTAAAGAAGCGTCGTTTATAGGGCTTCACCAAACGTGTCCCTACCTGAAATTCGGTTACATGGCGGCAAACGGAGCCATAGCCGACGCGTGTAGGGACGAAGACCGCATTCACATCATTGACTTTCGCATCGCCCAAGGGACCCAATGGCTGACTCTTCTGCAAGCACTAGCCGCGAGACCGGGTGGGCCCCCGTGCGTCCGAATCACGGGGATCGATGACCCGGTCTCGAAACACGGCTTATCGGCCGTCAGGGCGCGCCTCGAGGCGATCTCGGAGAAATTCAATATTCCCGTCGAGTTCCGCGCGGTGGTCCCCCCCGCACTCGCATCGGGAGCCATCACGAGGGACACGCTAGACATTCGGCCCGGGGAGGCGGTGGCGGTGAACTTCCCCTTCCGGCTCCGCCGGACACCAGACGAGAGCGTGGACGTGAGGAACCCGAGGGACGGGGTCCTCAGGCTCGTCAAGTCGCTTTCCCCCAAGGTGGTCACCCTAGTGGAGCAGGAGTCGAACACGAACACGGCCCCATTCCTCCCGAGGTTTCTAGAAGCACTGGACTACTACGGGGCCGTGTTCGAGTCGATGGACGCCAGCCTGGCGAGGGGCAAGGAGCGGGTGGGGGTGGAGCAGCACTGCGTGGCGGGGGACATCGTGAACGTGATCGCATGCGAAGGGGAGGAGAGGGTCGAGCGGCCCGAGCCGCTCGGGAAGTGGAAAAGCCGGTTCACGATGGCCGGGTTTCGGGAGTACCCCCTCAACGGGTACGTGAACTCGGTGATCGCGGCGCTGCTGAAGCGTTACTCGGAGCACTACACGGTGTCGGAGAGGGATGGGGCGATGCTCTTAGGGTGGAAACAGAGGAATCTGATTTCTGTATCGGCTTGGCACTGATTCAATTAAGCAGCAGCCCAAATATTTAAGTATGTATACAGAGATGGCACCAGCTATGATATAATGCACAAATATTATGTTGTTGTATTGTTGCAATAGCCTACTTATGGTGGTACTGGGTTACTTTGTTTGATGTTGGTTTTTTTAGTGGAATCAGTTAGTTTTAGACACACTTTATGATGTAGTGAAATGCTACACCACTTGTATATTCTTTCTTCTTGTTGTTTTTTGATAACCTAAGGGGAAAAACTCCACCTCTACTTGAGGGCGTTGGCAAGGTCGGACTAAAGACGATCTGAAAATGAGTACTTATCAAAACTTAATATAAAAAACTAAAAAATGAATAATTAAATGGAAGAAGGACCAAAATATGATTAAAATATTGAATATATACCAAAATAGAACTTGAGTATCATCGAAGAAGAGAGTATAACTTACATCTGATAGAACTTGAACCAAATTTTCACAATGTTCTGGGTCTATCAAATAGGCATAATATGTGCTCGGGGATTTTCATGTCATGTTATGAAATTGTGACAAAACCGATTCGTAAAATTGACTAATCCTATAGTTCTAATAACCCACCCCGCATATTGTAAATCCAAATTTCATTAATTTTAAAGTCAAATATTTTAAAAAAGAATAGTCTCAAAATCATTTAAATTGGCAACTCTCAAATCTCAACACAATTTTCACGAGGTTGAGTTGATATTCCCACAAATTAAAGGAGTAGCCTTATCCCTGCCAACAAGATGTAGGAGTAGTCAATACACCTGCTCTGGATTGGATTGGAATATCCTACGTGCAAAACAAGACAATTCATTATCGATTCCTCACCTGTCTCAAACTCTCTTTTAAATTTGAATTTTTCCTTAAAAAATCAAATTTACATAAGAATCTTTTTTTCACGTGACTTTAATTTTCACTCTTTTATAAACAAAATTTCTGTTATCAATTTCTGGATTTATATGTAAATATAAATTTAAAGAAAAATATAATATTTCCAAAACCGCGTTTCAAAATTAATACTCCGTATGTTGTAACATTTCGTCAGTGCTTTAAAACATTGATCACAAAAATGAAAATTAAAAGAAAAATATAAGATAGGGGGAGTATTAATTTGTGAAGAAACAAGATGGACTACTTTGACAATAGGTTTTGTTCAAAAAACAATTTGAGATTCTAAATAATTGCAACATTCTTTGATCAAAAAGTAATTAGAATAAAAAATCATCTAATTTTATCATGTAATACGTAGACATAATATTTATTATAGAATATACTACGTAATTACTTAAACGGTGTAGGCCTAAAACGAGGCAGAACTCATAACCCACCACGTTAGACCCTTTATTTGAACAAATGCGGATAATAAGAATTTTTAAAAATAATAGGAACTCATCACAGACCACGTCACGATGATAATCACATATGATAATCGTCAGGGAACATAATTGATTATCGTCTGTGTAAGCATAAAATCTTCTATAATTGTCATTCGTGAGGACAACTATGATGGTGGATTTCTAGCATGATCCTAAAATTTAAAATCAATAATGTGACACCATTTTATACACTGAAGTTTTGTACTGATACAAAATGCAAGTGTAACAAATACTCCTTCCGTCCTAAAATTAACTTCTCGTTTTGACTTTTGCAGTCAAACTTTTTAAACTTTGATTGTACATTACGGAAAAAATATATTGAATTTTCATATAAATTTATTATCAATAGATTCAGTTTGAAACATAGTTTTAAAATATATTATTTTTATAATATATATTCATATAAAAATGGAGATATTAATAGTCAAAGTGTCGCATTGTAGACCGTGAAAAGTCAAATGGAAAGTTAATTTTAGGACGGAAGGAGTACTAGTTTTGCACTTATATTATGTCAGTTTTGCACTTGCATTTAAGTGTACAAAATGATGTACAAACATTTAATTGATTTAAATCGGGTTCGGGTCAAAACGTACTGATCCACAAGCCCACCAACTGCTATTTAGGAGTACTCTTTAATCTTTATTACTTATATATCCGAGTGGTTATAAAAACCTCCCCGAACCGGGCACACACAATTAGGAGAACCATGCCTTCCACGGGAGCGACCGAGGGCGGCCTCCGGGCACCGCTCCTCGGCGGAGAGAAAAGAACCGAGAAGATAACGGTGGACGGCGCGCTGCAGAAGTACTGCGGCGAGTTCGGGTGGTGGCAGTTGAGACACTTCGTGCTGGCCAGCTTGCCGTGGGCTCTCGAGGGAATCCACACCATGGTCATGATCTTCGCCGACCGCGATCCCGGCCGCCGGAGCTCGTCTCCCGCCGCCTGCGGGCTCGATCCGCGGTCGTGGGAATGGGAAGGTGGGCCGGGGAGCTCGACGGTGGCGGAGTTTGGGCTTGTATGTGGGCTGAAATATCGGGTCGGGCTCGTCCAGTCGCTGTTTTTCGCTGGCTGTATGATTGGTACGTCGTCCAAATCTTTTTTTTTTCCAAAAGTTGTTTACTTTGAAAATAAAGGCTGCGTTTGTCAGATATGAGAAGAGAAAATCGAATAAAAATCTTTTTTTAGTTTAAGAGGTTAAAAGCGCAGACACAAAATACCTGTGCTACACAGATATTTTGTGTTTGTGTGCTTGTGTCAGCTTGGTGTACATATAAGGGAATTACCCTATGTTGGTGTTCCCAGTCCTAGCATTGCCCTAATTCTTTGGTTCTCTATCTATTTCAGTGAAAATTTTTATTACATAAAATATTAGTGAGATTGTTAAATGCTTAAATTTATTTTTGAATTTCGTATCAATATTTAAAAATAAAACCAGTCAATTTTTTTTAATATAGGAGAGATGTACTCCGTACATTTTAGAACTGCCTAACTGGACGAATCGCCACATGACTCTATGATTGCCAACATAAAAGGGTCCCTCCAAGATTTGAAGGGCAATTGCTTAGTGGAGGGACAATATTATTAATTTACCTTAATTTAAATATCTAATATTCTATACATTCACATTTAACTAATCATTATAATTTAATAGGCTCGATTCGAATTAGACAATGACAACGTGACACTAAAGTGTCCCTATACAATTCGTGATTTAGAACATTTACAATACTTGGTTCACTTAATTGATGGTTTATAACATTAAATCCGAAGGGAGGAGGCCAGGGGATTGGGTGAGGTTTAGGAAGGATTTGGGGGTAAGAGTTACACTTATTTAGTAAAAAGCTACATGAAAAAAATTCTACAAAACAAAAATAACAAGACTATAATTTTATAAAATGAGCAGTAAAAATAAACAAACATAGTGGCCTAAAGTTAACCATGTGAATAAAGTCTGAAAGATCTGCGAGAGACGGGAAGAATCAATTTTATAAACAAAACATTTTTAGTTCTTTCAATGGATCCTATAATAAAAATAAGAATTATATATACTTGGTATGTAGCTACGTTTATTAAAGTTTTGGTCTTTTTATAATTGGTCAAGGGGGTGAGGTGCATGCATTGAATTGATCATTCCAGAAAGGTATGCTGCGTTAATGGCACCCTAATTATTATTGTATTTTCCATAAATGAAATAGACCGCCGGCCAATTAAATAATTAATTAAAGATAAATACGGAGTATATGGAAGAGCCGTTAAATTTAATAATGTGTCATATGCCTGCCAGTTTTGTTCATGATGGACTTCATGTGACAATGAATGACTTTTTTATCCAAATTCCTGTAGTGTAGGTACGAAAATTCTCCCTTATGTAAATTTATTCAAAATAAACTAGACCTCGGAAAAAGCAATATACTCCGTAATACCTAAACATATTGAAAAAGTTATTCCTTTAAATCCTCTTTTTCAAATTATAATGTTTCACTGAAATTATTTCTAATCTAATTTATTAGAAAATTAGAGCGGAATTGCAAAATAACCTTTATATTTTAAAAAAACTACGTTTATAAAAAGTTTTACGAAATAGAAGATGACATGAATATATTATTTTATCAAATGCGTAATGAAAATGAGAAGAAAATGAATAAAATTTATATTGAATATTAGATTGATTTTTCAAAAGGATAAAATTAAATAAAGTAGGAGGTGAAGTGTTACTAATAGACTTGTGCAATTTTTTACCCCAGGAGCTGGAGTGTTTGGCCATCTTTCAGACTCAAGAATGGGAAGAAAAGGATCCCTAACCATAGTATGCATAATGAACGCCATCTTCGGAGTTGCCACCGCCTTCTCTCCCAACTATTGGGTCTACGCCGCCCTCCGCCTCCTCTCCGGCTTCAGCACCGGCGGAACGGGCCTTTGCGCCTTCGTGCTATCCACCGAGCCCATCGGTCCGACCAAACGCGGCCTTGTCGGGATGTCCACCTTCTACTTCTTCTCCACCGGCATCGCTCTCCTCTCCGCCATCGCCTACCACTTCCAAACATGGCGCACTCTCTACATCGCCTCCTCCGTCCCCTCTGTTCTCTATGCCCTCCTCGTCCTCCCGTTCCTCGACGAGTCCCCTCGTTGGTGCCTCGTCCGAGGGCGGGCCGAGGAGGCCATGAGAATCATGCAGAGAATTGCAAAGTCCAACGGCAGACGACACCTTCCTGAGGAAGACGTCGTCCTTGCCCTCGACACCGAAGCGAAGGACGTGTGTCCTGAGACTGTTAAAGTATCTCACATCGAAAACTTACCCCCCGCGTCGGGCTCTCTCATCGACGTCCTACGGTGTCCTCTCACCCGCGTCCGGTTGCTCCTAGCCGTGACGATCAACTTCATGTGTGCCACCGTGTACTACGGGCTGAGCCTGAACGCCGTTAACCTCGGGACGAACCTCTACGTGAGTGTCGCCCTTAACGCCGTGGCGGAGATGCCGGCGTACTTCTTGACGGCGATGTTGCTCGACAAGCTCGGGAGAAAGCCGTTGGCGGTCGGGACGCAATTGTTCAGCGGGGCTTTTTGCGTGGCCGGGAGTTTGATGAAGGGGTACGGGAAATGGAAGATCACGCGGATGATGTGCGGGGTGTTCGGGATTTTCGGCATGGCCGGGACGTATAACCTGCTGTTCATATACACGGTGGAGCTTTTCCCGACCACCGTGAGGAACGCTGCGCTGGGGTCGGCCACACAGGCAGCACAGCTGGGGGCGATTTTGGTACCGTTCATCGTGGTTCTTGGCGGCGGGATACCTTTCTTGGTGTTCGGAATCTGCGGGGTCGTTGGGGGGTTGATGTCATACTTCTTGCCGGAGACGTTGAACAAGCCGTTGTACGATACGATGGGCGGGCTGGAAGACGGAGAAGGCGGCGGTGCATGAAGGAAGAAGGCATACATAGATCGGAGTATTTTGTTATGAGAACAAAGATGCTATGGATTCATCTTGGGATCACGATTTTTTTCTTGTAGTGCAGAGTGTAGTACAATGGTTGCTAATTAAGGTTTTATTTCGTTAAAATACAGTTTTTCGTATTTGGCAATGCGCTTGAGTTTATTATGGTGGTCTAAAGGATAATACAAGTTAAAATAAAATGACTTCTAATCCATAGTTATAAACCCAAAAGAGATAATGGACTGTTTGGCATCACAATGTTAGGAAATTCTTGCTTGAACAATAGTAATATACTGCCAAGTAACCAAGAGAGGAGAAAGGTCACATACATTCAACGGGGTTTTCGACACCGAAAGTAAGAGCAGTATAAATGATATTCGGTTTCCAAGAACCTATAACAGAAATCCCAATACGGAAATCTTCAACCTTTTGCCGAAGAAGAAGAAGAAGAGCTACTGGCTGCCAAAAAGTTTATCTGTTGAAATTGCCATTAAAAGGTCCACCATAGCTGTTGCTGTTATTGTTGTTTAGAGGGGGAGGATTCTCTCTTGGTCTTGCATACTCTGCAAATATAACCCATCCATCCAGAAACTACACAAAAACCGGGGACACAATTAGCCGAATATACACAATGCGGTTTTTGAAACTGATTTTACGAAACTGATTCTGCTTCTTCAAGGAGAGCTTGGAAGCAGAATCAATTTTGGGTCTGATGGGTATATTGGACCGGCCTGAGTCTGTAAATAGCAAGTAAGGCCCAATATACCGGCCCACTCCGTTATTACTATTTGTATTTAGGCCCAAACTGCTGAAGCGCACACAACCGGTGAGGGGTTTGAGCCCACTTTAGGCCCAAGCCACCGAAGCAATTTTGGTGTTTGGTTAGAATGAAAAAAAGGTTAGAAAAAATGTAATGTAAAGAAACTAGAATGTGATTTTACTACCATTTTTGTAAGAAAAAGGAGAGAAAACATCAAACCTCCCATCTCCCTCCAACCAAGGCTTACAACGACGGCACAACCTCCCATCTCCCTCCAATAATAATTTTCTCACTAATTCCCTACTAACCAAACAAGATCAGAATTTTTGTTTTTTTTTAACTTTTATTTTCCTTAGCATTTTCCTTTCTTTCCCAATTCCCCAAACACAACATTTTGTAACAGATCCTTGATCTCCATCCATTCTTCCCATATTGTACTAAGAAACGTCACCAATACTAGTGCATATTCAGGTGTAAACACATACATCTATGCTCACACACGCAAAACAAAATATTATCAATCTCCTGAATAAAAAAATTAAGGGATCTCAACTAACCTGGCCATCCATGCCTTTAATACCTGCTGCAGCCCCTTCCAATGTTGAATATCTAACAAAACCAAAACCTTTTGAAAAGCCAGATACATGATCTCTCACTACTCTAGCTGCAACCACAATGGAAAAGAAGATGAAAAAAAACATTAGTGTTTTCTCATTTCTCATTGGGAAGGATGCCTTAATCTTGCAACAAAAAACTTATCATCCGTTTTGACGGAAAGTGATGGAATAATACTCCCCTTGGCCTAGAGATATTGGGCATGACCCACTATGGAGTTGACCTACAAACGATTGATTGTCCCCAATACACATCTGAAAGATATTTGGGGAGCAGAATCAATCATCACCCAATACAAGGTCCCAAAACAACTCATGTGGAACCACAACCACTCCCTCCACTCAATCATACAAAGAGAAATCCACACCACAAGGGAGGCCATGATACACACGTATACCACAATTCTCTCCATCCCATATATTTCTCTATTACCTCTTTAAGTTGGAGGACCTCCATTAATGGCTTCAAGGCCAGCACTATGTACTATGACTCCTAAAGTATAAAATTTTATTAGAGGCTCTTTGGCATGGTAACGTAAAAAAGAGCCAGTGATTTTTTACCGATTTGGTTTCAAGTGAATATCCGAGTATCAATATTATTATTATTATTATCATATTTAGCATATTATATCATGTTTATGCATTCTTGAATATCCCGACGGATTAATTTTCATAATTTGATTCTGAGGAGAGGCTTTGGAGAGATTAGTCCGGCCTTGATTGCGCACAATGTTTTCATTTGGTATTAGCATTTTGGATTATTTTTTAATGGTGAAAATTAAATTTGAAAACGCTGAAGCTAAAAACTACCGGTAGATAACCTTTACAAAATGCCAAAGCAAAAGGCGGAAGCTGTTTGCTGTTGCCAAACAGGCACTCTATCTTATGATAAATACCCAAAATGTTTCTAAAATTGGATAAATTGTTCATAGGAATATTATGTTATTCTTTCAAATTTTATAAAACTGCAAATATTTATCATGATATAGACTTAGCCTTCAAACCAGTCACCCCCAAACTTAAAAACCCTTAATCTGAACTGACCCTTAAAGTGTATGGATAAGGAACATACCACGCACCACCTCACCAAATGGTTCAAAAGCCTTTTGAAGTCCTTCGGATGTTGTGCGTTTGCTGAGGCCTGCAAGTAACATGACTACATGAGAAGAAAAGTTTACCCCCTCCAGCGGGTTTATAAGGGAACCATAATCACCAATGATAATACACATGATGAAGTCATACTAGATAGAGAAGCAAAATTAGAATGGCATCTTGAACAATAAAAATCTAAAAGTTTGATGAATGAATTCAAAATGTTCGTCATATTGCAATGCCTAAGAAAATAACAAAATATATTGGTGAAACCATAGCATCTGCTATTGCAATTAGGCTATTTCCACTGACTGAAATTAACTATTCCCTGAAGAAATGAAGGCCATCACAAAATTAGCTACAAGATAATCACTTATGATGCAACAATACTCTCCTATACCTAAGGATTTTGGGCCCGGTCCGCGGAGGAGGCACATGAGGCAAGCCGAGGCGTGCGGCTTAACCCTAAGGTTTTCCTACTCAGCTTTAAAATAGGCACACTACCAAGTAGAGGATCCCTCATCCTACTCACACCCCTACACACTATAATTCACCCACATTGTATATTCATCTTGTCTATTGATTTTCAAGCTCAATCAATGACCATCTGATATTGCACAAGTACACTCTAAAATGTTGAAATACACGAGATGTAGGAGGTAAAGGCCCATGCTTTTTACCAATTTGGTTTCAACTTAACCACCCTTGTGTTCATATTTTTTATCACACCTAATACAACGCTCTCAATAAACTCAAACCTTAGAGAAATACATTAAGAGCCTGAAAAGTCAATATTCATATGGAAAAATCACAGCTTTATGCCATTTTTATATTGAAAACGCCCAATTATACTGGAGAGAAATATATTTCTTTCGTTGCAGGCCAAAACTAGAACGACCCTGACACAGAAGATCTAAGTTAAGCATGTATACATAGAAATCGGGGAAAAATGTACAATTAATACAAAAAAAAAAAGATGAGATCTTCAAGCGGTGATTGCGAATACGAGGAAAATTGTATGGCGGCGATACCAGAGACGAAGAGATTGGTGGACGGCTCAGCCGGAGGTGGCTTCTCAACTTGAGTCTGAACTGGAGTGTATCGGTAACCTGATGAGACAGTGGAGAATAGAGCTCCAAGGCCTCGAGGAGCTACCGTAGTTCTAGCCGCCGCCGCCGCCGCTCTCAAAGCCATTTTGGGGTTTAAGCTCCTTTAGACAACCAGGGTTCTACCCGAGAAATCTACAAAATGAGAGCGGAGTCAAGGCATCCAAGGGGGCTAAAATCTTACTGGTCACCCAAACGTTATTTAAGTTTGGACAAGTGGGTGGATAATCATTTGAATTGATCAAATGGATCAATCCCTCGATTAACAATAATTAAAATATAAAATATCTTATAAAAAAGATATTCTCAAGTTGATATTTTATGTTTTTTTAAAAAGGAGTTTTGAAATATAGAAACTTATTAAAATACCTTTAATGAAAAAGAATGAGTATATTAAATGAGGTAGAGAGATGTAATAAATAACGTACGTGAGATGGTTGTCGTTTTTTAAATATTAAAAAGATAATAGAAAAAATATTTTTCAAACAAAAAAAAGGAGTATTTGAAAAAAAAAATCAGACAAATTTTAGAGTCGATAACATTAGGTTATTATTTGATTTTTAAATATAAAATAACTATTTCTTTAGAAAAAATAAATTAGTGTTCAATTTTTATATTTAAAATTTTAAACTATTTTGAAAGTTTGTAAAATAAATACATTACATAAATATAATTCTCTATTCTAAGTTATTGTATGTTCTTTCATATGCATATAGGCATGTATGTTAAAAAATTATTTTGAAAGGGAGATCAAAGATCTTTTTTAGATCGAAGGTATACATTAGTATAAAGTTTTTTTTTTTTTAGTTTAGTAGAGCCATTCGTATTTTAGCAAAAAAGGGTTTCATTTTGAACAGTCAATCAAGTTGGTCTAGTCAAGAGTCAAGACTTGAGATGATGAACTTTTAGAGACATGAGAATATAATAAAAGTACATCTAAATCTATTTTGACTACGTCCTTAGTGGCTAATACTTGTCTAGTGAGTGAAAGCAGGCAATGCAAGGTGGTTGGTTTCAAACAAATCACTTGACCAGGTAGAAAGATTTAAAAAAAAAAGTAAAATTATGATGTTGAAAGCAGTGCAAAAGAAGATATAATTCGAGCCACAAAAAATTGCGAAAACGAAAAAGTAATTTGTTTTGAGAGAAACTTTTAGAAAATGTGAAATTTTTCTATAGAACAGAGGGAGTTCATAATGCACGTGCATAAACTCATAGTAAATGGAGTGAATCTAAAACAAGAAACCCAAAGCTCTTAACATGGTTTCAGAACACACGACAGTGAATTCAAAACAAACAAGTTGTTCATGACAAGCCAATGAACATAGTTTCGGCAAATTGGTGCACTGAGGCAATTAAGGTCGTTTCAGGAAAACGACCATGATCACCATCACAGCCAACCCAAAAAACGAAGCACCGATTGCCACGTCAACGCCACTGAGTTTTGCAGTTCCATCTGCGTTCACCCCCGCCAGATTGAAGCCCCCGAACAACTTTTCGATGTAACCAGAGAGGCTGTTCATCATATCACTCACAGCCACTTTCATATTCTTGAAGAAACCTGCAACCCGACCACCTTTAGAACTTTCTACACAATCTGGTGTGGCTTCATGTGGCGACGGTCCATTCTCCCCAACAGATTCATCCATGTCATCGTTGCCCTCTCTGGCCAGATAAGCACCTGCGGGTTCAAGAAGGAGATGAATTGCTAACAAAAGGTGGTGATTTACTAGTATTAATGTTGGAAATAGCTCAATAATATTCTGAAGACAGCCAATCTACCTAAAATACAAAGACTTCTTGCATATATATATATATATATATATAAGCCCTTTCTTTTCACACGATGGCCTAGTGTCATAATATGATACCGATCCATTTGGTGGTCCTAGGGTGCTCCGTTTGACCCGCACTGGTTCTTACCCTTAACCCCAGAGCTCTCCCAGACCCCTTGCGTGTGGGTGACAATCCACTGTCAAATAATGTATTTGATAGTTGATTTTCACCCATGTAAGAGGGGCTGGGAGGGAGTTTATAGGGAGATGGGGGATAAGAGCCACTTCGGGGTCAAATGAATCACCGGGCCTCCAAATAGACCGGGTGTCATATTATGGCAGTGGGCTTTGGTGTCAAAAGAACTCCAAATGAAAACATATCCTCCCTCCATCCCATTTATTATCTTGTGTCCCATGAGTACACTTAAAAATTCAAATGAATATAATTAGCAATTAATGGAGCAATAGAGAAACAGGAGAAGAGATGGCCTGGCTCATTACTTTTGTATGATGCGATGAAATTCTGCAGCTCGGGATTGGCCATTACAGCTCTGTTAACATTTGGATCACAAGCAATTGAAGCAACAACATTCTGGGAAAATCAGAAAAAAGAGCAAGGATTTTAGAATGCATTAATAAGTATAGACTTGGTTTGATTGAGAAATTAAGGCATAAACTTGATTTTTAATGCCAGATGAATGAAGCCTATAGATGCTTATGAAGGTCTCACGATGCTTAGATGATTATGAACGGTCAAAAATATTCATTGATTTGATACTTCCAAACAAATCCAACCGTTTTTATTCACAAAAGACATTAAAACATAGGATTCCATCATCAGGGTAGTAATCCAATGTCTGGTAAATTAATTTATATTCTTATATTCAGCTAAAATGGGATGACACAACACTTTTCATGGAGACACTGGACCACGGGTATCAGGGCCAAAGAAGATGAGTCAACAACCCAAGATCGTAGGCCTTTCTCAATGGACAGGAGGCCCACCTTGGCACAGTGCTTGTCTGAGGGTCTGAGGTCGACTAGGCCAGGCATCCTCCAGTCATGATGACAGCCTGGAAGGAACAAGTGGCTCATGGTCGACCTTGAGGCTGGCCATGCGGGACTGAAGCAAGAAAGGTCCTCTAGGGTAGTAGTTAGCCCGACCAGCTCATGTGGTTATTGGGCTTTTGGCGCCTGCGTGTGTCTTCTCCATCTATAAATACTCTTCCCTAGCAAGTTGTGAGAAGATCACACTCATTCTGGTATAAACCAATCCGAGTATTTCTCTTTAATAATGTTCGCTCTCGGATACCCATAATCCATGAACTTTCATTAACAATCTCAATAATGCCATAAACAAACCTGGGCATCAGAACTTTCATAGAGTAACTTGAATGCCTTTAAGACATTTGTAGGTGTCGAGCCCTTAACAGCACTTGTCTCAGCATTAACACAAAATTTAGTCTCCAAACCATTAAAACTTGAGACGAGATCTGATTCGGTGGCTCTAGAACCTCCAAATTTGTTCCCAGGTGACAAGAACATACTGTAAATGTATTTGATTCCGTCAAAACATGTCACAACTAATCAATCATGATTACCCATACAAAAGTTAAATACATGCGGAGTCCTAATTATGGCATCCTTGTTTCAACTTATTTTCAGTTTCATAGCAATCAATGGTTTTAGTAATCGTATTACTCCAAAACTTATATGGTGTACCCAGTAATTAGACTTGTTTTTCAATAATAGAACAGAAAATGAGGAAATTGAAAGTTAAAAAGGGAAGATTTTACTTCTCAATTGCTTCTTTTAGGTCAGAGGTGGCCTCCTTGGCTTCTTGAAGAGTAGGCGCGCCTGCGAAAATGACCCGAGGCGGCGGCCCGTCCTCCACCTCCGGAAATTCCCACTCATCGAAGTCCGAACAAGGATTCTGCACAGCCGCCCCGTCAACCGCCGAGACAGAGAGCGGAAGCCCCTTTCCGTCGTCAGAGCCCGCGAAGATGGAGACGGGGCGAGCGACCTTACGCGCAGCGGCGCATACCGGGTGATCCGGCGTGAAGCTTCGGTAGTACGCGCTGTTGGCAACGCCGATCCCGGCGAGCTTCGCCGCCGCCTTGATCCCTCCTCCTCCGCCCATACTGATCGCGATTGATTCCCCCGGATAAGACCGATCAAATTTTACGAGGGTTATTGAGAAAGAGAGAGAACTGAAGAGGGCGGCCTCTTATTCCGGCACACGTGTCGTTTAAACTTATCCTTATTCGTTACGCTGCAACTATGCCGTATAATGACTTTGGCTAGAAGTTAAAAGTTCTCGATAGATACTAGATTCCATTCCATTTTAACTTTCTAGTATCACACTCATGATGTACGAATTATATTTATATTACTAAATTATATTAATATCATTTTTGAAAGATATAAATTAAAATATAATGGAATAAAGAGATTTTATTATTTTAGGATATAAAAGTTAATTGATTTATAAATTTTGAAAGACTTCTTTATAAGCTACATCACTCTCATTTATATAAACTACATTAAATACATCATATATAATTTATTTTTTTTGAAGAAAAAGAGACAATTATTTAGCTAATTATTTTTTAATCAAATAAAAATTCATGACTATTAGAATATAAATTCTCACATACTTGTGATCCTCCAATGTAATTTTCATCATCTACTCTCGTACCTGTACGAATTTCCAGTGGGCTTCGATTAACAACTTTCTCAATTAAATCTGCAAGTACCGAAATATAAGATATGTATTGTGTATACATTATAATAATGAGTAAGTAATTAAATTATAATAATATAAGTGGTGCTTACCAATTAACAACACATTTTCACCAAAAGTCAATTTTTGAATTTCTTCAAATCCCATATATTGGTAACAAAAATTCAGAAATTCGTTTCTCGATATCTTTTGAAGTTTTGTTATGCCAAAGAACTATAGCACAAAAGGGTGGTTGATAGTTTTCGTTGTTTCGTAATTGCGTAGTACTTTGATTCTCATCACTAAATAAACATTCATTATCTTCTTTCAATTTTCTTTGAAAATGCGTGTATTTGAATCTATGATTTGCGCATTATTCGGTCTCTCCGACAATGCTAATGAAAGAAGTATATATTAGCATCATTACAATGTTGTGAAAGTATATGTATTTTAGGTTTATTTTAATGAAACAACTAACTTTAGTTGCATCTTTATTTTTTGCTAGTGTGATATCAGTGCGATAGTTTACAAAGATATAAAATGTTAGTAAAAATTTTTTGATCACACTAATATTTTGTATCAGTATGAATTATCGAAATGTTAGTACATACTTTTGGGGTATATATTTAATCGTGCTCTTTACACTTCCATTCGCCCCCTTTATTTATAACCCGTAGAAAAATCGCACAAATCCATTAGAGTTATTTATACTATAATTTTGACATTTGGCCTGGGTTGGTTTATCCTTGTTTTAATAAATAAGTTTCAGTATGTATAACTGTATTACTGCATATGTATGTAAAATTCGGTGTGAGACGATTTATGAAATGTATGGATTAGATTCTTATAAGGTGTTTGACATTGCAGTGCTTTTTAGGATTTAACTTCTGCTTTAAGTGGTAATCATTTTATTTTGTTTGGCATACCAACTTATGCTTTTTTTATTACCATTTTATACTTAGAACACCATATGGGAAAAGTAGATATATGTTGCTTCAGTTTTCAACTCTTGTGAGAAATCATTTTACCCACATGTGAATCACTTTCAAACACTTCTTACACGACTTACCGCAACTCTGTTTGCATTTGTTTTCACGTAAAATTTCAATTGTTTGAAAACGGGTATTCAATAGCAATTTCTAACAATAACAAATTCAAATGAAACAGGGGCTTAATATTATGAAACAACTGCAAAATCTTTACAGCTCTAACTAAACAAATGAATAAATTACTCTACTACAAGCAGTAAAAAAAATTGAAACCTAATCCCAAAACACTAATTAGAATGATGATGATGATGGTGGGTGATGGTGAATTGGTGAGGGTGTTTGATTACAGTGATGAGTCATTATGAAGTGGCAAACGACGATGTCTCCTCCCTGTCTGTCTTCTTCAAAACACCTGTAACGCATATATAACATAAATGAGTCATTAAGTTGTTATGGGGACACATTGTCATTATTACGTACCCCTTAAAATGGAACCATTGTGAGAACGATTAGACCCTCCTACTACTATTACCGTCCGTTGTAATATAATGGTGTGTTCTCAGTGTAGGTTTAAATCTAAAAAGCTAAGTTTAGCGTAATTCAACTTCAAAAATTAACACAAAGGGTGGAGGAATACAAGTCATTAAGCATAGCATATTTATATAGGCCTTGTGTGAGTTACTAGTTAGGCCCAAGTCTATAATATCACATGATATCAGAATTAAGGTCATTGAGGTTGGACCGCGCATGCAGTTGTGTACCCTAGTGTGAGGGGTGTGTGTCGAGTTGTCTCATCCCACGTCGGTTTAACATGCCAATATTACGGAGTACAGAGTATTTAATAGTTTGGGTTTCCTAAAGTTAATTATTTCACACACGAGATGATCGATTTGAAAAAAATTACAAGTAGAAAATTGGATTTAAAATTTGAGAGTTTTATTTATGAAGTAGAGTCGGTCCTCACATGTCTTCATCTCTTTTGATCTAGGGGGTGCAGGGGGTATGGGTATATACGAATCGAATCGAAGCAAATATATCACTATTCGATTCGTATTCGATTAAAGTGATATGTATTCGAATTCAGATTCGTATATAATTCAAATTTTAAAAAACATTCGTATTCGATTCGATAGATATTTCACGTATTTGAATTCGTATTCGAATATTCGAATTCAAAAATATTAATAATTTTTTTCTTAAAATAGATTTCTTAAAGACATTAAATTATTATTTTATAATAATGTAAAATGTAGTAAAAATATGTTAAAATATACACTCCCTCCGCCCTACTCTTTTTGTCCACGTACCTTTTGGCACACCATCCAATGCACTTTTTTAATCCATTTTATCTTGTAATTTGTATATTAAAAAATTATAGAAATTATATATTAATAATCTATATGTTAAGACAAATCAAACAAGATCACACATGACTATATTTAGGCTTACACATTGAGAGAATTTGATGAGCCAAAGTGCTTAGATGAATAGTTTCAAAATTCAAAAGTGGACAAAGAGAATGGGACGGAGGTAGTATAAATTTATTTATAAATTATAATATTCGAATTTATATAAATTTATATGTACACAAAAATTTAACATATTAAAATATGTACACAACTATTTAATATATTAGAATATATATAAATTTATTTATAAATTAAAATATTCGAATAATTCGAATAATAAACGAATCAAATCTATTAATATTTGTATTCGAATTCGAATATAATTCAAATTTAAAATATGATTTGTATTCGAATTCGAATTCGAATATAGCAAATACGAATCATCCTTTTCGAATACAAATCACGAATCGAATATATTTTATTTGATTTGTATGCATCCTGAGCAGGGGGGCCTAGGGAGGGGCGGGGTGAAATTGAAAGAAGAGGCTCACATTTTTAATAATACATTGCTTGTATTTTAATCTTGATAAGGAAGTGTTATCCTCTTACTTAATTTTGATGGTATTCGTTTTCGTAGTTATCACTAATTTTTTTAAACATAGTTGGATATGAGCAAATAATATGAACAATAAATTTGTGACCATTTTGTTTATGAACTTAACATTGGTCTTTTTTATTTAATTACTTAGTTTTACATAAAATAAGATTGTCGTGTCATTTCCTAATTATGAAAAAAATAGTAATATAATTTTTAAATTAGACACAGAGTAGATCTTATTTTAAGATTTGTTTCAATATTTAAATAAATTAAATTTTAAAAAAAATTACTTAAGTCAAAACTATCATGATCCGCAATCAGACAATAAATTCAGGGTGAATGAGTAATTATAACTCAACTGAATTTAGGCCAATTTTGGACACCCTACGGATGAAGTTCATCATTTCTTAATCGTAATTAACACTCCTAAGACTTCACATTTTCCCATTCACATTGAAAGATTAACCTAGTCTTAATCCAATGTCACTGTAACTCTCTCGTCTTCCTGAAAACACGGAGTCCCCGGAAACAAATGTCAGACGCACGATTCGGAGAATCCGAGGGCCACGAACCCCTTCTCGAATCTCTTCCCTTCCCATTCATCACTCGAAAAAACAAAAAAAAAAACCCAATCTAGATTTCACTGGATCTATGGATTCCCAGAATTTGAATCGAAAAAGATTCCGAATTTGGCAATTAATTAAGGGGTTGGATTGGATTTACCGAGTTTGGTGGAGCAATCGGGCGGATCTTCGAAGAGGGAGAGGGAGAGCTGTTTGTGGGCGAGGCCGATGTCGATGAAGATGAGGCCGGAGGAGGGATCGTCGACGACGACGCCTTTCACCGGGAGCCAGACGAAGAGCTCCTCCTGGGAGAAGCCCTCGACGCCGGTGAGGCCGCCGTGGGTGAGGTTGGCCCGGACGACGCTGTCGTACAGAGCCATGGTGTCGAACTTGGTGAGGCAGGGGCCTTCTAGAAACACTTCCAGAAGGCCCGTCTCCGACAGGGAGTAGTTGCTGACCTGCTTCGGCAGGAGGCCGGCCGGCAGGCCGTTCGACCGGAGGAGATCGTGGATGGAGACGGAGACGGCGGAGGAGGAGTGGGGGTTTAATAGGAATATGAGAAGTAGAAGAAGAAGAAGAAAGGAAGAGACTTGCAGAGCTGCCATGGTTTGTTTGTCGTTCTTGTTGAAACGGAGAGATTTTGACGCCGCAGATGCCAATATATATTCAAGAGTTCTTTTTTATTTTTCATTTATTTTTTTTTAATGACAAATTTTAATAATCAAGTTACTCTAAAAATATATATATTCGATAATTAATGCAAGAGTTCTAGATATATTTTCAAGAGTTCTTGATATATTTTATTAAAAATTGATAAGATTTTTCCCTAGATAGAAGTAAAAAAAATATAAATATGTCAAAATAAAATCCCTAAGTCTTTTAAAATCAAAACAAGAATACAATGAGGGTGTAGTTTAAGAATACACGTTAGTAGTGTGATGGAAAAGTGGGGAGAGTGTAATTTATCAGTGTAATCAGTCATCCATCAGCGATCTCCGACAACACTCTGGTGACCGACAACGACGGATCGTAATGTGACGGTGGTAGTGTGACAGTTAGAATGTGACAATCAGCAAACCCTCTGTGATGAAATAGAATATGCAATCTCTAAATTAGAGTTAGACACGTATTAAGACTGCAAATGCATATTAGTATTTATTTATTTGTTATATTTATAGCTGATATTTAGATGTTTTCATCTTATTTATGGACTATGATTAAAGAGGTTGCATTCAAAACATCTACTTACATATTCTTATTAGGAGTGGATTTGAAAAAGTATATTTAAAGCAAACTACGTAGTATATCCTTGTGATTTTTTTAGAGCGAATGAGAGAGACAAATTATACAATATATGATGATCAAAGAGCGTTGTTGCTGCGCCCAGAGCCATCCATGCGTAAAGAAAATTACGATTTACATCCAAAGAAGAAGATTTTCAATATACAAATATTGTGATGTCTAGAAGAGAGACTTGAACAGAACGAGAAGGCTGCCAACCTTGTTTGTCAATGAGATGTGATAGCCGAAACAGGTCCTATACATGGTATGGATGAGAAATCATTGATTAAAAGTTTGTCATAACAATTTGGATACGTCTGACTCAAAGTATTCATTCTTTGTGTTTTTTATATTTAAAGTATTCTGCAAGTAGATGATTTAACATCCTCTAGGGCATCGGCTTCTATGTGTGTTCAAAGCCTAAATTTAATTTTAAATCAGCACACTACTCTAATTAGATATAAATATTTCAATTGGTGTCGGAGTGGATAAGTTTAAGTTTCAAGCTTGATCTTTGAGTTGTTCATTGCAAACAATCATGTTAATCTGGAAAGTGAGGATACTCTGTAACTTGCATCGATTATTTTGGAGCAATTGCATTAGTTTTTGTCTCATGCTAATGTGAGCTATGTACTCCGTATTAGGTATTAATTGATGTCGTTGGGTGTAACTTTTTTAATAAGGAGAGAAATTGAAACAGTTATTAGGTGATAACCGATGTAATTGATTGTAATTACATTAGTTATTATTATCTAATAACCAATGTAATTGCTCTCTCTATTAAAAAATCTACATCATGTTGAGTTAGACCTAATACGCAATAATTAAAAGTAACAAGAAGCAGAAGAAAAACAAGATGTTCAAACGAAGAACATTCTAACAAACAAGAAAGATCTAAAAACACACAACAAGCACGAATGTTGAGAAAATACAACGAACAACAACAATATCTTTAACAAGCTAAACAACAATATACTTAATAAGCTCAACAAACAATCGCAACAAAAACATTCACAAATAATGCACAACAACGAGCTGAACAACAATAATAATAACAAGATCTACAACATCCCTCATAAATAAAAACAAGCTTTACTTCCTGTTTTCGGCAGCGACCTTCAATCTTTCATCACCTCATAGTCGATACAATTAATTTTCCACGACGAAAAAATAAAATAAGAACTTGATCAATGCAATTTTCTTTTTTACTACACGACGAACTAGAGGGCGTGGGGGGCCGGCGATGAAGAATATGTGAGGTGGGGTGGGGGTGGGGCAGATGAAGACGAAGAAAAAAGGGTGCATGATGACGAAGAAGAAGTCAAGAAGAAATTAAAACGAAGAAGAAAAAGAACGAATAAGAGGGGTGAGAATGGAGGACCGAATGATGAAGACGAAAACGAAGGAAGATATAGAAAAATTAGATCTCAAATTTACTTTAGAGGTCGCGGAGATCACGAATTAGTGAGTTGGACACATCAGGAGCATCAGATCAACAACACAGATCGATAAGTTGGAAATAAAAAATTGCATTACGTCTTTTGCATCGGTTATTAAGAAAAAATTGAAGCAAATAGACCTGAGTATTTTTTTATAACTTTTTTTACTGAAGCTTTGATAACCGATACTAAAGCTTCAATAGAAAAAATTGATAAAAAAATATGAAGGTTTTTTACATCAATTCTTAAAGACAAATTCTGGTGTGGTCATGAGGTCCACATTTATTTTATAGACTTTGATGTATTAATAACATTAAAAATTTGAGCCTTTTATGAAAAAGAAAAATTCCGACTCATGAAAATTGTGTAGGGCTATAACTCCTATAAGGCTATTGCCGATGGAGTATAATCTATAAGATCAAATTAAACATGAAACTAATTAATAAACATATACAGAAGAAGACCACTAATTAATTCACAAATCCTGCCTATAATACTCCGCAAAAAACAGCATGAAAGAATCATGTGGTGCCAGCTTGATAGCAACCAAAAACAGCCTATCATCATCATCATCACCCCCAATTCTCATCAAACACGTTTTTACATGTTCTTGTTTTTCTCTGTTTTTCTTTGAAGTAAAATTTCGAATTTAGTCCTCACTTTTCTTCTCCAACAGCTCTAACAAGTGGGTTTTTTTTGTCATTATTGGCCAAAAACATTACTCCCCTATTCTTTAAGATATAAAATTAGAAAAACTTATTATCATAATTTTTAATTAAATAGGTCAAGTACTAATCCCGACTACCTGAAAAAGAGTCAAAATTCGAAAAATATTTTAAGACAGAGTGAATACCTTTTGTGAAACTATATAAAAAAAATAGTAAGATTAACTTACTTCGTATTATTATTAAAAAATTAGACAAATTCAAAGTTAATTTTTTAACGCAAGGACCAACCATGCAATGTTTAGTTGATTTGAAAGATAATTTGTTACTCCGTATTTTCTTTTTGGAATTAAAGAAACTTATTCTACCTACTCCCTTCGTGCTAAAATAAGATTCTTGTTCACTTTATGATACTCCCTCCGTCCCTAAATAGATTACAAATTGCGGATTACAAAGAAAAATTTCCTATTTTTTGAAATCATTTTATTTACAAATTGGTATATGAATAAGATATAAAAATTACATATTAAAAAATTACGTCAAAAGTTCTACAAAACAAAAGGTGACAAGAATATTTTATTTTATCAAATACTTAATGAAATCGCATAAACAAACAAAAGTTATCGAGATGAGAGAGAAAAAAAAGTTATAATCTATTTAAGGACGGAGGGAGTATTTGACTAAAATTATTTTCAAATCAATATAAGCAAAAGAATTTGGTGTAGGAATTAAAAATAAAAATTATATACAGTATTAAAAATCATATCAAAAGCTTTACAAAACAAGTGGTGACAAGTTATTTTATTTTATTAAATAATCGATATAAATATACTCCGTATAAATAAAATACAATTAATTTGACATATGAATAGTAATTATTTTTTAATGGAGGGAAAATTTATTGAATTAAAGGACCAAATATAGAGATTTATGAAATACTACCTCCATCCCAGAGTGTTTGTCTACTTTCATTTTTACACACCATCCAATACACTTCTTTAATCCATTTTATCTTGTAATTTGTATATTAAAAAATTATAGAAATTATATATTACTCCCTCTGTCCTATAATGATCTTCCCAGAGCACTATTCCAACTTCACGGGAATTTATATTTATTTGTGTTTTTTCATGGCCTATATGATAAAATAAAATATTCTTGTCTTCACTTGTTTTGTTGAACTTTTGGTGTAGTTTTTAAATATGTACTATGTTTTATTTTTTTATTTCTATACCAATATTTAAATAAAATAGATTGAAAAAACTTGGAATTTTTCTTCGTTTTGCGAACCGGGAAGATCATTATAGGACGGAGGGAGTAATAATCTACTCGTATATGTTAAGACAAATCAAACAAAATCACACATGACTATATTTAGACTTACACATTGAGAGAATTTGATGAGTCAAAGTGCTTAGATGAACAATTCCAAATGTCAAAACTGAACGAATACTCTGGGACGGAGGGAGTACTCCATAATCAGTAGGAAACAAAAAAACCTGAGTAATGCTAGGGGTACACCAAAAAATGTACACCACCCCCCTCTTCACCACACATTTTTATTTGATTTTTAATTACTTATTTTTTTTAATTTTTTTACCTTTTTTAGTTGACAAGGAGGGGTGGGGGACATATGGTGTACCCTAGCATTTTTCAAAAAAACTTCTTTACTTCTCGGTATGCCATAGAAGCAACAGTTGATTGGAAGCAAAGTTTGACACTTTGACTTTCCATAGATATGGAAGAAACCCATCAAACAAATTGCTGAAATTCTCGAAATCAACTCAACATTTAGGTTTTTTCTACGATTTCTTCTCCTCCTGTTTTATTTCAATTCATTTTATTCAATGCCTTTTGTTTGTTTGTTTGTCTGTTGTTTGTATCGGCCATGATTTCACACATTTGCTTGAATGTTGCTTCTTGTTCTTCGGATCTAGCAAGGAAATCGTTTGATTTTTTTCTAATTGTCTGGTAGAAAACATAAACGTTTGTCTTGAATTGCAGTTTTGGCTTCTTGAAAATCTGACAGTAGGGTGCGTTTGGATTGTTGGAATGATAAAGCCTCAAATTGTTGATTAAAACACGAGGCCTTTAGGGATCCATGGGAAGCTTATCTTTAATATATAGCAATGGCACTGTGTTGCATCTTAAAGTTTGTGTCTTTTTCCGTCCCCAAAATTTGGACCCGTCTTTGTGTAACTGAGCATTGCTTTGTTTTGTTCATGCGAAATTACCATTTTATACGACAACATATCTAGTAAAATTTCAGAGTGGAGTATGAGGAGGTTGTGTTTACGCAGAACTTACCCCTACTTGGAAAGCAGAGAGATTGTTTCCAAGACAATCCCGACTCTAAATTGCCATTTTATACTCAATAAATGTATGTATGGATATAAACTAGTAAGTCAGACACGTTTGAAGTAGAGGTAAGGTTTGTGTACATCTCATCTCTGGTTTGATTGGTTTGTCAGTTAGTTTGTTTGTGAAGTATTGTTAGAAATACAATGCTCTCAAGTCTCAACATCTTGCAGTTATTCAATCAGGAGCTTTCCTCACATGGCATCTCCTAAAGGTTTTGCACGACCCATTTTTTCTTCCATTCCTAATATACAATATACCATTTCTTTCTGTCTTTTTAATACAGCTATACGATCATATACTTTGACAGGAAAAGCTATTGTGATTATGGGCCCAAGTGGTGCAGGAAAGTCGTAAGTCTCGCGCTTTGCTTCAATGCCTTGCTTCTTTTGCTATTGTTGTATATATATGCGAACGAAGTCCACACTTTAAGGTCATTTATTTTTTCTTTTCTTACAGAACAATAGGTCAGATGCTTGGAAATGCCATAAATGGTCGCTTTGTTGACGCAGATGATTTTCACTCTCCCTCGAACAAAGGTAATGCATCAAACTTAGGATGTTTGGCAAGGAAGGTTATGCTTGAGGCAGTTAAGTTTTCTTCCAAAGGAAAGGTGTTTGGTAATGCCTATTTTAGCTAAATAGATAAGTCAAAAGCTACATATTCTGTTCATAAGTTGTGTGATTTAAAATTCTGTTGTTTGGTTAATGGGAATGGAATCACTCATGACATTGGAATAATCTATGGATAGGAGTAACAAGTGTGGTAAGGAGAATTTTACCCAAAACTTTCTCCCTTTTCCTGCTTTCTTGGAATAGGAAAAGAAATACCTTGGGGGCCTAGAGTAAGAGTTATTCCTTGATCACTTTAGTGTGAAAACAATTTCGAAGTAAAAATGACTTCTTCATTGTACCAAACAAGCTACTCCCTCCAGTCCTAAAAACCTTTCATGTTTTAACTTTTTTTTGGTCAAGCAATGACACTCTTTGACCACAAATTGTGAGAAAAATATATTTTATTATAATATAAATTCAATATAATCGGGTTCATCTTAAGATATAGTTTTGATATACTCCGTATCAAATTTTTGTATCATTTATTTGTTTAGATTATGTTTAATTTGTGGTCAAAGAGTGTCGCTATTTGACCAAAAAAAGTCAAAACAGGAAAGGTTTTTAGGACCGGAGGGAGTATTAAACTTCTTGTTTTGTATCATTACTTTAAGGGTGTGTCTAGTTGAAGTGTATGGACGGGAAAAATGATTCACCCGTTCAGTTCAAAATGTTGTTTTATGTTGAACCAAAAGAGAGAAGGGAAGCAATTCCTCGCCCCTCCCCGTAGGCCTTAGGGATGGCAATCCAACCCGAATCTGACCCGCCCTAACTTTAATAGACACGAATTCAACCCGATAATTGAAACTCAAATTGGGTTTGCTATAGCAAAACCAGACCCGTTATCATCCCTACCGGCTCCCCTCAAACCAAGCCACACCCTCATGTGGGCAACTTTGATAGCAATGTAAAACAAACAAGCAATTGATCAGCATGATGTTTTGTATCATTAAAGAGAAGATGAGGAATGGGATCCCTTTGTCCGAGGAAGATCGCGTGCCGTGGCTCGAATCACTACGTGACATAGTGAGAGAAAACATAACGAAGGGCCAAACAATGGTTCTTGCTTGCTCTGCTCTCCAAACACGGTACAGACAAATCCTAAGATCTGCTGATGCGAGTTATCAACACGGCAAAGTTTGTTCGGTGAGATTTGTTTTGTTGGATGTGTGTCCCGATGTTCTTGCTGATCGGCTAAGCAAAAGAGCGGCAGAAGGGAAACATTTCATGCCTCCAAATCTCTTGAAATCTCAGTTGGATTTGCTTCAAGTAGATGAATCAGAAGGCATATTGAGGATAGATGGGACATTGATTCCTCAAGACATAGTTAGCAAGATCCAAGCTTCCCTTGATTGATTTTGTGTGTATATATTGTTTATCTTTTTTTAAAAATGCACATGCATGTTGAAGTCCAAATTGTATTATGCACTACTTTCTTGTTTGATGACTTTGATCAAGATTTGAATGCTACTCCCACCATCATAGAATATTGGTCTAGTTTCATTTTTTCGAGTTAAATTGGAAAGATTTAGTCATTAATTACATTAAATTTGCTTTTCATATTAATACATTCGACCATTCGGACAATGGGAGGACTGACATAGTACCATTTTTTTCTCCGTCCTATAAAAACATTATTCTTTATTTTTTGTTCCTTAAATTCTTTTTTTAGTGAGTCACTCATAATTCTTCTCTGCTTTAAATACAAGTTTTAACTATAAGATACTTAGTTTTCAACATTTTTTAAGCTCCTTAGATTAAAATAAAAAAGAATGTTACGAGGGATATTTAGGACAAAAATCACTTAGATCAAAATCATATTTAATTTTATTTAAGAAGAATGAAACATACTCCGTAATTCTTTTCATTGTGGTGAAAAAGAAATGTCAGAAATCATTTTTTTCTTTTCTTTACTACCCCATAATTCCAACAGCTACATCGAGATACCCTTGATTGTTTGATAATGACTTCCAGGTCTTAAATTATCAGAAGTTTACATTGAGGTACCATTAATTTTCTAATAAGAACTCTCAAATCCCACATTATCAAAATATACACTGGGAGTCTTTAAAATTTGTAATAATGTACTACAAGATTACATTCTATCTATTTGGGCGTTAGAAAAACAGACAATGTGGAAAATAGACTCCGAAAAATACTTCGAGAAAATTCTATTAGTTCATCAAACACTACTCCGTAAATTTTACAGATAATTTTTTTTAATTTGTCAAAGTAAAGTGACTTTCAATTCTAAATGTCTAAATTGACAGGATGTATCCTCCAAATATTACATCATAAATTTTATGGATACCAAGATAATGTGAAATATGAGAATTTTTACCAGAAAATTGAAGGTGCCTCAGAGTATATTCGAAATAATGTAGGATCTAGGAATTATTACTAAAAAAATCGAGGGTACCCCAGAGCAATTTAATGTCTGTAATAGCATTTTGGCCTATTTCAATCTCTTCTGTCTTCACTATGGAGTTTCACGAGCACAATTTGGTTTAATAGAATCCTCTCAAGACAGGAGAAAATTTAGAAAACTTGCGGCAGCAGCAGCTAGCATCATCACAATGAACAATACAAAGATACCGGTCCGAAAACACTAAACAATACATTTATCACACACAGTTCACACAAGTAAACTGCAAATACACACTTGACGAAAGACTTATCAAAGTATCATTTACATATATAGTACGATCAGATGATGCGTTAATACATCAGAAAACTCATAAAGCTGGGATAGAGTTTGGAATCTGGATTACTTCTGCAAAAAAAAAAGGGTGGGGTGTGCAAATCAGAGGCGGACATGGAGGTTTTATACTTTTATGTACAACTTCCGGCTTATTTTTGCTAGGGGATTGACAAATGGAGACAAGAAATTGCTAATCGTGCAATAAAAGTAGAAAAATATGGAAGTCGGGAACCGAAAGTGTGAATGACCTAATAGTCATGAGACAGGCTCAAGTTTTGTCTTTGATTCTAAAACAACGATAAGAAAATGCACTGTAAGAACCAGATTAAAAGAAAATAAGATATACACACCTTTGCAGCCATTGCAGGAAGTAAGGATCGAGTTCCAAGTTGAATTAAGAATCTGTTATGAAAAAATAAAGTGAATCTCAAATTATAGAAAAGATCTTGATAATCAGAGCAAGTTCTGGACGGAAAAAAACAGTATTCAAGTGAAACATCCAAAAGAAGTGATAGCCTCACATGCTTTGACACATTAATGAATGATGAAAAGACATTAGTCTACAGATCTTTCCATTATGCAAGAGTTTAGTAGCACATAAGGATATGCCTATACCGTAAAACCAAAGCAAGATTATAATTATCTATTCAGTCTAGAGAGTATGATAAAAGAGTAGAAATTCCTTTTTTTAAGAGAAATTTACCTAAATAGGACTAAAACATAATGACTTTCCCAATATAGGACCATATGTTTTTATTTCCTAATGTAGGACCTTTGGTCATTATCAATTAGTCATTATTCAAGTAAATGTCCATCATTACTGGACATTATTCCTTCCACTAGACATTATTAAGTCCTATTTATGGAATAAAAAAGTTTAAGTCCTACATTGGGAAATGACTTATGTTTTTTAGTCCTATTTAGTGCAAATTTCACTTTTTTTAAACAGCGGATGTGAGAGACATGAATATATTTCAACCCGTCGCATTCTAAATAAAATCACATTTTAGTTCATGTAAGTTTCTGAACATCTTTTCAGCAGTATAAAAAAGGTCCTCAAACCACTTGAATATATTCCATTAGAAGAAAATTCACTGAAAAGGAATAAAGTGTTGTTTTCCAAATTCCTACTTGACAAATGATGCCACAGCTGATATATCATTTTCTACTTGATTAAACACGATGAAAGAATTAGAAGGCCAATGCGGATGAGCGTCACCAAACAAAACTTGCTAATTGAATAACACTCCTTATAATAATAAAAGAATTAAAAGGCCAGTGTGATTAAGTTGCGTTATTAACACATTCATGATAAAGTATCCTAATCATCTTTTGCTTCATCTATTTAACCTACAAACCATGCTCCAGATGAACCAAGACCCAGGAATGTGTTTCAGGAAAACAAAACTTGTTAATTGAATAACACTCCGTTTAATGATATAGGAATTAAAGATGCTGTAGAAATTATCATAAGTTATAGCTACTGTTAATCAATACATTCATGACCCAAAATCAAAACTGTAAACTTAATTGATTAGAGAACACAGAGCAATTACCTTTGTGATCATCTTGTGCATCGAGATACTCCGGCTCGTCTTCATCCTCCATGGAAGCCACGGACACCACGGGTTCTACGTTGGCATTTCCACCATCCTTATCATCAGGATACCTGACAACCACAACAGGGCAAACGCAATGCCTAACACAGTAATCACTGACGCTCCCAAGCCTGCTGTTGTTTCCTTTCTTTGTGGCACCAAATCCACGGCTCCCCATGATCACAGCGTTAAGACCTAACCTCTCCACTTCGAGGCAGAGCCGCTCCTTCATGTCGTGGTCCTTGACGATGTGGATTTTGAACGGGATATGAGCGTCCACCAGCGGCTGGGCAAGATCGGAGGCCTTGGTAATCGTGAAAGTGTCGAAATCATCCTCCAGCTTCTGCTGCGATTCCTCGTTATCAGTGTCGACGATGGAGAGGTCAACAGATCCCCAATCAGCGCCGTAGAGGACGGAGGTGGGGCGGACGTGCACGAGAATCACGGCGTCGCCGGGGCGGAGGTATTGATGAACAGCCCACTTGACGGCGAAGGCGGACTCATCGCTGAGGTCGACGGCGATGCCGATCTTACGCTGAGCTCCAGCCGTGGGCGTATCGGTTCCGGAGGGGGTTGTCTGCGGCCGGAATCGGGGGGAAGAAGACCGGACTTTGATGCTGGCGAGCCGGGGAAGGTCTGGATCGACGGAGTTGGTCGGATTCTGCTGCATTTTCTCTGGAAAATTCCGAGGGGTTAGGGTTTTTCTGGTCGCTGACCTTTTCTCCGTTCTTTTGACTTCCCCAAGAAGCTCGAGAATGATAATGCTCAGTGCTCCCTCCGTCCGCATTCGCATTTCACTACAAAAATAGGATTGTGTTTTGATATAAATATAATTTTAATAATTTTTTTTAAACATAATTTTAAAATATTATTTTTATAAAATATATTTATTCATAATAAATATAAGAGAGTCACAAATAAACAGTTCACAAAATTCATAAACTTGCTTTTTTAACACGTTCTTAAAAATAAAATGCACTCAAATAATAAAAGATATTTTATTTTAAAATTCATAAAAAGTAAGTTTGTGAATTATATGTTTGTGATTCTAGCATTTTCCAATAAATATTAATAACAATTGTCAGAACGTTAAATTAATGACCGTGAAAAAATAAAAGAGAAGATTAAATTCAAATTGAATAACTTTTTTGAATATAAACGGCAATGGACATCCTGTCTCTTATCGGTCACATATCAGTTTGGGTCATTCCCATCCAATGGCTCATTTTATTTCAATAGAATCACTTGAATAACCTTTTTTCTACTCGAATGGCATTTGTGTTTACATTCCAAAATCTTACTCACTCACCATCTTTTTATCACTTCCTCAATAAAAAAATTTGTTATCATTCATACGCTTAAAGATTAATTACTTTCTTCATCTATTGATATACCAAGAGACTATTCACCACACACTTTTTAGGCTATGTTTTTTTGGGTTGAGATTTCAGAGTTGGATATTGGAAGAAACTCGAATATGTTGGAAAAACGGGAAGAAGTTAGAAAATGTTAGAAGAATTTAAGTATTAAAAAGTCATTCAATTAAATGATAATCTAAATAAAGTATTAAAAAGTCACTCAATTAAATGATAATCCAAATAAATATCTTAGACAATGAGTAGAGCCTCTACGTGGTACTTGCAGAGGTCCTATGCTTAGCGTAGTTGCCTCCAAGCGCAGTTGCCAGGAATCGAACTCGAATCTTACCTTCTTGACACTCCTTGCCTTGCCAAGTACGCAACACCCACCAACATATGAGGTATACTCTTAGGGTGTGTTTGGTGAGCAAAATAGAAATGAGTTTTGATATCTCCAGATATCAAAGTTCTTTTTAGGTGTTTGGTGAAGCTAAAAAAAATATCATATTCGATATCTCCAGATATCATAAATCCTTCAAATGGAGGGTTTCAATATATCATGAATTTGGAAAATATTAACATGGGGGTTTGCTATATCTCTCAATCATTGATCATTTTCCGTCACCGGCTACCATTTTAAACCACCAACCACCCCCATCACCGGTCACCCCCGCTTATCACTAATTAAATAATGATTTTGAATCTCTTCAAACAACTTTGTTTCAGATTTCAAAACTCATATCATTTGTCTCAGATTTTATAACACATATCTTATCATATCTTTAAAACTCACCAAACAGACCTTATAGTTTTATTGTACCGTTAGCTTATTCAAATAAATTTTCCTTTTTTCATTTATCTTGGACTAGAAAGTTTGTAATTTACCCATTTCTAAAAAAATATATGAATTTAACTTATGTTGGGCTGGACTGGCACACCGGGAGACAATTTGAAAACCGGGCGAAAACCTAGGATCACAAATCCGAAAAAATTTGGTCTAAAAGTCTTGGATATCCAAATGGGTTCTGCACTGAGTCCAGTATCCGAATTAGACTCCATTATGGACTCGGATCCCGATGTTTAAGCAAAAACTACGGGCTCGCTTAGAATTTTGAGGTACAATTTGGGCCAACCTGTAACAAATGAGAACCCACAAAGATTTACTCCGCTATTGTTTATACTTTATAATGTTGCATTATTAAATCGGGCCTGCTGAGATTTGTGGATAACTTTGAATTGGGCTGGATTTCAATTGTTATGCACACTATATGTGGGGAATGGGGATGATTGGGGGTGGGGGTGCTAGAACTTTCTAATAATGTGACGTCTAAGCTTTTCGTTGCAAATCGATTTTTTAACATATAGTCAAATTTTATTCACTTTCTTTATTTTTATTCGATCGTCATTTTCAACTTTTTTATTAACTTCACCAAGCGCGATAAAGATGGATATCAAAACTTATATCATATGTAGTCATTGTCATAATATAAATATTGTTTCTTTTTTTAAAAAAATAAATGAAACATATAACAGCTTTTGATGAGAACTTAGAATGTGTATTATGAATAATCCTGACCAAAAAAATCGAGTGAACTAAACCGATTGGTCCAGACCGAGCCCGGACTGAGTAAATTTCATCCGTCCACGTTTTTTACATGTGAAATCTAAACATTCTTACTTTTTTCATGGACTCACAAATGATCTTTTTTTGTAAAAATCCAATTCTTTTACGTTATGAATGATCAAAGATCTATAAAATAGGCATGAACATTGAATTTTTCATCCAAAGAGACGGACACGAGGACTTGTACTCTCTTCTTCCCTGGATAAACTCGCATATACTTTTTTTCCATCTTGAATGTTTGTCCTGGATTATTCCTTATAAATATGTTACATAATGGAAGAGTCATGATTATGTAGAGAGAAATGAAATGGGTCACAATTCTTTTCATAAATAAAAAATTGATTTTTTTTGAAATGAGCACGAAAAATGAAATACGGAAGGCATAATTATTAAAATTATGATAGTAATCGTTATGATATAATAAAAAAAACTAAATTAAAAGTAAAACATGAAGAAAGTATCAAAATATACAATGACAAATTACCACTAAGCGGGAGTCTATATATGAGGTTTAAAACATGCATTAAATTCATATTTTCTTATTTCTCTAAGTTTTACATTTAGCCGAGTCAATTTCTTATGATATTAATCACTTAACAACTCTTACATTGAAAAAAAATGAAGTTTTGTAAAGATTGAGAGGTGAAAGGCTGGGTTTTACTTCATTTTTGAAAACACACTTTAAAAACACAATATTTGGATATTCTTTAAAAACACACTTTTTGGATCTTCTTTAAAAACTCTCTTTTTCACTGCTGTCTTGACTTTCATAAACAGAAAAGTTCTGAACTCCACTCCTTGTGTTTCAGCACCTAACCTATACAAATAAACCTCCTTCTGGCAAATTCTCTCTCTCTCTCTCTCTCATACTTTACTGTTGCATTGAAAGTTTTCTCCTTTAATTCCCAACGTTTTTTTGAAGAACTCAAACACATTGAATTAAAAAAAACAGAATGAAGAAGTGGACATATCTGGCTAGGGCAAGCTAGATTCCCAGATCATCATGTCAAGCATATACATAGGCATCTGATATTTTTAAAAAAAAATCATAATTTGAAATTTGAAATTAAATCAAATTAAACAAGAAGACTAAAATAACAACAATAATACTAAAAATACTCCAAGAGCTGGGGAATATTGGGGAATATTGTATATTAAAGCATCTCACTGACACAAATGGTGAAGAGCTAGCTAGCAAAAGAAAGGAATCCAGAACAAAGACCAAAAACCCAGAAACTGTAATGCTCCAATTAGGAGAGTGATAGTGGATGGACAAAAAAAAGGGCAAAGAAAAATCAGTGTTAGGGGGTTCTTGAATAGCTGCATTTCACCAAATTGTGAAAAGACAAAAAACAGTGAGTCCACTTTCTTTAATTTCTTCCCCCAGAGATCTGATGATCAGCTAGTAAGAAAGCCTAAGTGACAGGTCAACTGTGGTAGATGAAGATCCATCAAAAGAACCCATGGCTGTCACATCTGGAGATGAAGGTCTAGTAGTAACAGTAGGAGTGCTCATCATCATCACCATATCATCATCATCATCATCATGAGATCCAAAACTGCTGCTCCTCTCTGGGAAAAACTCATACTCCACTACTCCTTTTGATGATGACGACGAACTTCTCTTCATCTTCTTCTTGTTCTTCTCCACTGCAACCCCACCCTGCAAAACCCACATTTAATTCATATTCATCCTCAGAAAAAAAAAATTGAATCTTTTTTGCAGAAACATGAAAAAAAGAAGAATCTTTTTTAATATTTTAAAAGGGGAAAACACAAAAAAAGAAAGGCAAGAAATGATCTTTTTGAGGGTATCTACCTGCTTGAAAGCACAACCAGCATGATAAAACGGTTTGGGGCTAAAACCAGTGAAATAATATTGATTTTCTTGGATGGTGTTGAAATTGCAGCCCGAATTTCTGTCATTCAAAAGTGTTTCCTGAACAGAGAAACTCAAAGATTAGTCTTTTACTTCATCAATAATGGATTTCAAGAAGTTAAAAGACCAGAAAGACAGTGAAGATGAGACCTGTTGACAGAGGTTACAGATGGACGAGTTGTTGAAGGAGAAGTTTGGGGTTGCAGAGAGATCTTTCGAGCTTTCAAGAATCACATTAAAATGGTTTGGGGTTGGATTATTAGCAGAGCTTCCGATGAGTCCGTACAGATCATGGTGATGATGGAGAAGATGGGAATAAGAAGGAAACAGCTGCTCTGCTCCGTAGCAGCCATAAGAGGCCAACTTCGGGAACTGAAGCGGCGGCAAAGAGGGGATTCCGGCGGTGTTCTTGTTGGACATCGCCGCCGCAGACACGGCGGAGGCCGGGGAGAGGACGACGGGGGAGTAGTGGAGGGGCGGCGGCGGCGTTACATTGTCGTCGTCGTTGGTCGTTTTCTTCAAGGTCGCCGGATCTCGCATGATGAGCTGCTCGAGCTGAGCGACGCCCATGCCTCTCTGAGGCTGCTTCTTTTTCTTCCTGGCGGACGCCGCCGTTTTAGCCTTCCTCCTGCCGCCGTGCCGAGTCATTTCCGACGACCGGGTTGGCATTTTATATCCTTTTGTTCTTATTAACTTTTTTTTTCTCTTCGCAGACGGAAGCTAAGGAATCACTAAGTAATCAATGGAGGAAGTGATGATATACTCCGTAGTATATATGGATGTATGTATAGATAGATGTATAGATACATGAAATGGTGGGTTTGTTTGCTAAATTCTTGTGTGTTCTCTCTCGATCTCGATCGATCTCAATATATAGTACGAATAAGTGAAACATTTCTCATACTGTCATTCTCTTTTTTCACTTTGCCAACTCTCATTTCCTGTTTTGTCCCTAAAATATGGGTCATTATGGATTGGGCCGGGTTGGATCTTTTGGGTAGGCATATTATGTTTTATATCAAGTTAAAATTAATAAAAACAACATTTAAATAATATAAAAATTTAAATTTTGAAACCCTATATTCTTACCAAACCTTACACAATACGTAGTATATTACACATAGTAAACCTCCCAATTAAGCATACTTGTAAAAACTTTCCATATATTTTTATTTTCTAATGTCCAATGATGATTGTTCAAGTTAATTTCCAGTACCACTAGACATTGTTCAAACTAAATGTTCAACATCACTAAATATTGTTTCTGCCACTCAATATTATTCAAGTACTGTATTATTTATGAAATAAAAATTTTAAGTACTACATTGTTTCCGCCACTAGTTTTACTGTTTTAGTACTATTTAGTGAAAATTTCATCTAAAATATTTAATCGCCTTGAATATTCGAGAAACAAGAAGATCAGGGTGGTGGACAAGCTTCGTGGTCATCTGTCAAGCATGGCGATGCATCCTCTCCACCTCAATGCAGAAAGCCATTAGACGCAAGAAACTAATTAAGAGCGACATAGTTTTGAATCTCACTTGCTTGGAAGAGCACCTTATTCATAACTTTTGACACACTTTCGAATTTTGATGGTCAATAAATCACGAAACACATGCAAAAGTTCGATTAGAGGCATAGATACATTTCCACGTGCCCAAACGAAAGTTTGACATCGTATTTCAGTGTCACGTTAAATTTTGTTCACTTATGTTTTATTTCCTCGTGCCCAAACTTTAATTCCATGTAACAATATATTTACCATTTGGTAAAATACTGCGAGATATACGTATAGCAGATAGCTAGGTAAATGCAATAATGATGAAGAAGAAGAGAGATAGTAGTACAAGTACTGGATGGATATATGGTTTTACTTTTTGGTGGATAGGGAAAAGGCTGTGACTTCCCCCAGTTCATGTCCCAGTAACCAACGACTAACACTGTCTCCTCCTCCTGCATGCATTACGTACATACATACTATATATGCATACTTACGTTCCAACCCAAACTAATTAACCCTCAATCAATTTTCTTTTTTCTTGTAATTAATTACATTTTTTCGGGGTAAAATCTCCATTGAGAGGGCATATTCGATCATGGGTGGCCCGGAGAGTGTGCAAAGCGGCCAACCGCACAGGACCCCGTAAAATTATAGGGCACTATATTTTTTTATTTTTGTTAATAATTTTAAAGTAAAAGTATTCTAAAATTATAAAATAAGGCACAAAATGTAAATTTTGGACCGGGCCAATTTTATTTTTTCAATTTTCGAAGTTGGCTATGTATTCGATCATTATATTGTGATCTCCATTGGTTTGCACCACATACTTTATTTGGTGTCCTTTTCAACTTCAATTCCTGCAATAGATGTTTTCATTTTACCCACACACATCATTAATTAACTAATTAATTACCCCCTCCGTCCAAAAATGTTCTTTCCATTAGGTATGATTTACTCCTCCTATATATGCTATTGGTATTCTTCTTTATTTTCCAATATAATGTACGACTCCAACACTCTCCTCAAGTGGTAACTCGCCCGACTAAATTAGTACTTGGACAAACGAATTTAACATCTCAATCTCTTATAGCTAACCCGCACAATAAGTGGTTGTTTCTCAATCTCTTATAAGCAACTAAACCAAACTATTGTGTTTCAAGATTTCAAATTTCAGGTTAAGTACTCGGTATAGTATTTATTTTATTTGGTTTGTTGATAAAACTTTAATTTAGAGAAAGTAATGATTAAAAAAGACGGCAAAAGGGAGGAAAGGGAAATTTGTTCTGCCCAAAGACCCAAAAATGAGGCGATCTCCTCACTCTGAGGATTCCACTTGGTTTCACCAAAAATAACACTNTTCTTCACTCAACTTTTCATTACTCCTCTGCATGGTTTGATTTATACAAAAAGATTAATCTTATTTTTCACTTTTTAAATGTTCTAAAATGTTCAAATATTTATGTCAAATCTTTTACTCCCTCCGTCCCAAAAAGATTTACACCTTTCAAAAAAAATTTGTCCCACAATCTCCTACCCATTTTTATTAAGAAACCACTTTTACCCCTTACTTTTTCAAACCCTACCTATCACATCCTACCTTTTTCCTAATAATCTACACATCACATTCTACTTTTACCTATCACATCAAGGATATTTTTGGAAAGTCTACACAAAATTATCCCTCACTTAATTTCTACTTTAGTCAAAATGGGTAACATTTTATGGGACGGAGGGAGTAATAAATTAAAATATATTTCCCATTTCAGAAAATATTTCTAATTTTAATTTTTTCTGATTAAACATTGATACTCTTTGATCATAAATATATGGATTGAATACAAGTCTATTTTTTTTCAACAAAAAAAATATTGTAGCACTAGGTCACAAATAAGAGTGGATGGAAAAACAAATTTTGTGTGTCCACGTAATTAAGTGGTTGTTCCACAGCCGCCTTGAGACCGTAGGCCGTACCATCGGTAATCCGAATTGAAAAAGCACGAAAGCAAATTGCCTCCTTTGTCGATGCAGGGGGGCGGGAGGAGGATCAAATCTCCTGCTCCGCACCCCATCGTAAACCACACCCCCCCGCGGAACTAACCGAATTTGATTTGACCGTGGGGACCACCTGTTGGTCCACGTAGAAGGTGTTTTTTGGGCGGGGCCCACAGTTCTCGGCACCTCTGACCTCTCTCTTCCGTTTCAATTTTTTTTTTTTTTGATGATTTAGAGTTTAGAATTGAACCACAAAATTTGGATTAAATGGGTGGGTCATGCAGATTGAATTTATACTCTCTATAAAATTTTCTCATACTCCTTCCGTCTGAAAATATCCTTCACATTTGGTTTTTTACTGATTCTAATATCACATTTTGATCATTAATGTTTATATTTATATGTATTTTTTTGTAAAAATTTGAGATTTAAAATATACGTTATAATAAGAATATATTGATATTAAATTTATATCATAATATATATATTTTTTACATATCGGGGTTAAAATTTATAATATTTGACCAAGAAAAATCAAATAAGAAGAATAATTCTTGATGGAGGGGTACAAAAAAACACAATACAAAGTATAAAGACTATTCTTATGATCATCAAATTCTTATGGGTAAGAGTGTCCTGAAGAGACTTTTTAAACTTTATTACTAAAATTTAAGATTGAAAATTTTACATACTAAAAGTACCTGAGAAACAATTTCAGGCATGTACTCCGCCCGTCTTGTGAAGACAAAGTTTATAGTTGAAGTGTACATTTAAAGACCATATAAGAATTTGTCATTTTTATATACATCCTAAATTACTCCATCCATCCCAGAATATTTGTCCACTTTTATTTTTACACATCATCCAATGCACTTCTTTAATCCATTTTATCTTGTAATTTGTATATTAAAAATTATAGATGATGGGAAATAATACGTGGACAATCGAAGAGTTAACATGACAACAATAAGTTAAGACAATTCTTGATAAAAGTGACTTAATAATCTATATGTTAAGACAAATCAAACAAGATCATACATGATTATACTTATGCTTACACATTGAGAGAATTTGATAAGTTAAAGTGCTTAGATGAATAATTCCAAAAGTCAAAAGTCGACAAAAATTGGACGACGGAAGGAGTATTATTTACCGGTCATACTATTTGCCGTACTTGTGGTGTACATGTGATAATTTGTAACTACATGTCCATGTTCTATATCATAGAGAATAGAGTGGACTTGGTGAGAGATTAAAGGAAATAAGGGTAAAATAAACGTTAGATATCATGTTCACTTTAAATAGAAAGTGGACGAATATACAAAAACGAAAAAAAACCTAAACAAAATATAAGTATTATTTAGTCATCTCCATCCATTCAACTATTTTTGATATGTGGGATAGTTATACATAAGTTATATTATTGTGCAAGATTTTGTACAAGATTGTGTTTTTGATATTGATGTTAATATAACCCGTAATAACTATGAAATAAAGCAAGAATCATGAGAAAAACAATAGTAAACGAAACGAGTATAACAGACATCTCACAAATTGTTTGTAGGAAGTTTTTTTCAAAGAAAAATACATATAGCAGCTTCAATGAAAAAAATTTATGTGTGGGACACACTTTCAATGGACACACTAAATTTTAACCCGTGTGATGCACGGTATAATTTTAAAATAATGAGTTAAGTAAAATATAAATAACACAATATTAGTACTAATTTAAAGACGGGTTACTATTGGTTTGTAAAATATCAGTGCTTGCAATATATTCTCCATCAAACAACAACGCCTAATAAAATAGAACAAAAACATATTATAAAATCTAAAAAAAACTTCTTTATATGCAACACCTTGTTTCTAACAAATTTTTAGAAGCAAGATTTTTTTTACGGACAATTTCGTATATTTCAAAAAGATGAACCTCATTCTTAAGATTCTTAGGATTGATGGGTCAATGATGAGAGAGTCAAAGAGAGAGAGAGAGAGAGAAACAAATAGCATGGCACAGCTGGTCCCTGTGAATCTGAAAGAGGAGATACAAGTGAGATGTGGGTATTTACACCAATTCTAACACATTTCATCTTAAATGGCTGTGAAGGGGAGGGAAGGGGTTGGTGAAGCTTTCCTGTTAATTACCCAGTGGGTTTGCCTTTAGGGCACCCTACCCTTCAAGTAACTGTTACCCTCCCCTTTCTTCCTCTTGCGTGAGCACTTATCTTCTTCTGGACATTCAATCAGCTCCCACTCCCATCTCACTATGCCCCATCTTTTTCTTTTGGTCCCAACACATACACAGCACCATATCTGACTTCAGATTCACTTCTGCATTGCCACCATCTTTGGCCTTTGTTCTTACACCCACAAATTTTACTCTCTCCAGCTTCTCCTTTTGGTTTTTTTTTCTTTTTTTTCCACAGATATGCAGGCTGGGACCCACCACTGCTCAACAAAAGGACATTTTTTTTGTGTTAAATGTGAATTCAAAAGCAGTAAAGAATTACACTGGGATGGATGGACAGATGGCTGGGATCAGTTGAAGTCTTAGACATGGGGTAAAAAGAGTTTAAACTCATACAAGACAACAGTACAATGAATCTTAGTCTCTTTTGTAGTTTACAGAGTACCGTTCGCCCGTTTGTTGAGGGTGAGACGGTAAATGACAAAGACTCGGAGAGTTAAACTTTGTGTCAATGAATGTGAGAACTATTTAAAGGACTCTTCTGAACTCACTAATAACATGAAACAGAGAGTAGTTAACAGAACAAAGTAACAATAAATTGGGTAGTTTACTAGTTAACATGGATATAACAAGGAATTAGAACTTACATAAATTATGCAGGTCTACCACATGCCACACTCTCTGGGAGGACAAACGATCCGCACAACATATACTTTCCTGGTGCAACAGCACGTACAATTCGTACGTCTACCTCAAAGGCAACTTCTCTTAATGCGATTCTTATTCTCTGTTGATAATCACAACAGAAACTAGACATGAATGAATGAAATCTGAGAATTTATCTGCATTGTTGTATAACCAGCAGGCGCCTATAAGAGAAGCTAGTGCCGGTATGCATTGAATTATTCTATACCTCGTGAAAGTCAAATTCCGGATCTGGGGCTTTTGAAAACCCATATACATGGATCCTTGGAAAGGTTGATTCCTTGTACTTGGTGTTCTTCCAGAATAATCCCCTAAATACATCTGCCAACAGTGGAAGAAAAAGATAAATAAGCTAATGCAGAAAGGAGCAGAAAGTATTACTACGTAAAAATAACAGCCATATCAAAACTACTCAAGGCTAGAGAAGGAAATATGTATCAAAATGCCTTGTTTCCCCTTGTTTGGTTGGAAACTACAAACACTTTAAGCGATGTCTTAGATGATTTTCAGCATCGGCTTTCATCATCATGTACTGTTACTATAACAAAATTGCACCCCCCCCCCCTTGCAAAGCAGAACATACCTAGAAACTCGACAGCATCATTTGGCAAATTCATTACTACTTGTGTGATGTTCCGAGTATTTTGACTGGAAAAAATTGTGTCAATGAACCTCCTCCCATCCATGTTATACACCTTGAGATCAATATATAAAAGGTTAAAACCTGTTGCACTATTGAACAATGGAGGGAAATTGCAACTATCAGTTACATAAAACAATTACAAGAAATCGAAAACTGCAGCAGATGACAAAGAATGAAATGTCCCAAGTCTAAGACCCCTTACATGAGCACAACATGCACAATAATGAGTCTTTAATGACAGAAACTAGAGAGTATATTGCCTCATACATTATTATATATTTCTACCTCAATTTTCCTCTCAAGTTTATTGAGAACACAATTTCTTTCCATATACTCAACAGCTTTAGGGTTTAAGTCATTGGCATATACATATTGGACCTTCTTGGCAGCAGATATTGCAAGGGGTCCAACCCCAGCAAAAACATCACCTGCAAGGTTGACAATTACTAACAGTGCAGAAAACTGAAAACTTTTAAAAATGTGCACTAGCATGCATATAAGTATTTAAAGAGAAACAAATCAAAGAATTGCATTTAACAATTCAACTTTGTATCTGATGATATTATTCCCACATTTTGGCTGATATATTGCATTTGAAAGTATTTAATATTAGCATCTGATTATATTAGTAGTACTAAGCACCTAGCAGCAATAAATCCAACAATAATAGCTTCAATATCAAAGCAAAATCGAACAAATAAAACCAATAATAGCGGACATGAATGTGACTTAGAAAAAATGTGGGGAAGTAACTTACAAACAACATCATCACGTTTGAAGGAACTAAGCAGCCTCTGCCTTTCTGTTGCCAACCTAGAGTTCCAATATCTGCAGAATAGGAGAATAAGAATCATAAGATGTTTTATCTGCTTATTTGTTTCATCTTTGGGTATCAGTACTATAGAGCAATACTCACACAGTTGCTAAATCAACTTGAAAATGAACTCCATTTTCAACCAATCTTGTGACAAGAGAGTGGTTTCCAGCCAAAATTTCAAGCTGCATCGTCCTGTAGTCATTATCTATGACATCAATTTTATTAACAACTGTTTGTATGGTTGGCTTGTTTTTGTCTAAAACTACCTGATGACAATACCAAAGAAGAAATAAGCATTTTTAGAGTAAAAATTTGAAGAGTAAAGAAAGTCAGCAACATGTAGTAACTAGAGACAAAAGTGATGAAAACTTAAAATAAATTACCTTTGCAATAAGTTTCTTATAAGGAAGATGCTCGTTTCTAAGGTTCAGATGTGCAATGTGACCAACAGTTTCGAAGGTAGAAGGAACAATCATCCCTTTTGGAAGTATAACCTCTAAGACCTACAAAAGATAGATTTCAATGCATGCCATGAAAATTGCTAAACACGTGAAGAGGTTTGAATTCTAGTTATTTACTCTAAAGAATAGGCAATGAACAGTGAGCACCTGGACCATATAAGAACAAAATGAGACATCAGCAAAATACAGGAGGTCACTCGAGCATAATAGAAGCTTCATCCATTGTAATGATAAAACAATCTTGGAGCATGTGAAACTTTCATGACAAAGTTCTATGATGTTAGAGTTTTCAATTCAGTTTTGTTCTTTAGAAACAAGTTATGAGACCTACGAGATTGATCCTTAAGGTCCTACTTGGCAACAAGCTTTTTGAGTAGCTGTTTGTCCAAAAATAGATTTAGCGCCTAAAAGATGTGTTTGATTTGGGTTGAATTATGAGCCACAATTATAATACAAATTACTCTGTATATTAAACTCTCCCCATGACCCCATCCTGCAATTAAAGTTGTAGTTTCACTTCACCAAATTTAAGAAAAGTAATAAGTGTTGAAAAGTGAATAGTGTGTGGTTGGTATTTGTTTGGAAGAGAGAAATATTGCAAGCCATGCATTCTTTTTTCTAAGAAGAAAATGAGGGAAGTGTGAAGTTTATTTTGGAAAGGGTGAAAAAGGAAAATGTGAATTTGATTCCAGGAGGAGAGAGTATTCAACAATTAAGTATTCCCGTCCCTTCTTAATCTTCCCATTTAATATTCACAGAGTCAAACTATATCTTCTTTCCAAATATGTTTTCATTTGTCATTCGATCAAGTAATATAGTCATGTCACATCTTATTTTCAAAAATTTACATCAATATTTTACTAAATTGAATTGAAAATAATTTCAGTCAAACATCTTAATCTGAAACGGGAAGATTATTTAGGACAGAGAGTATGAAACTAAATAAATAAAATGTTTGTACTCTAACTTTCAATCCATACTTGATTGAAATTTTAAATTAATTAATTCATTAAAGAGTAAGAATATTTGATATATACTCTCTCCTTCTACAAATTAAATTCACTTTCCTTTTTTGTCAGTACGTCTCAAAAGGCTAAAATCCACCATTGGTCCTTCAACTTTATCAGTTGTGCACGATTGGTCCTTCAAGTTTCAAAAGTCCATAAATAGTCCTTCAACTTTATTAGTTCTCCACCATTGGTCCTTCAAGTTTCAAAAATCCTTAAGTAGTCCTTCAGGTACACGTCAGCCCTTCATATGAAGTCTTTTTGACAGTAAATATTAAAAGTTAAACGAAATACTAGTTTCATATAATACGAGTAAATTCTACTAGGTATGACTACTCCGTATTATATGGAGCTAGTATTCCATTTAGCTTTTAACATTTACTGTCAAAAGGACCTCATCTGAGGGCTGACGTGTACTTGAAGGACTATTTATGTACTTTTAAAACTTGAAGGACTAATCGTGCATAACTCATAAAGTTGAAGGACTATTTATGGACTTTTAAAACTTGAAGGACCAATCGTGCACCATTGATAAAGTTGATGGACCAATGAAATTTGTACTTCTTTCGTTTTGTTTTAAGGAGAAGAACATGTTGCTTACAACATCTCTCTTTTCTAAACAAGTTTAAACACCTCTCATAATAAACTCCATTACAGAACAGATGAAGTACTGTGTAACAAATTAGAGTCTGGGCCTTAGGGGTAATTTAGGAATTATGTCAAACAGCTAATTTCCAAGCAGTTCATCTTACCAAACACTTTCCGAAATGGTGGACACGAACATCAACCCAAAGAGCTCATAGAAATACTTAACACAAACATGTGACAGCTAATAAAGCAAACAGGGTCTTCCATACACCATGAGATTATTATGACCATGTGTATTCAAAATTTCAAATGGATGATCAACTAAAGCAGCAGAAGTCACCAGGCATGTGTAAAGACAGAAACTAGGAGTAATGCTTAAGAACCACAATGAAAAGGAACATTATAAAATTGACACAGATAATGACAAGTTACAAGTAGTATATTGCAAATACGTAGTAAAATCATTACCTCATCCATAAGCCAATACTGGTAAAACAATGTCAATCTGCAGTTAACAATCTCAACAATAGGTCTCTCACTTCTCCCTCCATGTTCTCTAAACACTGCCTGGAAACATATAATACCTGTTAAGTATGAGAGCCGTGAAACAACAACAACAACAACAACAACAACAAGGACAACAAACCTAGTAAAATCTCAACATAGGGTCTGAAGAGGGCGTGTACACAGAACTTACTCCTACTCAAAAATAAATAGACCACCGACTCAAAAACAATAACACAAAGTAAATATAGAAGAACAGATGAAATAAGAACAAAGACACAAGAAGAAGCACACATACTGACACTAGCAACTAGACCCAGAGCACAGAGAACACACATTCATCAGCTACAATATGTTGGAGAATCGTGATTAAAAATCAAGATGAACTAATGGAGGAAGGCTAAGAAAGAGCACTTAAACCTTGATTGCTTCAGGCATTTCATCAAACTCCTTATTGGCATACTGTTCATCCAAAAGAAGCAATCTTGTTGGGCCTCTCCATTTATTCCCTTTGAATTCATCCCCCAATAGCCCACTCAGGTCTCCATCTTCACTCTCATCTTCATCAATCACCTCAATCAATACCATTTCATTTTTCCCGACCCCTTTCTTGACTCTCTCCTTCCCATCCCCCCTCTTCTTCTTCTTCTCTTTTGGCCTCGAAATTTTGGCTAAATTCCTGAAGTTCACAAACCCTCTAGAATCAAAAGTTCTGGAGAGCTTATCTCTGTACAGCACCGGACTCAACTTCTCTCCATCTCGTTCTGCCTTTCCGTAAATCCTGCGTTGCAAAGTTACTAGGGCTTCACCATCTGCGTCGGAATTTGAGCGATCCACAAGAAAATCTTTGAGCTCGTCTTGGATATCATCTCCCGAAACCCTAGCAACGTTGCGAATGCGGGGCCAGTTAAGGAGGTGGCCTCGGAGTCTGCTTTCCAGGGAGGAGCAGAGGTCGGAGGGGACTCGCAGAGCCGCAACGTCGAAGATTCTAGTGAAACTCTCCTCCTCAAGCGAAGCACTGGGTTCGGGCGAGCTAGAAACAATAGGAGATTGAAATTGGGGAAGCTTGAGCCCTTTTTGTAGGGACGGACCATAGGGAGGAGCATTGGCGGTAGCCGGTGAGACTGCGGCAGCACCGGCAGTTGAGGTGAAGGTCGGGTTGATGGCGATATGAGACAGAACGGGAGTTCTTATGGATAATCGCGTAGTGCAGATGAAGTGAGGTGGAAGGGGACATGTCCGGGACATGAATTTGGGGAGCATCATCGCCGGGAAGATGGATTCCGGCGGGGGTACGGACAGTGGAGGTTTATCTTGGAATTTTAGATTTTCCCGGTAAATTGGGGCTTGGATAGTCAAAGAAGCCCAACGGAGGTGAAATGGCCCAAATTTAGAACTTGTCAAGTTTGTTTTTCTTTTTTACTTTGATCCAATATATATTTTCTCCTTTTGGGCTTTGGCTTGAGACAGTAATGTAAAATTAAATATATTTCAGTTTTTATTTTTGTAAGTGTAATGAACTGAAAATATATATTTTTTAAATGAAAAATGGAAAAAGTAAAGGTAAGGTATTCTTTTAGTAATAAAGAGCTAAATAAACTTTATATTTAAGCAAATGAAAAAAATATGTATGTTAGTCATGTTTTATGGTATATGTTTCTGATCTCAACGATAATATTTCTTTGATCTTCTTCGTGACCATAATATGCATGATGCCAAAGCAATTGCTATACCATACTCGTCAATTTGTCCATAATGTTACATCTTGATAATTAGGGGTGAGCAATTTAACCGAACCGATCGAAATTTCGGTTTTGGTTTCGGTTTTAGTATATGTATAAGTCGGTTAATTCGGGTTTTCGGTTTCGGTTTCGGTTCCGGGTAGTATTAACCGAAACCGACCGAAAAACCAAGCCCACTATATGTAATTATGTAAATTTTATATATGTAAGTCTAATCTATTAATTCAAGGAACAAAGCTCAGTCCAAAACCCAATTAATGGCAGCCCATCCCAAATTTAGTGTTGCTGTCTCAATGTCCCCTTATGGCCCTATCTACGTATCTTGACTTTTCTAATCCCTAATCGGCTAATATGATTCCATCAACGGCAATACGACATCAAGTCTTTACGCCGCCTTAAAGTATTTTAGAATGGACGGAGATCAGACGCCGACGACGGTGCCCTTTGACGACGACGGCTGTGGCAGCTACTCTGCTTTCTCCGCTGATACTCCGTCGTACCAATCTGCCGGCGATTTATCTGGTGCGGAACATGCCTCTCAGACCATCGACACCCCTGAACATTCAGATCGGATCCGTACCAAGGACATCCCGCTCCATTTGGATCCTCGCCTGTTTCGGTTTCCAACACAAACGTAAAGCCCAATGAGCTCGGGGAGGATTCCGATGGGTCGGTTATTTGAAAACCGACCGGACCGAATCGATTTATCTCGGTTCGATTTGTTCGGTTATTAAAAAAATTCGATTCGGTTCGGTCGGTTAATGTAGTCATTTTTATTTTCGGTTATTTCGGTTTTGGGCCGAAACCGACCGACCCGAACCGATGCTCTCCCCTATTGATAATGCCATGATCAAAAGCAGACTCATGTTTTCCCTATAATACTTGAGCTTCACTCGCCTTGATATTGTTTAAGTTGTGAACGAGCTTTTCCCAAAATATGCATCCTCACATTATATTGTCACTCATTCGCCGTCAGTTTAGCATCTTTTACTTTTATATATATATATAACACAATGAATCATTGAGCTTTTTTAGCATCTTTTACTTATATATATATATATATATATATAACACAATGAATCATTGAGCTTTTTGTGTCATTTGCCCCCAAACTTTTTAAGAATTGTGTGGATTTTCCTTGATCTTTAAAAATTACAGCAATGTTTCCTGAACTTTTAAAAGCCTTGTACTAATAGTTCTTCTATGTCAGATTTGATAATCGAAATACAAACATGCTGACCAAGATACAATATTAGCCATAACCTAATTGATGTATGTTAGAATATAAAACAATTTGGTACTTATAATCACAAGTTTGAATTTTCTATTGAGTTGGTTTGATAACATTATATTAAAATCGTGTTACACGCAAATGACTATATTGAAGTTTAAAACATTTTTTGAACTTGTAATCACAAACTTGAAATTTTGATTAAATCCTTTCTCTATTAAAGTACTAGTGGTATTGGGCAATCCAATTGTACGACCAAATATGGATAGTACAAGTACAACAATTGTGAAGTACTCACTAATTGCAATGGTGCGTCCTCTATGGATGAATTTGTGTACTGCCTAGTACTTGACCTGTTTCTTCAATACACAAATACTATATACTTATGTGGATATAAAGAAGGAACAATATATATTTACACTTAGATCACGAGACATGAGATTTTATGTATCTTCTTTGCCTTAAGCTCAATGCCTTAAAGCTATCTAGAGCTTAGAGATACGATTGAGTNAGTACAAGTACAACAATTGTGAAGTACTCACTAATTGCAATGGTGCGTCCTCTATGGATGAATTTGTGTACTGCCTAGTACTTGACCTGTTTCTTCAATACACAAATACTATATACTTATGTGGATATAAAGAAGGAACAATATATATTTACACTTAGATCACGAGACATGAGATTTTATGTATCTTCTTTGCCTTAAGCTCAATGCCTTAAAGCTATCTAGAGCTTAGAGATACGATTGAGTGCAGCGTTGATAAAATGATAAGCTTGCATAAAAAGTTGCAACATGAATGGCCACAACTATATACTATTTGCCCAACCATATTCGTGTTATTGCTTGCAACAATTCATCAACATTGCACTCAATCATGTCTTTAAATCTCTGAAAATTTAGTTTTTCCTACATAGTTATAAAGTAGAGAGTAATTGAATCGACTGTAATTATGTTATAGAGGTCATTTTTGTCTGGTACCCTAGTTCTCTGGCATACACTTCATCTGTTCTGCAATGTAAGACGGAACAGTGCGAGTGGCGTGATGGTGAACCATGATGCCACCTAGCGCCACCTCAGCCATGGCCGTGGAACACCCCCCTAGTGTGGTGACCATCACATCCACCACGATGAATTTCTTTTTTCTTCTTCTTTTTTTTTATTGAGAAATTTACCTAAATAAGACTAAAACATAATGACTTTTCCAATATAGGACCATATGTTTTTATTTCTTAATGTAGACCTTTGGTCATTATCAAATAGTCATTATTTAACTAAATGTTTATCATTACGGGACATTATTCCTTCCACAAGGTCATTATTAAGTCCTATTTATGGAATAAAAAAGTTTAAGTCCTACATTAGAAAAGTCATTATGTTTTAGTCCTATTTTGTGCAAATTTCACTTTTTTTCTTTCTTGCCTTGCTTTCTTTTTCCTTTCTTTTGTGGGTTGCTTTCTTTCTCTTTAATTTTCTTATACTTTTCAATTTTAGTTTTTTACTTATTTTTGTTTGGAATATTAGCTTTTTCGGTCAATTAAATGAAATATGTATTGTATTTTTAAATCAAGTACTTGTATTGTATTTTTAAATCAAGTACTTGTATTCTTATTTTGTCATTTATAGCTCTTTTTTCTTTTTTTATTTTGCATGATGTCAATGCATTTTAAAATTTTGTTGTTAATATAATATGTATAAAATGTTTTTATTTTAAGTAATATTAATTTTAATAAATGAAAAAAGTAAAAAAAAATCAGACGTGATCCACACTCAGTAGTGTGATGAGGTGTGATGAAAAAGGGAAAATTTATGTCACACTGAATAGGATGATGTGATCCACACCAAATGGTCTAATAGTTAAGTATTTACATCATTAAATTCACACCCCAATATTTATCAATTTAATTTTAGAAGATTTGTATTTAAAATGTAAAAAATTAAAATTTGAAGCCCCATCTTGAAGCCACAGGGTTTTAAAGTCATTTCCACTGAAACTGATAAAAATGATATGAGAGAGAGAACGTTTAAAGCCTCGAGACTTCATGGGTATTTCGAGTGATAAGACATATGTATTACTCATGTGGAATCATTTACTATGTGCATTGACCAACGTGAAATTCCAAATGTTGCATATAATCTCGAATGGAAGTGTTAATTGACTATTAAAGTATTTGTATAGTTCTGATTAAATATAATCTATATTAAATATATAACATTTGATTTTTTTTTTAATTAATCTTAATTGAATGTAAAAAATCAAAACTAAACAAATAGTTAACCAATACTCCGTATCATTTAGATCAGAGCTCAATTATTTGGTACCATGTCTCCCAATTGAGCTAAGAGACTTACTTTGGACAATGTTTAGCTTCAAATGCAAATGATGTTTTCAAATTGCAAATTTAATTTTCTAAATAAAAAAATATACTCCGTATGTAATAGTGGGTTCTAAAGGTCATAGTGCAAATTTAATTTTCTAAATAAAAAAATATACTCCGTATGTAATAGTGGGTTCTAAAGGTCATAGTTTTATATAATATGAGTAAAGAATTACTTAAATTTGAAATTTTTTATTAGGAAAAAAATTAAAACAATAGTCTGACAAATTCATGATTTTCCAAGAATACTCTGAAAATAGGTTAATTACACTATTACTCCCAAAATTACTTTATTTTTATAAAAATACTTCAACCGCAATCTTACTCGCACAATAAAATTGTGTAATATCTAAATAGATTTTTTTAAGTGATGATTTGAAGAAAATATTACTTGTTCGCTTTCATACAAAAAATAGATTACTTATTTTTTCTCCAACTCAAATATCAATCACGCCCCTCACAATTAGGGCATGCCATTTTTCGGATGGAATTTTATAGTTGAGTGTTGGAAAAAATTTTAAAAAAAAAATTGAAAAAGTTAGGATTTAAATTTTGCAACCCAAAGAACAAACTTTTAGAGTTGGAGATTGGTATTTGACTTGAAGGAAGAATAAGTAATTTATTTTTTTGTATAAAAACTGAAAAAAGTGATTTTTTTCCAAATCATTAGTCTAAAAATTACTGTAAATATTAGACAATATGGTTGTGCAAGTAGTGTTTTTTTGTAAAAATAGACCATAATGGTGTAGTTAATTAATTTCTAGAGTATCCTTATAAAATCCGATTTTTTCAAAGTATTGCTATAAATTTGTCATTTTTATTACTGTGAAGAGAAGTACGAAATTAGTTTTGAGACGTCGCTTTTGGTAAGTAAGGCGTTAGTTTCGGGACGGAAAAGTATCAACCGGGCCGCTGTCAACGGGGGGATCCCTCCGTTCAAAAAAACATGACTTTGTTTCGTTGATAATTGAAAATTATGGAATAGAAAAAGAAAAAATGAGAAAACAAAAGTATTTTAATGTATTGTTAGGATGGTAAGAAAATAGAGGAAAAGAAAAAAATGAGAAAACATAAATTCTATTACAATCCCTCATTTTTTGTTCTTAATTTTCTCACTATTTTCTTTCTTCTTTTTTATCTCCTCCGGAACATAGAATAAAAAACCATGGGCTTAAACCTACAAAGAAAGTAAAGAAACCCACCCCTATACAAAAGTAATGAAACGTCAGGAAAATTCCTTACTGTTGCAAAACCACGTTTCTTCACAAAATCGACAGGCAAATCAAAATCCGCCTCCCGTTTTGAATACTGAGCCCACCAAGCCCCGATATAAATAAGCGCTCTCCCCGGCCCATTTCTCTCCATCACCGAACTCACGGCAGTAAAAAAAACCACATTCCTAGCGAGCGAGAGAACAAATCGAAGAAAAATGAGCGGCGGCTGCGGCGGATCAAAGAGAACAGCCTGGCTGGTGGCGGCGAGCATCGCGGCGGTGGAGGCGCTGAAGGATCAAGGGATCGCGAGGTGGAATTATCCGATCCGGACTTTACACCAGCACGCCAAGAGCAAAGTGACGTCGTATTGCCAGACGAAGCGGTGCTCTTCCTCCCTGCCGCCTTCTTCCGTCGTCTCCGGCAAGGTGATCAGAGAGGCCAATAAGGTGTCTAAAACAGAGAAGAATATGAACAGAGTCGTGGAGATGAACTGCTTCGGCCCTAGCACTGTTAGGTTTTAGAAATCCTTCAGGTCTGTCTGGTATTAATCTCCGATCCCCAAATCCAATGTATAACAAAAAAAAGCATTGCTTTTTCTTGGTACAAATATGAAATATGCGATTTTATGCTATGAAGATGTTAAATCTGGAAATGGTTAAGATCCCTCCTCAAATTTTCATCTTTGTGTTGTATTGGATGAGATGCAAGAAGTATGATGACAATAACAAAATCATTATTATTACTCCATTCTTGACTACTCTTGACCTTTAACAAAAAATGATTAGGAAGATTGTTTACTTATTCTTCTACTGTAGTTGATTATTCCAGCTGTCAAAAAACATTTTGTTATTTCAGTAACAATACTGCTAGAGGTACATTAAAAATTTGTGTTATAAGCAAAAAGCATCTCACACAGACATGGAATGTTATGTTAGTAAATGCATGGATTTTGTTTGGTGAGAAATGGAGTATCCCAATTTTTCTTATCCCTAGCATTACCCTTCCAATGCATATTGCACTCCATAGTCCAAATGGTTTGTAGTTTCATTGATCTTCCTTATTACTATGAAAAATGCTAGGGGTACACTAAAAGTGTACCCCATATGTCCCCCATCCTCTCCTTGTCCACTAAAAAAAGCAAAAAAAATTAAAAAAAAAATAAGTAAATAAAAATCAAATAAAAATGTATGGTGAAATAGTGGGTGGTGTACATTTGGAGTACACCTTTTGGTGTACCCCTAACATTGTTCTATTACTATTGATGGTGTAAATTACCGTCCAAAATCACTGGGTCTGGGGTGATTTGCTGGATTTAGATGCTGAAAAGACTTAGGAAATGAAGATCGACTAGGTGGAATGTATTTATAATGTAGTTAAGTGACAGGCATGCGGGTGTCAAAGCTTGTTCACGTGCCAATCACGTGACGAGGTGAGGACTCTTTGTCTTGTAGCGTTCATCTCTTTTCTCTGGTTGTTATGCTTTACAAGTGTCCCTTTTGGCGTGTAGTGGGGGCTATATCTGTTGGTGCAGGAGAATCTAGTCTGACCAGGTTATTTCCAAATCACTATATTTTGAATATACTAAGCTGTTAGTACGTGCGCCAGTCCCAATGAACTACTTTGGTGGTTTCTCGAAGAGACGCTCTGGTAGTACTCCTACCCCGACCGGTAATGTCACTACCCACCCGGGTGGCTTGCAACCAACCGGTCAGATTGTCCAATGCTCTTCATGCGTTGTTCATGCCTCACCCGGTTGGCCTCGATCATACCCTTCCTTGGTCTGGGCCTGGGAGGGAATACACCCATCAGGTTTATATATTTATAATTTATATTTATATGTATATTTTGTTAATTATTTGATAAAAGAATAAATTCTTGTCATTTCTTGTTTTGTAACTTTTGACGTAGTTTTGAATAGTAAAGTACTCCTTACATCTTAAAAAGAATGACATAGTTACTATTGCGACCTCTCAATAACTTTTTGTTTAGTGGTTTTGATTGACCATTGGACAAAATAAAATACTCTTTTCGCAATTTGTTTTGTAGAACTTTTGGCCTATTTTGGACGATGTAATTTTTATTATTTATTTCTTTATTAATTTGTAAATAAAATAATTTAGAAATATACTCCGTAATATTTTATACGTCATTCAAAATATTGGAAACAATTCGAGATGGGGGAGTATGATTTGTATTTTGTACCTCTATACCATTCTGTATATAATACCTAGTAGTCCTTCCGTCCCAGAGTATTCGTCTAGTTTTGACTTTTGGAACTAAGTATTTTGATTTATCAAATTCTCTCAATGTGTAAGCTTAAATATAGTCATGTGTGATCTTGTTTGATTTGTCTTAACATATAGATTATTAATATGTAATCTCTATAATTTTTTAATATACAAATTACAAGATAAAATGAATTAAAGAAGTGTATTGGATGGTGTATTGGTGTGTAAAAATGAAAGTGAACAAATACTCTGGGACGGAGGTAATACTTCTTATCATTTTCAAAGAGTAAACTTTTAAATGGGAAGAATAATTTGGAAGGAATCGAGTATTAGCTTCATTTGTAGAGTACTATTTGATGTTTTTGAGTTAAACATGATAAATTTTAATTATCAGTTAAATAAAAATAGGTGTAGCATTATACAAAGTATGTTCAACCAAATATAGTTTCATTAGAAATTTTTTATGGAAATTTTTTAACAAAAAATTATTTCATTATATTAGCACATAAGAGAATGGTACAAATTTAATTGGGAGTGGTACAATTGATAGATTATAAAGTTTATTTACTTTGACATACTTTTGAAGTGCTCCCTATGTTTATTGTTCCAATCATGCTAGAGGTATTCCACACAATGTACCCCAAAGTATACGTTAAAGTTATACACTAACATTTCAATGATTCACATTCATACAATATGCAAGTGCGATAAAAAAAATTTACTATCATTTTGTGTATGTGTAAACTATCACTCTCGTCACACTGACACAAAATGAAGGTACATACCTACGCTGTACAAGTTAGGGTACAACTTTTGAAGTACAAGTAGCTTAATTTCTATTTTTCTGTTACACTAACAAAAACTATACAAATTGCTCTGTATTTATTTGATTGCTTCAATTTCTATAGTAGTGTGTGTCCCTTTAAAATTGTTCTCCTCGTTCAAAAATTATTGTCAAATAACGTGTAAAATTTTATCTTTTTTGAAATGATTATATTAACAAATTTGTATAGAATAAAAAATTGTATATTAAAAAATTATATACAAATCATCCAAAACGAATTGTGGCATGTCTATTTTAGGGAAAAGAACTAGAGTAAGGGGCTGTTTGTTTCCGTCTCTTAATGGTTCAGATGTCTGAATGGTTCAACACTTAATGGTTCAGACTGTTTGTTTCAGCATCTTAATCGTTCAGATGTCTGAATGGCTCAGACATTTATTTGCCTCTGAATGGTTAAGTATTATACAGAGTCTGAATGGTTAAGACCTCTTATCTGAATTGATCAGAGATTTGCCTCTGAATAGTTAATCAATATACTAGCTCTTAATGGTTCAGACCTCTTACTGGTTCAGCACTTACCTATTCAGAAGTTGCCAAACAGCCTCTAAGAATAAAACATTGAAAAACCAAAATATGAGTTTCATTTTTTTATTCTTGAAATAAGTGTACCCAAATAAGTATTTGGCAGTATGCAGATAGCTTTGAAATGATTCCGTGAAAATTAGTTTTAAATTGCATCACAGTCCCATCTCGTTTGATATCTATTTGATTTCAATTCGTGATGGAAAACAAAATATCATGTTCAAAAATATTATAAACGGTTATGTATCATTACGGTCCGATATGATACTATGTTAATTCAGGTTTTTTCCCATCCCCCTAGTATATTTTAACTTTTTAAATGATCGATAAAAACCTATACAAATAAAAGTTATTAGAAATCTAAAATAGTACGGACTGTACGGAGAAAACATGATACTACTTTCGTCCCAGGGTATTTTTCCACTTTTATTTTTACACACCATCCAATACACTTCTTTAATCTATTTTATTTTGTAATTTGTTTATTAAAAAATTATAGAAATTATATATTAATAATCTATATGTTAAGACAAATCAAACAAGATCACACATGACTACATTTAAGCTTACACATTGAGAGAATTTGATGAGCCAAAGTGCTTAGATGAATAGTTCCAAAAATCAAAACTGGACGAATACTCTGGGACGGAGGGACTAATAATTTCACGACGGATGAACTATATGTGGTGTTTTATGTGGTGAAGCATTTTAATAAAAACTACTCCGTATAAAGTTCTTTCCAAAAAACAAAGTTATATTAAAAATCATGTCAATTGGAACGAAAAAAGATGAGACCAATAGAGTGATAATCTTTTTATTTGACTTACTCTAATTAGAAAAAATTATAATTCTACTTCTTAGATCTCAAAATGTTTTGCATCTTATACAAAGCAAAGTGATATTTTCAATTTGTTCATTTCATTTTATTAGACATATAAATAAAAAATAAAATTTATATACTCTCTTCGTCCATAAATAAACTTTACGTTCACTATTTACAGGATCAAACTTTATTCACTTTGTTGGCCTATTTTCGTCACCCATTTGATAAAATAATATAGTCATGTCACCTCTAGTTTTGTAGATCTTTTGATATAGTTTTTAATATGGAGTATGTAATTTTTATTTTTCAATTCTACACCATTTTTCATATAAAATGATTTGAAAATAACTTCAGTCAAACATCGTAACGCGTAATGTAAAGTTTATTTGTGGACGGAGGGAGTATATAAAAACATAAAAAAATCAACAAAACAAGAAAAGTTTAGAATATCTTATTTTATCAAATAACCAATGAAAAATACATAATTAAACAAAAGTTTCTATTCTAGTTGTATTATTTGATATTAGAAAATATATTCTTGTAGTTTGGATATACTAATATTGAAAGTCTTATTTTACTTTATGGAACATATTTTCGTTCTTGTTAGGCATTTTGCACACGCGAATAAATAGAAATTTCAAAGAGTCTTGAATTTTCAATTATTAGGTAGGATTGAGATTTAAGAGTAAAGTTTCACCATTTTCAGAGGCCAATATGACAAGGATGTTTGATTTTAGCATTTGTAAAGTAATTGAATTTAAAATTTTAGGAGTAATGCTAATTGAAAGTAATGTTTGCAAATGAAGCATTGAGCACTGGTTCTCCTTCACTTCTTTGTGTGGTTTTGATCTGATTCGATTAAAGTATTACGTAGTATCTGGTTTGATGGTAGTTATGTTTAAAACGGTTTCTGATTTGATATGATATTATCTCACTCCAACAAGAATAAATAATAAATAAAAAGAATAAGTTGAAAAAGACAAGTTATTACCCATTAATGAAAATTTTAAGGAATTTACCTTTATGAAAAAAACTTTGTTAAAATAATTTGGTAAATAATGGAATATTTTGAAAATTTACAGAGTATTGACTCTATTAGAATGTATTATCAGGTGACCAAACAAAACAGTACCTAAATGATTGTTCAGCTAACACACCAAACAATGTCCATTTTGTTAATGAGCTATTGAGCTATGTCTTACACGGCAGCAAAGAAAAGCTTTGTTGGACACCACTGATTTCCCTAGATAATTTGTGTGTGAATTCATTGTTTTACATTTCCGAGTCTTATGCCAGAGTGGGGTAGTCAAGTACTTCCTCCCCCTAAAACGTTTATTCCATTTCTATTTAGAAGATTTAATTGATTTTATTTTTAATTTAATTTATTTAATATGTAAAGAAAGTAAATGATACTTGACCATGCGAACTACAAAAAACATTTCAGGACGGGGAAATAGTTTTGACAACAACAAGAAAGAATGATTAAACTATATCCTCTAACATTTAAAAATTAAAATTTATATATTCAAAAGCTTCACTTAAGGCTAGAGAATATAGATAAACCTTTTTCTATTCCACGTTTTAAGTAATTTGGACCTAATTTTTTGTTTTTTTATCAACTTTTTTTCCACAATTGTGGTCCATAATTCAATCCAAATTTAAAAAATACTTTTTTTAAGATCCTACACCATACAATGTGTTACATCGTATCCGATAGACAACAATTTAAATATTTAGTTTTAATGTTTTAATAAGTTATTTAAGATTCACGTTTAGATTTAATATTTTCAAAATTAATTAGCTTAAAATTATCTAAAGAGTAAACTAAAGCATGGTTCCCAACAAGACTATCCTTGTTTTAACAAAATCAGAGGCACTAAATTATCCAAAGAGGATAACTAATTGCATCTCTTAGAGTAGTACCAAGATCAATTAGAGAACTTACACTTCATGTGTTATCTTTCTAGTGCAATTATTGTTAAGATTTCTATAAGTCCCCCTTTACTCTCTAGGTCACATGAAAATTTCTAGAATAAAATTAACATGAACTTCTTTTTTTTTGTTTGAAGTGAACCAAATAAATTAATCAAATGATCTGATCCCTCAAAAAAATTAAGGACCTGTTTGGGAATAGCGTTAGCGTTTTGGATAAAATTTTAACGGTGCAGATTACTTTGAAAATGCTAACGCTAAACGCTGTCCTTATATAAACTTTTAAATATAGAACAAGATTCCGTTGATACTGTCGAATAACACTCGCCTATTTCGAACATCTCAAGTGCTCTAAATAAAAAATTGATAAATCCTACCCCAAAACCCCTCACTGCACCCCCACATTAGTCCGACCCCCAGACCCCACCCTAGATCCATTTTACCCCATCTAAATGTTCGTCTATTATGTCTAGGGTGAGTGTGCTGGGGTGAGAGTACAATAGATGGTGGATTAGAAAGGGTTGAAACTATTAATTTTAAAATAAATCACAATTGAATGCCAGTGTCAACGGAATATTGCCTAAATCAAAAATTTTTTCCATAGATACAAAATACTCCGTAAAACCTTTGCTAGGAGTGAGAAAAAAAGAAGAGTAATGCTAGGAGTACACCAAAAATATAACCTAAATGTACACTACTCCTTTTCTATCACCCATTTTTATTTGATTTTTACTTATTATTTATTTAATTTTCTTGCCCAATTATGTAGACAAGGAGAGTGTATGGGATAAATGGGGTACAAATCATTCTTCAAAAAAGAATTATCATGTCAACGGGTTGAGTAACGCATAGTAATTGTATTGGATATAGAAAGAAGGGTGGACTCCAACATTTAGGTATAATGTCATTTGCCTAAATCAAAGTTCTTGGTAGAATTCAAAGACAAGAGAGGGATGCTAATCCCAAGGAGAGGTGAGAGAGGGAGAAACTAATCCCAAGTCGGCATTTAGACAGAAAGTACTAAAAACCATATTAAGAGATCTTTAACAAGTGACACGACGTGCTAGAGTTGGACAAGAGGCATAAAAGAAACTCTGGCCGCCGAGCTCTGCAATGGCAAATAGAGACATACAACACCTTCAAGCCACGATGGACAATCTGGACTTGGGGGAGGAGGAAATTGGCATCTCCTTTGAAGCCGATAGCGGAATTCATACGAATCTAGGCGATGACCAAACATGGAACATCGTTGGAAGACTCCTCACAGACAAGCCGATCAAATTTGATATCTTCAAGAATGTGATTGCTTCAGTCTGGAAGCCAGCAATGGGTGTTCAAATTACGCAAGGCGAGGAGGGAATCCTGTGGTTTCGTTTCTTTCACCCAAAAGATGCGGAAAGGATTCTTGATGAGGGCCCATGGTCTTATGATAATGCAATGCTACTGTGCGTTAAAAGCAACTGTTGGGGACAACATCAGACCTGCAGATCTTAATTTCCTGGATATCTGGGTGCAAGTCTATGGACTCCCGTTCGGATATACGTCCAAGGGGGTCCTAGAGGCAGTCGGGAACTTTTTAGGCCGCTTCATTATGGTGGATGACAGGAACTTAACGAAGCCCTATCAATCATTCATGCGTGTTCGCGTTTCGATCGACGTGCGGCGCCCCCTAAAGAGACGGATGAAATTGACAAAGCGTGATGGATCAACTACCTGGGTTACTTTCAAATATGAAAGGCTTGGGACCTTTTGCTATTTTTGTGGGATCCTGGGCCATCTTGAGAAGCACTGTGCAAGTGCGGTACAATCGGGAATGGAAGCAGAAGCGTGGCCATATGATGACAATATCAGGGCAGGAGGAAAGAAGAAACTTGCTGGGATAGGTGCCCCATGGCTCAGGGATATGGCGGACAGAGATATTACAGGACGTTCCTCCATCTCGGCTAAAGCTGACAAGTCTAGTTTGGAGGGCGGCATGGAGGGTTTAATTACAAAAAGGAAGAGAAGAAACAATGATGAGATGATCGTTGATATGAACATCACGGCTCATGATGCTGGACTTAATGATACGGCGGGTCCCGGTTCCCGGGCCTGCCGGGGCCAATGAGCGTTTTAAGTTGGAACTGCCGCGGGCTGGGCAACCGGCGGACAGTTCAAGAACTCGTAGAGCTAGTCTCTACTAACAGGCCCCACTTTGTTTTCCTCTCTGAGACAAAGTGTGTTCGCTCTAAAATTGATAGTGTTAAACAAAAACTTGGATTCGATTGTTTGTTTGCGGTGGATAGTGTTGGAAGAAGTGGCGGACTCGCACTTTTTTGGAGCAACCGGTGGTGTGTGAATTTGATCTCGTACTCCAGAAATCATGTGGACGTGGCAGTCTCTATCGATGATGGGATCAAATGGCGCCTCACGGGTTTCTATGGACACCCTAGAAGAGAACAGAGGGAAGAAGCATGGAATCTTCTCAAATCGCTTAAGGCCAAGGCAGATTTACCTTGGTTAGTGATTGGTGATTTCAATGATATCTGTGCTGCGCATGAAAAAAAGGGGGGCAATCCAAGACTCCCGAATTTAATTGAGGGTTTTAATAATGCATTGTTCTTCTGTGGTTTAGCAGATGTGACCATGGAGGGATACCCGTATACGTGGGAGTGGAAGAAGGGCACTCCAGACTGGGTAGAGGAAAGGCTTGATAGGGCAGTGGTCTCCCTATGCTGGAGGGATATGTTTCCACGCAGCAGGCTTGTTAACAAACTTTCATGTTGGTCAGACCATTCGGTATTAATCTTGTTTCTTCATGGAAGGGAAAACGTTGGTACACGACATAGATTTAAATTTGAGAACGCTTGGTTACTGGAGGAATCTTTCAAACCATTTCTTAAAGGGTGCTGGTCCGATTCCAGTGGCAGAGCTTTCTCGGACAGGATTCATCTTTGTGGAGAGAAACTTGAAGGTTGGGGCAAAGGCAAAAATGGAGACACAGCCGAAAAAATTAGCCACTTGAGGGGCATTCTAGAGAGACTCCGCGGAGTTCGTAGCCCGGCAGCCATGACGGAAAGAATTAACATCACAAAGGAGATTGATTCCCTGATGGACAAGAATGATTGCTACTGGCGGCAACGAGCAAAACAACACTGGCTTAGTGAGGGAGATCGAAATACTCGTTTTTTCCATAACTATGCTTCGCACCGAAGGAGGAAAAACTATATTCGTAAGCTCAGGGACTCCAATGGCAACTGGCACGAAGGAAGCAATCTCACCAAGCTTGTGTTTGATTTTTACTCGGATCTCTTTGTTTGTGCTGGACCACGAGATGGGCAAAGGCTGAGTATGGATCTCTTTTCAGGCTTAGGTCACTCAAAGGTGTCCAGAGAACAAAATGAAAAACTGTTAGCACCATTCACTGAAGTGGAAGTGAAAACTGCTTTGTTCGCCATGCACCTAGATAAGGCGCCTGGCTCGGATGGAATGAATCCAGCTTTCTTCCAGAAATGTTGGGATGTGGTGGGTACTGACACAACAACTTTTGTCTTAGACTGTCTTCAGAGGGGATGTATTCCCCAAGGTCTCGGGGACGCAACATTGGTTTTAATCCCTAAGAAGAACAAGCCCGTCTCTGTTGGAGATCTTAGACCAATAGCACTCTGCAATGTGGTTTACAAGATTATTGCCAAAATGGTCGCTAACAGAATGAAACCCCTTCTACAACAATTGATTTCAGAGAACCAGTCAGCTTTCCTTCCGGGGAGACTTATCTTAGACAACATCTTACTGGCAGTGGAGGCAGGGCACTATTTGCGTCGAAAGAATGGTGGGACTAATGGTTGGGTAGGACTAAAATTGGACATGGCGAAGGCTTATGATAGAGTGAAGTGGAACTTTTTGGAGAGTATGCTTTGTTGGCTGGGGTTTGATGATGGATGGATACACCTTGTTATGATGTGCGTGACTTCAGTCAGGTACAGAGCTCTGGTTAATGGCTCACTCACAGATGTTTTAAGCCCTTCGCAGGGCTTGAGACAAGGCGATCCATTGAGTCCCTACCTTTTTATTATATGTGCGGAGGGTCTATCCCTTCTTTTGAGGAAAGCTGAAGAACAGAAACTCTTACACGGCATCCGTGTAGCAAGAGGAGCTCCGACCATCTCTCATCTGTTTTTTGCCGATGATAGCTTACTTCTTTTCAAAGCTACGATGGGAGAGGCTCAAGCTGTTCGGCAATGCCTTGATGATTATGAGCAACTGTCTGGCCAAATGGTAAATTATCATAAGTCTACAATTTGCTTTAGTACCAACACTCCCACTGCTGTTCAAGATTCTTTGTCAAATCTTTTTGGTGTTGAGAAAGCTGTCGACTTTGGAAAATATTTGGGCCTACCTTCTTTTATTGGGAGATACAAGTCTGCGACTTTTAATTTTATCATTGACAAGATTAGGAGCCGAGTTGGAGGATGGGGCAAACGGTTCCTTTCAAAAGCAGGGAAGGAAATTTTACTTAAAACTGTGGCTCAGGCATTACCTCAATATGCTATGAGTGTGTTTCTTCTCCCCATTGGACTTTGCCGCAGAATAGAAGGAATTATGAATCACTTCTGGTGGAGCAACAAAGGCTCAGACCCATCTGGAATTCACTGGCTTTCATGGCAGCGTATGTCAACGCCAAAAAAATTTGGTGGCCTAGGCTTCAGGAGGATTCGGGACTTCAATGTCGCTATGATTGGAAAACAAGGTTGGAGACTGATTGTCAACCCAGATTCCTTAGTGGCGAGAGTCTTTAAGGCGAGGTACTACTCAAAAGGGGACTTCCTGAACGCGGGGCTTGGCTCATCACCGAGTTTTGTGTGGCGGAGCATTTTAGAAGGCCGAAATCTTATCATTAATGGCATAGGTCGACGGATTGGGGACGGACGAGATACTCTAATTTGGGATACTCCTTGGATTTGGGACAAGGACAACCCGTTTATTACATCTTCAAAACCCCCTTTTTGTCCAAACTTTAGAGTTTCTTATCTAATTGATCCGGAAACTAATGCATGGAAAATGGATGTGGTGCGGGAATGGTTCTCAACCGAAGATGCAATCCGAATTCAACGTACTCCGGTGTCTCTCTCTCGCAAGGACTGTTGGTATTGGAGGGCGGAAGCACATGGAAATTACACAGTGAAGAGTGCTTACAGGAGGCTATGCGGGGAAGCAGCGCAGCTAGAGAGTTTCGGCCAGTGGAATCGACTTTGGGGACTGCCCATCATACCAAAGGTAAAAAATTGTGTGTGGAGGTGCTTAAGGGGTGTCTTACCTACGGCTATAGCTCTTAGAGCCAAAGGGGTTGATATTGAGCCTAACTGCCGCATCTGTGGAGCACCGGAAGAATCAGTGGAGCACGTTTTCCTTTCCTGTCCTTTTGCTCAGGCTACTTGGAGACTCCTACACAGAGAGATCGCCACAGGTATGCACGAGAACTTTAATAATTGCTTGGCGGCTGTTTTTAGATCGGCGTCGGCTGTCGGTGGGGCAGTGACGGCTGCGGGTATTTGGGCTATCTGGAAAGCTCGAAATCAGGCCTGCTGGGAACTCAAGGTGGTCAGACCGGAGGTTGCCGCTGATTGGGCACGAGAAGTATGCGTGACTAGGACAAGTCGTGACTTAAAGGGTGGCACGATGGCGACGTCAGAAGGGGCGGGGCTTCAGCAGTTGAACCGGCCGGATCTCCTGCGATGCTTTGTTGATGCGGCCATGTTTGAACAGGAGGGTTTTACATCAGTGGCGGCAGCCCTTCTTGATGGGGCAGGCACGTTCATCGGGGGCTTCAACAAGCTTGTCACCTGTCCCTTAGTACCAAGGTATGTTGAAACTTTCGCTATTAAGGAAGCCCTATCTTGGCTCAAGGAGAAGAATGTCCATGATGTCGCTGTTTTCTCTGACTGTGCTCAAGCGGTCCATGCTCTAAAGAATGACGTGATAGAAGCTCGGTCATATCTGAACACNGGTTGCCGCTGATTGGGCACGAGAAGTATGCGTGACTAGGACAAGTCGTGACTTAAAGGGTGGCACGATGGCGACGTCAGAAGGGGCGGGGCTTCAGCAGTTGAACCGGCCGGATCTCCTGCGATGCTTTGTTGATGCGGCCATGTTTGAACAGGAGGGTTTTACATCAGTGGCGGCAGCCCTTCTTGATGGGGCAGGCACGTTCATCGGGGGCTTCAACAAGCTTGTCACCTGTCCCTTAGTACCAAGGTATGTTGAAACTTTTGCTATTAAGGAAGCCCTATCTTGGCTCAAGGAGAAGAATGTCCATGATGTCGCTGTTTTCTCTGACTGTGCTCAAGCGGTCCATGCTCTAAAGAATGACGTGATAGAAGCTCGGTCATATCTGAACACGGTGGAGGATGATTGCAAAAAACTTGCTTATTTCTTTAATTATGTTAATTTTTTTCACATTCCTAGACAGTCGAATTTGATTGCACACACCCTTGCTAGATTGGCTGTTAATGGGTGCTATGAATGGCATTCTATTCCCCCAAATGATGTATTGCATTTGCTTTGATGAATGAAAGTGTTTGACTTTCAAAAAAAAGAAGAAAGAAGGGTGGGGGCGGACTTAAAACTGGGAGTCAACTCCGCTTTAGAGCACAGGCTGAAGTCCGCCACTGCAACTTTCCTCTTCATCAACCATGCCACACAACTGAAATACCGATGCGCCCCAGAGAAATAATCAACCGAAACACCGGCGCAGATAATCCGATTCTCTCCAACTGTCTGTTGCTTCTCCGCGTAGACTTTTTATTTTTATTTTTTCATATTGATATTTGATTCTCAGTTCATTGGAAATCTCAAGTCAATTCCAGCCCTGTTGATTTTGTTTTGAAAATCATCTGAGAAGAAACAGATTGAGGAAACCATTGTTGGACGGGAAGTTTCTCAGATTCCGGCGATCGCAATGCCCGTTTCCGACAGCCATAAGTCCGACGGGAAGCTATGGAAGATCTTCCATTTCTGGCAGCCCGGAGCTGCATCTTCTGCTCACAGTATCCACTCCGGCAGCCAGAACGGAAGCGTCGCCGGATCCTCCAACTCCCGTCCTGCCGCATCCGTCTCCTCAGTTGCCAGATCCTTGATCCCGCCTCGGCGACGGCTCCGCCTCGATCCAAATAATAATCTCATTTTCCCATGTGTGTGCCTTTTTAGTTGTATTTACTTGGTAATTTCATTTTTTCGTTCTTCTGATTCTTAATTTAACTTCTATTGCTAATTTAATTTTTTGGGCGGTGTAGATGAACCCGGGAAGCAGGTGAGAAGTGCCGTCTTGATTAAGAATATTAGTAAATCCCACGTTGCATTTAAGGTATAACCTTTTTCCCATCCTTCTAATGATTTCTATTTATGGAAGGATAAATCTATTGGATTTTAGGTTTTAAAAGGCAAAGAATAAGGCATATTTCCCTCCCTTTTCCCCATCTTGGAATCAGCTTGTTTGCATTAGGCTAATGCTGGAATTGGGACCAATGTTTTTATCTTGAAAAAAAGTTATTATTTTACTTTATTTTTTCTATAATTGCGAGTTAAAAAAAGCCGAAGCATTTAATTGAATATGCTAGAACAATATGAACAGCATATAACATTGCCATATTATATCATATGGTTACTCTTTTCTCATTGAATGGAATGTACAGACAGTAAACTCCTGCATTTTTTTTGCTTTGCATTTTAAGTTTCAAACAACTGCACCGAAGAGCTGTTACATGAGGCCTCCGGGGGGTGTTCTCGAGCCTGGGGAAAGCATCATTGCTACGGGTAATCATTCACTCTAGTGACAAAATCTGTTTTGGTTTCTTACTTTCATTTGTAACTGTGCAGTGCAGTTTTGTTTCATGTATTGACTTCTCCTGGTGGTGAGTATTTCTTTTAAAAAATAAGATTATTTCAATATGCTTTGTAGTCTTCAAATTTGTGGAGCAGCCAGAAAACAATGAAAAGCCCATGGATCAAAAGAGCAAGGTCAAGTTCAAGATCATGAGCTTGAAGGTGACTGAAGGAACAGAATTTGTGCCCGAGTTGGTAAGTGTATAGCTCTGACATTATTTTTATTATTATTTTCTTGGAGAAAAACAGTGTTTATCCATGCATATTTTCATACTAAATCACCTTATTTGTATTATTAGAAGAAGCATTACCTAGCAGTTCATTTTTATATTCAGTACTTGAGGACAGGATTCTGTCCACTTCATTGAAGTCAAGTCACCTATAGATAATTCAGTGTTTTTGTAGATGCCATCATCTGAGCACAATGTGTTCAACTTTGCATAAGCCTCTATATGGTGTAGTAAGTTTTGATAACCACCAAATGTGATGACATCTTATCCACCTGTTTTGTAGATATTTAGGCATTTCCAAATTGGAAGGCATTTCTTTTCTCAAAACTGCTAGTGCTAGAGTGCTACATATCCCTTTTTGGCACCACTCCATGTGAATCTAACCTCCTTAGCAGCGTTCAACAGTGTTTCAACTATTTAAACATCAGAATTCAAAATTATTTTTGTAGATTAATTGGACAATGCTCCTCACAAGGACAGTCTTTTGATTTTTCTTGTATATACTCGATAAGAAATGTAAGTTTCTTACTTTCATCTGAAATTCTTTGGTGTTTGCCATGGGGGTGTTTGCCAAATATTGGCTGGTGGTACACAGTGTCGGGCCTGATGTCTCATTGGCTGTTTGGGGGAGAGTGTTATTCTTTTTTAAAAAAAATTATCTGCTATTTTCAAGACTTTTAATGTAATGCCATCTCTACATTAACCCTATCCTTTTGATTATCATAAGCATCCTGGTTATGTGAAACTTTTATCATTTTTGAGATTTGGCTTGCTAAAACCCCTATCCATATATTACTAAACCTCTTTTCTTGAGGGTAGTTGTACTTGAATATCAAGTTTAATTGTTCTTTGTTTTTTGAGTTTCCATGACAAAATCAGTCTTCTTTTCACTTTAATACTTCTTTTTCTTATTGAAAACCCCCATGATCAATTTGGTTGGAAGGATTGGAGGAAAAGACTTTGGAGTGCTTCCCTTCCTAATGTTTCAAACATGCATCGTTTCAAATGCTTTATTTGCTTTCTAGACCACTTTATTTACGAAATAATAGACTAATCCTTCCAAACAAACCAAAGATCTCTAATCTTTAGTGACTGTTGATATCTACTTTTGATGTAGTTTGAAGAGCAAAGGGATCAAGCACTTGTGGAGAGAATTTTGCGAGTGGTGTTCTTGGACCCCGATCAACCTTCTCCGGTAAGAACGCTTCATTTAATCCCTACTTTTTCTCCATCATCTTTCCCTTTAAAACATCGATGAATAATTCCTTTTATCTGTTAAGGCAATGGACAAACTAAAGCGCCAATTGGCTGAAGCGGATGCTGCTGCAGAAGCTCGCAAGAAACCGCCTGCAGACACAGGCCCAAAAGTAATTGGAGAAGGCCTTGTCATTGATGAGTGGGTAAGCGTTATACTACTGCACCATGTTTAGAAATCCTAACTCGGTTCCTTGTCAAAAATATGATACCCATTCTGTATCTGTTAATCTGCAGAAAGTGAGGAGGGAAAAATATCTGGCTAAGCAGCAAGTTGAGGCTGTCGATTCATCCTAGACTTTAATTTTCTTCTTTAAATATGCAAGTGTTTCGTTGTCTCTAAGGAAAACAGGTACAAAATTTAATCCTTTGTGGAGAATGGGCAGTGTGGTGTCCTCTGTAAAGAAGAATAATGTATGCTATTGTTATACGGAGTATTACAGTATTTTTTTCGGGATTGATATTTTTTGAATTGGTCTTTTTCTTAGTCTAAGGCTTCGTTTGTTTATCGGGAAAATGTGTTTTTGTGTGGAAAATAAGTTAGTTAATGTATAATATAATGTTTATCCCACTAAACAGAGTCATTTTCCACATAAAGTTCAAAAAAGTTGTGGGAAAACATTTTCAGGGGCCAAATACAAGAAAATGTTTCCAGGGAGTTGTTTTTCCAGTCATATTTTCAAGGAAACAAACGGAGCCTAAGTAAGAAGCACATTACGGACAATAACCACACATATAATTTGATCTGTTCCTTCGTTAACTACAAAGTATTCTCCAGACATCACAACAAGTTCACACTCTCCTGAACAAATCACAAATTATCTGGCAATTGGAGTTTCTGGGAACCCAAAATTTGACGAGACCCATTTTCGACGAAGATGGCTATGCCACATTTGCTACTATTGCACCCATCCCAGAGCAAGAAATTGACCGTTCCGCTCAGACTCTTCTTCCCGGAGACATCCTTAACTTCGCAGAGCCTCTCGAGCCTCCTGACCACATAGTCGTTTGCCAGGACTGTGTCTTTGTTCTGTCCTGCTTCACATTGGGTCACCAACCCAGACTCGAACAGAACAACCATGATGTTGGCACCATTGTTGTCCTCCATGTTCTTTAGAGTTCCTGTTAGAGACACTTGCAGTGACTCTGGTCTTGGTCTCATGAAAGTTGCCTGTTCATTTCCATAATGTTAGAGACTTGCAGGATTGAAACAAGTTAAAAAATCACTTTTGATCTTCTGAAGTCTAAACCACTAAAAAGATCATTCTCACTACTTTCATTCCTTCTACCTTTTGGATGGAAGGGTTGGTTTATAAAATACAATTGGTGACTTTCTTTTCATGGGTAATCAATCAAATTGGCTAAACCTCATACTACGTATAAAACTAATTAATATTCCACCCGTCTCAAATTAAATTATATATTTATTATTCACAGGATCAAACTTTTTTTAACTTTCTTTTTTTTATTTTCATTAGTCATTTGATAAAATAATATAGTGATGTTCACACTATCTAGTTTTTAAATAGGTAATTTTTATTTTTTTAATTCCTCAACATTTTTCAAATAAAATGATTTGAAAATATCTTTACTCAAATATCGTAAATAAAAACAAACAATTTAAATTGGGACTAAGAGATTAGTAAATAATACTGACCCGGAAGGATAGAGCAGGGTATCTGGGAACGGAATTAATGGAGGCAAAAACGGCCTCCTGATCATTGGCAATACATTGGGCCTGGCCCTGGACCACGATATGGGGCGTGAAGATGGAGTCCAATTGGAAGGCCTCAACATAGGCCTTTTGCCTGACGGTCCACTGGCTCGACCCGAACGGGTCCTTCCAGCCCATATGATCCCAATAGTCCACATGGAAAGCCAGCAACACCAGCGGCGCCGGCACATCCCGGCGGAAGTCTCCCCTGCCTAATCGCGAGAATAGGAGCTCCGCCTCGTGCGAGGTGGCGCAGCCCTGCGACGAGAAGAGCTCCACCACCACCGGTCCCTCGATCGCCCCCTCCGCCGCCGCCGCGCCGTGCCCTTTGGCGTCGTCGCGATTGGCCGCCTGCGAGGAGGAGCGCTTCCCGAAGCAGGAGAAGAGACATGGCGCCATTGCTGAGGTTCGGAGGCGCTGGCGATTTCCCGAACCTGATGAATTTTTTTTGGTTGCAAAGAAAAAATCGGACAGGGAGAATATGGAGCGGATTCTTCGGTGGCGGGGAGTAAAAGACGGTCAAAGTTTGTAGAAAACAATTAAAGAAAATATTTCTTCCCCTCCAAAAATATAGGGGAAGGAAGAAGCAAAAAAAGGATAACAGTCCTAATCCTAGTGAGAAATAAAAATATTCAGTTTAAGAAGAATAAATAAACTCAACCCAGAAAAAAACAACCAAATCGAATTACAAATGATTTTGGTTTTCTTTCTTTCCCCCATGCAACAAAGTTGTTAAATTGTTAGGATGGTCTTTTCAAAATAAGAATTGTTTAAGTAAATGCTTATTTTATAAACTTTAATATAAAAATAATTTTATGTGCTGCGTTTTGTAAATGAGAAAAAGCCAAATATGAGTGTAAAAAATGAAAAGTGGTGATTTTTTAAATGTTTGTTGGAAATAAAAAAAAATGGTTAGACAGATAAAAGTGGTGATTTTTTAAATGTTTGTTGGAAATAAAAAAATGATGATATAAGTTTTAAAATTTGAAATAAAATTGGTTAGACGAATTTAGAGATCATGATTTATTTAATGAAGGCGGGAGTGGCTGACAATGCGGGTACGATGGCGGTGGCAATTCAATGGCAGTCGCTGACAGGGGTGGTCGACCGTTAAGAAAGATTTCCAAAAATCTTCTCTTTACACTATGTTTGGTTCAAGGAATTTGGTAGAAAAAAAAAAAGAAAATGGTTTTCCCTCATTTTCCTCACTAAAATGGGAGGAATTTGGTTTTCCTTCCTCTTATTACATTTTGCCTTCTCTTTTTCTTTTCCTTCCACTTTTCTTTTCTTTTCCTCTCTAACCAAACAAGAAAAATATTTTCCTTCTCATTTTCTTTTCTTTTCTCTCTCAAATTCCTTGATCCAAACATAGTGTTAAAGAATTTATGATATATAGAGATAATGAACTTTGATTCTTTTAATGCTTTACCAAACAAAAAAATGATATTGAGAATAATAAAAATAAATATCTCTTATGTTCACCAAATGGGCAAAACAAACTTGAACTCGGCCAAAATATCCTTACAATTATCAATAGAGCAATAATAAACCAGCCCAAGTTTTTTTAAAAAGGGAAAGAACTCCTTCAACCATGATAAAAATTCAGCCTATTGGAATATAATGATTTGAATTCGTATAATTCAAATTCAAATACTACCTTTAACTATGAGTATTTTTCAAATTTTGATTTTTTTCAATCAATTGTTATCAATCTTTGACATATAATTAAATGAAAAAAATAAATTATATATGAATTATACTCCCTACGTCCCCCAGTTTTTGTCCACTTTTGACTTTTGGAACTGTTCATCTAATCACTTTGACTCATCAAATTCTCTCAATGTGTAAGCCTAAATATAGTCATGTGTGATTTTGTTTGATTTGTCTTAACATATATATTATTAATATATAATTTCTATAATTTTTTAATATACAAATTACAAGATAAAATGGATTAAAGAAGTGCATTGGATGGTGTGTAAAAATGAAAGTTGACAAATACTCTGGGACGGATGGAGTAGAAAGTAATATTTCGTAAATATTTTATATAATAAACCTAATAAAACTATTTTTATATAAAAAATTAGTATCATTTTTATTTAATCTAGAGTAAAAAATCTACTTCCTCCGTCCCTAAATATTCACAACATTTGTTTTTTCAGCAGTGTCGGGAACTTTTGTTTATTTCGACATTTTCATTGATTATTTGATAAAATAAAATATTCTTGACACCTCTTATTTCGAAGAACTTTTCATGTAGTTTTTTTATATGTAAATTTTATTTTTTATTTCTTTACCAATATGTAGATAAAATGAATTGAAAAAACTTGATATTTTGCCTCGGGAATACAAATGTGGTAAATAATTTGGGACAGAGGGAGTAATATTTTCGACTTTTTAATAAAAAAGTCAAACTACCTAGTGTTTTACGAATGGTGCGACCATAGTTTTAAAAAGCGGACCGGACCGGCCGGTTCGGACCGGGAACCGGTGAACTGGATCCCAAACCGGTCTGGTCCAGTCAATCAGACCGCAACCGCAACTCGGACCGGGAACCGGTTTTTTAATTTTAACTAAAGATTTTCCAAAAACCAAAGCCTAGTATTCGAACACAGCACCACAAGGGAGAAGGGTGCCGCTACAAACCACCTCTGCTACAATGCTATATATATATATAATTTATTTATTTCTTTATATATATTTATCTATTTATTAAAAATGTTTAATTTGAGCCACTGATTCGACTAGTAAACCAGTGAATCAGTGTCCTGACCGGTTCGATCACTCATTCGTTCCAAAAAACTATGGGTGCGACTATATAAAGAACTCAGTTTAACATACTTCAAGCAAAGGGCTTGTCAAACATATATTCTTAAGGATATGCTATGACTCCAACATTTCGAGTACGTGCCTAAAAAAGCATCTAACACAATCTGAGGAGGACAATGATAGATTATTTTTTTATTTCCTTCCAAATTTTAAAAACAAAAAAAGTATTGTAGGTTTCGGGCCTATTTGGGAATAGATTTAGGGATAAAGACCAAAGTAGGACTAAAACATTAAAAATATACCAAAATAAGAATTCCATGTTTTTATTCTCGAAATAGGATTTACATTACCATACATGGTCATATACATTACCAAAAAAGTATAGTAATTTGCACATGTACACTGGCACATTACAACAGGGCAAAGTCACATTACCACAGTGTAAAGTCCTATTTCAGGAAAAAAACATGAAAGTCCTATTTTGGTAGTTTTCTCTATGTTTTAGTCCTATTTAGGGTGATTTCTAATAGCTTTAGCTATTAGCGTTAGCGTTTTAAAAAGGTTATCTACGGACAGTGTTTAACGTTAACGTTTTCAAAGTTATCTGCACCGTTAAAATTTTATCTAGAACGCTAACGCTAATCTCTAACGCTATTCCCAAACAGGCCCTTCGATAAAGACGTTGGATTGGGTAAGACTTTTGCTTCTACTTTGCTTCTTTTCTCTCTAGCTAACCAAACAAGAACATTTATATTTTCTTTAAATTTCTTTTTTCTCTTTCAAACATAGTGAAAGATAAGTGTAATTAAATATCAATCTGATTTTTGAAATAGGAGTGGTATATATCTAGCTAGCCACTGAGAATGAAACAACACTTCGATGACAAAATACAATAATTGGGTATATATTAATGTCTAGAAAGGAGCCATTACAAACATATATACTCCTTTTTATTGGGAAAACACTTCCTAATTGACCAAAGACTGAAATAAGAAATGATTAAATTACAATTCACTTTCTAATTTCACATTTGATGTGATTGGTAAAACTTAAAAGTATGATGTGATGGAAACATTATTAGTGAAAACGTATGATGTGACAATTAGAGTAAGAAAAAGTATGAGTAAAATTAGTTTTTTAATAAAAAATGAAGTATTTTGATAAAAGAAAAAAAACAAAAGAGGAAGTGTTTTGATGATGTAAATAACACTTTAAGAGTTAAACAATACTAGTGAATGTCCAATTTAAGCACAGCATAAATGACATAAATAAATTGCATGCCATATTCATACCCTCATGACCACCACCTCCAATATAATTAATGCAACTCTCTTTATATATACAAGCAGAATTTAACACCAAATCTAATTGGGCTATCAATACTAACACTGTCACCAAGCTAATTAAGGATCATATGCATGTATTCATTAGTGCAAAATATGAATGTAATTAACATCATCACTACTGTTAATCCCTAACTATATATAGAGTATCTGGTACTCCGTATATAATAACCGTGGCAAATTCAATTTGAACATGAACCAGAGTTTCTGCAATAATATACTCCGTACATAAATGAACTACTACACAAATTAAAGGATCATATCAAAGCATAAATGATTGATTGAATGAATGGTTGTGTTGGTAGTCGTCGTCCTCTTCCTCTGTCCTCCTCGATGATCAGACTAAAAACAAAGCTATGGCCTCACGACTGCAACCCAAAGGCTTCCATTGACGCGAATGCTCCACACTTGAACCACGATCCCATCCCCATTCCCATCTTCCCAATGAAGTGCCTTCAGTACCTCGATCCAACCCTCGTTGATGGAGTAGGACACGCTGCTCTTCTTCCCCACCCCTTTCCCCATATCCCACCTCTTCAGCTTCACCCCCCACCTCCCCAGCAACGGGTCGATCAGCGTCGCGTCGATCCCCACCAATCTCTTCCCCACCTTCAGCCGCACCAACCGCTTCTCCTCCTCCCTCAGAAACTCACTCTCTGCCATATGCATGCTCCTCTCCCGCATCGTCAGCCTCCCCTGTAGTAACATTGTGTCGCTTTCCGTCAGCGCCTTTTCTATCAGAAGCTTCTCCTCTCCAATTATAGCGTTTGGCCCCGCTAGCTCCCGAATCTTGTTCTTGAATCTCTCCGGCATGCCCGTGGCCGGGCCCCGTTGGACCCGGGAATCATTCCCATGTCCCTGCTGGCTGTTGTTGTTGTTGTTGTTCTTCTCCTTCTTCTTCCGTTTCTTGATCTGAACTTCTTCTTCTTCTTCTTGGGGATCTTCTTTAATGGGCTGGAGGGGATGGGAGCAATGGGCCTTTTCCGATGAAATCTTCCCCGTTATATGAGAAAAATTAGCATTTCTTTATTACTTAGATAAGCATTTGTTTTTTAAATAAAAAAATAAAAAAAAAGATTTTTTTGGAAAGAAAGTCTACAAAATTGGTATACATGTATACCTAAGCTACACCATAGAAGCACTCTTATATATATTAACGTACATAAAATAAGTATGGACCTTAACACCATGAAATAATTTGCATAATTTTTTCAAATGCCATAAATCAATGTTCGACAAAAAACAGGAGGACGGGACAGTGAAATATAATTAAAAAAGTGGACCTAATTTACTAGTAACTAGAATTTATTTTATAATGGGTCCTTTATAGTTTTCTATTATCAAATTAAATATTATGTCTACAACTCTTCTTTTATTGGTAACTAAGTACCTTTTCATATTTATTGGTAACTAATCATGTTTTGACTTTTTGTCATGTTGATGTTAAAATGAGGAATAAACATGTAATTTCACATCCACAGATCCACCCTATGTCAAATGATTCATTCTGATGTTCGCTTTCAGTGGACTGTGAATATAGTTGAAAAATGATACATCAATAGTAAATTTTTGTATTGGTTATGTCAAGAAGAATATTGCATTTACTCTCCATTTTCCTAAAATTGCATCGATTGCCTCTAAACTTTAAAAATTATGCAGATAACCCCTGGATTTACCAGAACATACATTGTATTAATGATCTTTTTGTACAAAATTTGAGAGTATATTAATCAAACGAATAAGATTTTCCTTTCAAGTTCCCCTGACAATTTATTTTCATCCCTCATTCCTTCCTTACCATGCATCTTACGAGTTCCAAATGCACCATAATAGGATAGGATGATGGCCTGATTCGACCTTAGTGCCATTGAGCTTTGAGCATTACATTGGGAAAAAAAGTACATAAGATACTAGTAATGATGAACATTCGTTTGAATAATGACTACTAATGGATAATGAATAAAAGTGCTATATTGGAAAAAAATACGTATGATATTATTTAGGAAAAATTATTACTCCCTCCGTCCCAAAAAGAATGTTACATTTCATTTTTTGCGCATCACACAAAGCACTGCTACTCACATCTAAAAATTCTAAAATTTACCATATTTACTCTTTATTATAAGATGAAATTGTTTTGAAAGTTTTTTTTGGCATTTGAGACGATATAAAAGTGTTTTAAGGGATGCAAAAAAATATGAAACGTAACATTCTTTTTGGGACGGAGGGAGTATATTTTAGTGCTATTTAGGTAAATTTCTCATTATCTAAATACTTCCTCCGTCCCAAAAAGTTTTACACATTTTGACTAAAGTAAAAATTAAGGGAAGAATAATATTGTGTTGACTTTCCAAAAATAACATTGATTTGATGTGTAAAAGTAAGATGTGATGCGTAGGTTATAAGGAAAAAGGTTTGATGTGATAGGTAGGATTTGAAAAAGTAAGGGGTAAAAGTTATTTTTTAATAGAAATGGGTAGGAGATTGTGGGACACAATTTTTTTGAAAGATGTAAATCTTTTTGGGATGGAGGGACTAGGGAGTATATGATAGCCTTTTCTTCTTTTGTAAGGTTGTTTGTTTTAGGAACATCAATAATAAGGCTTTTTATTTTTTAGAAATTCTGATCCTAAGATTATTGAAGTATCTATAATTCTATATATACCACTGTTGTGCTCGCTGAATTATTTCAGGCTTGACTTTAAGTCTTTAACAGTCAAACCCTTTATTAACTTTAGCAATAATTTGGGAGTAATATAAAAGTGTGCGCTCAAAAGATCATTTGTTGTTTTGCCACTATTTTGACTATTTTGACTTTTTCAATTTAAACTTTTCTAATCAATTACGTACAAATTGCATTTGCATAGTGCACATTGAATTAGCAGGGGGTAATAAATAATTAAAAAATAAATGAAGTAATTATGTCATTTAATTGTTAAAAAATAATGATAAAATTTATGTGGGGACGGAGAGAGTAATAAAATTTCATTGATCTCTTATTTATTTATTCATTCATTTATTTTATCTTAGGGTATTTTATATTCAACTCTGAAATCTACTCATCCACACTTTAGCTTTCAATAATATACACGTCTCTTTTGTTGTGTGTGATTTCAAACTCGATATCTAAGAATCCGTTTGAAAAGACCGTTAGAGTTTTTGAAAAGATTATCTATGTGTAACCTTATGATTAGTTTTTTTTTTTTGAAATTAATCTGTACCGTTAATAATTTATTCTAATCGAGAATATTATTCCCAACTGGCCTTAAATCTATTATCTTGCCGTTAGAATGAACTTCAAAATACCTTATCGACCTTTAACTTTTACTCCTTTCGTGCCACAATATTTGTTCATTTTGTACTTTTTCAGTTAAAATTGGTAAAATGTGATCCCAAATTAAATAAAAATGATATTAGATATTGATACAAAATAGTTTTATTAGGCTTTTATATCTAAAACATTTTCAAAATATAATTCTAAAATATAATATTATTTTATCTAATTAAAATACAATATACATTTTTCCTTCCTGGTCCTAGAGTGGGATTTCCTTTGTACATTGAACTTTTAGATACCATCTCTTTCCTCTTATGAAGAGATTTTATTCTGGAACTACTCCCTCCATTGCAAAATCTTCTTTCTCTTTCTTTTTTTTATTTGTGCCACAAAATCATTCTCATTTCTATTAAAAAAATCACTTTTATTTATTGTCATTTTATTTTGGTCAAATTTCAATAGTTTCTCTCTCAAAAGTCAAAATAAGAAATGTTTTACTAGACAAGCTACTACAAAGGAGGGAGTAATTTTTTTTTACGGAGTATATTTAAAGTCGTCATCCCCACAAACAGAGAGAAAGAGAGACTCACTTGGTCACTCTATCCTTATAATTCGAAAACAAATAAAGGTAACCCCCCATAAAATTCAAAAGAAAATTGTGGGAAATTAATGGCGACGACTATCCATGTGCTCGAATCCTCGAGAAGCTAAGACAATAATTACCACCACACCCCTGAAGAAGAAGACGGCGACTACGAAGACGGCGGCGATGGAATGAAAGAGGAAACCAACTACGATTGGGACGGCCGTGACCGCCGCCGAGGCGGAAAGCGGTCGGAGGAATGGAACCGGGCGTTCCTACTGGTCTGCGCCGCCGGTCTAGTCGTCGACCCTCTGTTCTTCTACCCCCTCTCAATCAGCAACGCCTGCATGTGCCTCTTCGTCGACGGGTGGTTCGCGGCCGCCGTGACGGCTCTCCGCTGCGTCGCTGACGCCGTGCGCCTCCTCAACATCTGTTTGCAATTCGATGCGCGCATGAAGAGAAACGGTAGCAAACGCCGTTACGCCGCCGCTTGGTCATATCTGATTAACAAAGGTCTCATATTGGAGTTCTTCCTCATCCTCCCACTGCCGCAGGTCGGTGACACCAACTTTTATGTTGTACTTCCAGTCTCATAAAATTTTTAAGTCAAAAAACTTTTAAATCTTAAAAGACAAAAACTGATGCGTAGAATAATACTCGGTCTATTAGAAAACCCTTTGTCTTTCTTTTTTTTTGTTTTCCTTAAAATACTTTTTTTTTATTAGAAAATCATTTTTACCTTTACTTTTTCATTTTTTTGTTTTCCTTAGAATACTTCCTTTTTCTATTAAAAATTCTACAAAATAAGAGATGACATGACTATATCATTTTATCAAATAACTAACAAAAACATGTAAAGAAAGTAATAAAATGCTGACTATGTGAATACTGACTAAGAAGATTATTTTAGAACGGAACGATCAAGCACAATAGGAATTATATTTATTTACTTTAATTTTTTCTCATACAAAATTATTTTTATTTACTTTAACTTTTTTTGAATACAATTGAATGAACTTTAATCACTAACCAAGCTAAACATTGTGATTTACTGTATGTTATTATACGTACAGAAATAATGTCCTTAGATTTTATAAAAGAATATTTCAGTGGACTTTTTTTTGTAGTGAATGAAATATGTGGCACTTGATACAGTTGTTAAAATTTTAACAAATTCTGGTACGCACACTTGTTGAACGACTGTATTGTGTAAGCTCAGACCGACAATGTAATTGCATGCATTTCTTCGTCTAAAAAGATTCACTATTTAAAAATAACACATTTTTTTGTTTATTTCTAAATTTTCATCGGTTTTTTTGGATAAATAAAAAAATACTCCGTATATTTTAGATTTAATTTTTGTATCAATATTTCAATAAAATAAAATGAAAAAACTTCACATTTCGTATCATTTTGGATAATGTGACAAACATTTTGAGTATAAATTAAACATTGGTTTCGGTTAAAATTAAGTGACAATATTGCTGATGCATGCGCATACGTGTCACACAGTCCAAGTTTTATTTTCAACGAGCAGCACATATCACATTGATCCAAGCCAAGACAAAACTAAATTTTCCAGTGGATATGTTACGGATTACGGAGTACGGAGTACTCTTTTTGTCGTGGAATTAATTTTCCATTTATTTTTTGGGTATTATTAAATCCACTCAAAAAATGGATATATTTATACATTTTTCCTATATTTGCTAAATTCACTCCATTAACATAACTTTGACATTGATGTGAATAATCAAAGATGGTCACAGTTTGCTCTTTTTAACTAAATCCTTCGTTCTTAAGAGATTGTCACAATTTGATTTTTTTAGTCAAATGGTGACACCCTTTGACCGTTAATTACGGAAAAATGTATATTTAATTATAATGTAAAATTATTAAAGTTTGATTTATTTTAAGATATAGTTTTGAATTATCAAATTTTCATAATAGTTAACTATTTGAAACTATATTTATTTC